ACACCCACGTGCAGAGGCATCTGTGTGCTCTGTGTGCTGTCAGCCCAGCTACTCAGGAGACTTGAGGCAGGAGAATTGCTTGAACTAGGAGGTGGAGGTTACAGTGAGCCGAGATCACGCCACTGCACTCCAGCCTGGGTGACAGAGCTAGACTCCATCTTAAAAAAAAAAAAAAAAAAAATTCTGTTTAAGGATCCCTACCCTGAGTCACAAAGGTATTGACCTGCATTTTCTTCTGGTCATGTTATGGTTTTACTTCACATTTTTCTGGGGTGCCTGCTGTGTGGTAGACCCTGTGGGTAGCAACGGAGAAAGAGTGGTGGATTAGAAAGGCACAGGTCCACACCCTCTCAGGGCACAGAGTCTGAAGGGATTAGGGCTTGGGAGCGCCGCAGAGCTTGGCGTGGTCCTGTGTCTGCACAGCAGACCTTTCCCCAGTGTCTTTGTGAAAGGCACCTTTGGGCTGTTTACACCAGATGCACGCAGGATGGATGGGGAGCTGGCGCGGCCTCCCTGGATAGTCCCTCCGGCACGTCTGTGACAGTAAGCCGCTGGGTTTCAGGCAGGGCTCCTTTCTCTGCTCCTGATTACGTGGATGTTTCTGCATAGGGGTGGTTGAGACTCCAGCCCCCACCTCATCCTAGCCGACTTTAAAACTGAGGCTTACCTGACACTGGGTTCTCTGAGGAACAATTAGAAGCCTGGCCCACTGAGAGGGAGTGGGTGCGGCCTAGTGGAGGGCAAGGGCAGGGCCAGTCCTGGGCTCCAGAAAGGGAATGGGGAAGGGAGTGGATTCCCTGGAGGCAGAGCTTGATTATGAGGGATGTGGCCCCAAGGCCCATCCCTGGGAGGCCGGAGAGTAGCCTCTGAGGACCCTAGAAAGGAGCATGCTCCTGTTATCCCAGTGCTTTAGGAGACTGAGGCAGGTGGATCACCTGAGGTCGGGAATTTGAGACCAGCCTGACCAGTTTTTAGCAGAGAAACTTCGTCTTTACTAAAAATACAAAATTAGCTGGGCATGGTTGTGGACACTTGCAATCTCAGTTACTCGGGAGGCTGAGGCAGGAGAATCTCTTGAACCCGGGAGGCAGAGGTTGCGGTGAGCCAACATCACACCATTGCACTCCAGCCTGGGCAACAAGAGAAAGGAGGTTCTCTTTCCCAAGCCTGCTGTGCCCAGCCTGGAGAAGGTGGGGATGCTGTATGCAGAGAAGCCTGTCTGGGAGCCATTACCTCTGTCCCCACATTCACCACCTGGAGGGTGGCGGCTCCCTTTTCCAGCTCGCCCGCCGTGGGTTCCACTGTTGCAGCCCCTTTCTCTGAAGGCTGCTGTCATCCTTCCTTCCAGGATGTACCCACCCCCACCAGCCTTCTGACCCCACCAGTCCCCAAGCCCAACACCCTTCAGAATGAAGGCCCAGCCCTCACCTTTCTCACCATCTGCCTGCCCTCATTACCAGTCATTCTCTGTGTTCTGTGTTCCATTCCCAGCTGACTTCTCTCAGTGCCCCAGCATCGCCATGCTGACACACCTTCCTTTTTCTGATGCTGTTCCATGCACCTGGAATTATTTCCCTGACCTCACCTTTAATCTGGCCAGCCTCCCAGCTGTCCTTGAAGATGCCCTTTGGGTATTGCCTTCAGGGTACCTCTCACCCCCTCCTCCCAGTGCCGTGGTTCCAGTGCCCAAGTGCGGAGTCCCTCAGTAGGTACATGGTTGGCCCTCCACCTGCCAGGCAGTCCTTTAGGGCAGTGAAGGGATGTCCAGGCACATGTATGCTGAACATTTGTCTTTGTTAGCTTAGTTTCTGAGTGGAGTGAGCCTGAATTTAGAGGAAGTTAGGAACAGAGCTTCATGCCTGGTTCAAAGATAAGGATTTTGTGAATGAATCAATTAATACGTTTGGAAGAAAGCTTGCTTATATTCAGTTTCTACCTAAAGTTTTCAGCCATTGCCATTTGGCTATCCCAAAACAACTCGTGTTTTGAAAAAGTGAAAGAGAGCTTTTTAATTATGAAACTGATAGAGAAGTTGTTTATGTATGTGCTGATGTTAATGTATGATTGATTTGTCAATATTTGGAAATTTTCTTGCATTTTAAAAGCTAGTCATTATTATACCTTTGATTTTTTTAAAAAATGTGGCCGGGTGCAGTGGCTCACACCTGTAAGCCCAACCCTTTGGGAGGTTGAGGCGGATGGATTCCCTGAGCTCAGCAGTTGGCAAGCAGCCTGGGCAATACAATGAAACCCTGTTTCTACTAAAATACAAAAAAATAGCTGGGCATGGCAGCATGTGCCTGTAGTCCTAGCTACTCGGGAGGCTGAGGCAGGAGACTCACTTGAACCTGGGAGACAGAGGTTTAGACTTCGTCTAAAAGAAAAATGTATTAAAAAGGGAACAGGCCAGGTGCTGTGGCTCACATCTGTAATCCTAACACTTTGGGAGGCTGAGGCGGGAGGATCACTTGAGCCCAGGAATTCAAGACCGGCCTGGGCAACATGGCAAAACCCCGTCTCCGCAAAAGTACAAAAATTAGCCAGGTGTGGTGGCACTTGCCTGTAGTTCCAGCTACTCGGGAGGCTGAGGTCGGAGGATCACTGGCACCTGGGAGGTTAAAGCTGCAGAGAGCCATGATTGTGCCACTAACTCTAACCTGGGCAACAGAGCAAAAAGAAAAAAAAAAGAAACAAACTGTACTCAGGAAGGCACACAGATGGCAAATAGTCATAAGAAAAGATTTTCAGGCTGGGCGCGGTGGCTCAAGCCTGTAATCCCAGCACTTTGGGAGGCCGAGGTGGGTGGATCACGAGGTCAAGAGATCGAGACCATCCTGGTCAACATGGTGAAACCCCGTCTCTACTAAAAATACAAAACATTAGCTGGGCATGGTGGCGTGTGCCTGTAATCCCAGCTACTCGGGAGGCTGAGGCAGGAGAATTGCCTGAGCCCAGGAGGCGGAGGTTGCGGTGAGCCGAGATCGCGCCATTGCACTCCAGCCTGGGTAACAAGAGCGAAACTCCGTCTCAAAAAAAAAAAAAAAAAAAAAAAAAAAAAGAAATACCATTTTGTTTTGTCTAAACCTTTTCCCAAGGGTTCTGAAAATCAGAGAGGTAGGCAGGTTTCAAGAGAGCCAAAATACATGATTTGATGGTTTCCAGTTAGAACCTGTCCCGGTTCCAACCAATTTTAATACTGTTGGTAATAGGGAGCTGAAATCCAGCTCTGTGTCGTGGGTTCATGCCGACTGTCAAGGCTGAGTTAGGGCCGTGATTACCTCAGCTCCTCCTACCACCAGCTCAGTGACACTGAGTTGCTTGCTGGGCATTTTTTCCGTCCTGCTGTAACAGTAAGGCCTCATTTTAAGGGAGGGGTGCACATAATGTCACTTCGAATGAGCTGTGAAAATGCTCGCTTTTGACTTCCCCACAGGAGCTGACCGAGTGTCAGGTAGACGCTCAGGTTCAGCTCATGTTTTGATGAGCTGCCAGCCTCGCTCAGGGAGGTCTTTGAAGGGAATGAGCAGAGCTGGAAGTCTCATCTGTCTCTGGAGAAGGCTGCCCAAGCTAACCACCTTCCAGGGGTCTTTGCTTTTCACCAGGATTCTGGTTCTCTTAGGGGTGGAGTCATCTCCGCCGGCCTTGCTCGGCCTCAGGGACAGCCCCTCCTCCGGGTGCCACAGCCCTCCTCCCTCCCCGTGCCCGTCTCTGCAGGGCCAGGCAGAGAGATTTTTGGAAAAGGTAAAACGAGCAAGGGGTTGACTAAGATTTTTGAAAGCAGTGGGAGAAGAAGGATGAAAAGAGATCATTTTTCTGTCAGATTTCCTCTGGGTGCTCAAGTATCAGCCAACTCAGTCCTCTCAAGCCAGCAGCTCAAAGAATGAAACGTTAAACATTTTCATTTTCACCCAAATTAGCCATTAACATTTTCTGTTATTCTATTATTATTTATAACTTAGGCAAACTAGTTTCTCTTTTCATATGCAAAAAAAGGCAGTCAAAACTCAGCTTAGCCCTGACAGAGCTTTGCCATCGAAACAGTCCTACCTGAAATCGTTTGAAAAACTGCCTTCAGACCAAGTCCGGTGCCTCACACCTGTAATCCCAGCACTGTGGGAGGCCAAGGCAGGCAGATCACGAGGTCAAGAGATTGATACCGTCCTGGCCAACATGGTGAAACCCTATCTCTACTAAAAATACAAAAATTAGCTGGGCCTGGTGGTGCGTACCTGTAGTCCCAGCTCCCTGGGAGGCGCAGGCAGGGGAATGCTTAAACTCTGGAGGCGGAGGTTGCAGCGAGCCAAGATCATGCCACTGCACTCCAGCCTGGGCGAGGAGTGAGACTCCATCTCCAACAGAAAAAAAAAAAGCCTTCATCTGTAGCTCAGCCCCTGTGGCTGCAGGATCTTGATAAACCACATAACTTCTCTAAGCCTTTTTTTCCTCATCTGTAAAATGGGGACATTTATTCCTGCTGGGTTAGGGGAGACAGTGTTTGGAGATGTAAAACACCTTGCAGGATGGCTGGCACATGGTGGGTGCCCAGTAGGTGGAAAAGTGTTTATGACTCTGATTGGGAAGCAGTAGCCCAGCACGTGATGGATGACATCAGAGCAGAGGCTTTGGTTAGACGTCACCTACTGCAGGAAGCTGGCCCCAGCCCCTCAGTCTGCATGAGGTGCCCTTTCAGGCGTCCTCAGCCCCACCCCTTCCTCTGTAGTAGCCCTTCCTGAGCCGGTCTGCCTCCGTCCCTGACCCACGCCCGGTTTCTACTTGGTACCCAACCTAAAGAACATTCAGAAGCCCTGTTCACTGATGTGTACGATCCTGTTAATAACAAAACAGAGAGGCTTGTTGTCTAACAACACCGGGTGCCTTTCAGAGTCTGGGAGAGGGATGTAGTCACCATGCAACCCCGGGGTTGTCATCGAGGCCATTTGTGCAGCAGCCAAGGACAGGCTGCCCCACGCCCCTGCCTCCCAGCTGGTTCTCTTTCCTAGGTCGGGAACTACAAGCGGACCGTGAAGCGGATTGACGATGGCCATCGCCTGTGCACCGACCTCATGAACTGTCTGCATGAGCGGGCACGCATCGAGAAGGCGTACGCGCAGCAGCTCACCGAGTGGGCCCGGCGCTGGAGGCAGCTCGTGGAGAAGGGTAGGGAGGCCCGGCACAGGTCCTGCCCGTGAGCACCTGTGAGCACCTGGAGGCAGCTGCGCCCCCACCAGGGGCTCTGAGCAGATTGTGACCCTCTCTATGCCAGTTTCTTGTCTTTTGAGCTTGGGGCAAGAGTGCATCTCCCAGTTCCAGGGCGGGGTGTGATTTTTATGGGGAGCATTAGAGTGCTCATCCCCAGCAGGCACAGGCTCCATGAGCTTTTGATTCCTTTCCTTTCCGTGGGGTCACAGGACTACAGCCCTTGTCATCCATAGGACATGCTTGCACTTGGCGAATCTACGCAGAACTTGCGTACTTTCTATCACATGGAGGGCCTTGCTGCCCAGCACCTTGGCTTCTAACACTGAGAGCTGTTTGTTTTTAAACTTGGCCATGTAGCAAGTCAGATGAGACTAGCTAGGAACACCTGGCAGGCTTTCTGAGTTTGAATTGTCAGGGTATAACTACAGGTATTATATGGCAGAGGTTTCAACCGTTCCATCCCCTCCGAAAAGCTCAGAAGATTCTGTAGCTTCATTAGTGCCACTGTATGTGGACCGGGGCCGTGCTTAGAGCGCACTTCCCAGCAGTAAAGCGTTCCAGGCTTTGTAGCAGGAAGCAGAGCAGCATGGGTTTCTCAGGGTGTGTTTTGGGGCAGGCTCTCCTGTGCCGACCGGCTGTCCTCAGGAGCCAACCAGGGGAGCCAGGCCCCAGACCAGCCACGTCTAGTCTGGCTGCCTGTCCTTTCCCGTGATGCTGACTTGGGCCGCTTGTGTGGGCTGAGCACAGTCCTTAGCGCAGGGCGGTTTCAGGCTGTGGAGCAGGCCTGTGGTGAGGAGGGCCCGGGACCGGTCAGCTCCCTCGGTCGGTGGCACTGTCGTGGTTTGATTTCCACCTGCTCCAGCCCGCGTCCCAGGATCCAGCTGTCAGTCAGAGCTTGAGGTTCACAAAGCACCCTTGCCACCCTCACCTTGTGAGTCCGGCCGTGGTGTCGTGGACAGGACAGGAGTGTGCTCATTTTAAGGCACAGAGGGTTCCAGCTTCCGGGGCTGCGCTCTGTTGTCTCCAAGCCCCCAGAGTCATGTGCCTTCTCTGGGTTCTGACAGCCTGCTCTCCCTCCAACCCACCTCCGTCATGACTTGGCGCACTTGGGCACTGTCCCCATGACCACCTTGAGGACTGGCTGTGGGTCTTCTTGATTTCTGTGTCAGCTCTATCATGGCTCTCCCTCTCTCCAGCCTCACGCCACCCCATCCTACCCCCTTAATAGAAATGCCAGCCTGGATTAGGGCTTCTTTCCTGAGCCTAGGGGACTGAGAACAGTGAGTAGGGAGAGGTGACTCAGCGCCTCCTGCCACACTTGTCCAGAGCAGGCTCCTGCTTCCTCCTCTCCTTCCTCCCGAAGGACGGGCTTCCATTCTGCCGAGGGGACAGTCCTCATTCCACAGTGTTCTTGAGCTTGTGCGTGGAGCTGGGCTCTTTTTGGGACTGAATGAATGCAGTCCTGCAGAGGGAGGCAGTGCAGGGCTGGCCAGGGGCCAAGCAGGGCTAATAGGAGCCGTGCCAGGAGAGCCATTGGCGTGTGTGGGTGGGTGCCCAACACCTGGGAGAAGCGTCTGCTCACTTCAGAAGGTCCCCCCATCTCTGGCCGCCTTTAAGTAAATTAAGACTTCTAAGATGTGGAAATTTGAGTTTTTAAAGTGTTCAGTGGCTTTAAATAAAGGAAAGGCATGGTGGGGCACAGTGACTGACGCCTGTAGTCCCAGCACTTTGGGAGGCCGAAGAGTGTATCACCTGAGGTCAGGAGTTTGAGACTAGCCTTGCCAACATGATAAAACCCCCTTCTCTACTAAAAATACAAAAACTTAGCCAGGTGTGGTGGCGGGTGCCTGTAATCCTAGCTACTCGGGAGGCTGAAGCAGGAGAATCTCTTGAACCCAGCAGGTGGAGGTTGTGATGAGCCAAGATTGCGCCACTGCACTCCAGCCTGGGGCAACAAGAGCGAAACTCCGTTAAATAGATCAGGCGTCCCCAAACTACAGCCCGCGGGCCGCATGCGGCCCCCCTGAGGCCATTTATCCGGCCCCCCGCCATACTTCAGGAAGGGCACCTCTTTCATTGGTGGTCAGTGAGAGGAGCACAGTATGTGGCGGCCCTCCAATGGTCTGAGGGACAGGGAACTGGCCCCCTGTGTAAAAAGTTTGGGGACGCCTGAGATAGATAATAGATGGGTGGATGGATGGATGGATGGATGGATGGATAGCAAGAGCGAAACTCTATCTCATAAATAAATAACATAAAGGAAAGTCATATAATGCCCCAGTTTTCCTAACATGAGTGGCAGAGCAAATTCTACTTCAGGAACTGAAAAAGGCAGCGTCCCTGAGAGAAAAATATCTGAAACAACCAAAAGGAAACCCTCTCTGTGGTCTGAATGCCCACATGAACAGCTGAGGTATGGGCAGAGGAGACGCCACCACGGCCAGTGCAGTGACCCTCAGCTTCTCTCCCCGGTGCAGGGCCCCAGTACGGCACCGTGGAGAAGGCCTGGACGGCCGTCATGTCCGAGGCGGAGAGGGTGAGCGAGCTGCACCTGGAGGTGAAGGCCTCACTGATGAACGAGGACTTCGAGAAGATCAAGAATTGGCAGAAGGAAGCCTTTCACAAGCAGATGATGGGCGGCTTCAAGGAGACCAAGGAAGCGGAGGACGGCTTTCGGAAGGCACAGAAGCCCTGGGCCAAGAAGCTGAAAGAGGTACATCCCTCCTGCAGGCTGCCCTGCCCAGCCGCACTCTGCCTGCCTCCCCACCTCGCTGTGCCTGGCGCCCCACCAGCAGCACCCACTCTTGCACCCAGGACTTCCTGCCATTGGCTCTAGGCACAGGAGGCCAGACCTGGCAGAGAAAAAGCTACTCCTCAGGCTAGAAGCCCGTTGTGGCTGACATTTACCCAGGTACAAGACGCTTAATGCTCTATATGCATTCTTTAGGTTTTTTGTTTTTATTTTTTGAGATGGAGTCTCGCTCTGTCACCCAGGCTGGAGTGCAGTGGTGCAATCTCGGCTCACTGCAACCTCTGCCTCCCAGGTTCAAGCGATTCTCCTGCCTCAGCCTTCTGAGTAGCTGGTATTACAATTACCGGTGCATGCCACCACACCCTGCTAATTTTTTGTATTTTTAGTAGAGACAGGGTTTTACCATGTTGGCCAGGCTGGTCTTGAACTCCTGACCTCAGGTGATCCACCCGCTTTGGCCTCCCAAAGTGCTAATTTGTGGCTTTGGCTCAAAGAAGGAAGGATCTATTAAAACACACACACACACACACACACACACACACAAACACACACTCTGTCTCTCTCTCTTTCTCTCTCTCCCTCCCTCCCTCCCTCCCTCCCTCCTCTATATGTGTGTGTGTGTGTGTGTGTGTGTGTGTGTGTGTGTGTGTATGTGTATGTAAAATAGCCGTTAAAACAAGGGGAAACGTGACCAGTCACTCTGCCTCCCCAGCATAGCCCTCTCGCTTGTGCTGGGTTCCTTCTCGGAACTTTCTTTGTGTTTGCGGATCCAGCGGCCTGGCGTGGTCTTCCTGGGATGTCCATACCCCTCCGTGTGCGTGCTCCGTGCCATCTCCGCCCGCGCGGTGCCTGTCTGTCTTTCCCTCCACCACACTTGGCACCTTCTGATGGACTCTGGCGTGCGGCTTTTCCTCTGCTGGATCTGCCTCCCCCAGCTCACATGGAAGCCTCACGAAGGCTTGGGCTCTTGTGTCTCTTGCTGTGTCCCTGGTGCCTCGAACCATGCATGGGGCAAAGCAAGTTCTCTGTAGATACGTGTGTTGAGTGTGTTCCTGTTGGGACGAGTTGCTGTGATAGTAGACATACAGTTTTCCACCTGCTTTTTCCTCCCCTCTTGGTAGCACAGGCATTCCCATGGTCTGTGTAACCTCCAGGGAGGATCCTGAACTCCCAGCGACATGGCATTCAGGACCGAATTCTCCTTGTAGGTGGAAGCGGCAAAGAAAGCCCACCATGCAGCATGCAAGGAGGAGAAGCTGGCTATCTCACGAGAAGCCAACAGCAAGGCAGATCCGTCCCTCAACCCTGAACAGCTCAAGAAATTGCAGGACAAAGTAGAAAAGTGCAAGCAAGATGTTCTTAAGGTAAATTGTACACCTGGTTTCACACGTCGGGTGCCACCGTGCCACGTGTTCATGTGTCTGACACATAGTAAGTCTTCTGTAAACTGCTTGGGTGAATGGGTGGGTAGAGGGATAAATAGGAAGGCCACAGGTGAGTGCCCTAGCACCTAGCCTTGTACCTGCTCAGTCGAGGGGTAGAGCCAGGCTCTGGGCAAGCTGGGGGGAACAGACGGCTTCTTGTGCTCAGAGACGCAAGGACAGCTGGGACTGCTTCAGGGAGCCCCTTGTGCCTGCCAGCATGGGTGTGGCCAGCGGCGGGTGTGAACGGGTGTGGTGTGAGCTGGTATAGAGGGTCATGAGGACCAAATTGCCAGTGGCCCGGACCGCCAGGCTGAGTAAGGAGCTTAGGATGCTGCTGACCAGGAGCTGCTGAGGAGGGCCTGAGCCTGGGTGGGACTGGGGAGGAGTGGAGGGGGGTGAGATGGTTTAGAAGGATTGCTCTGCTTGTGTAGGGAGAGGGGCTGGGAGCAGAGCCCTGGTGGAGGGCCTGCAGGCTGCGAGTGCGTGTCTGGGAAGCCAGGTGTGGGGGGTCACGGAGGTGCCACACAGTCTCCGCAGTGACGGGCCCTGAGAGTGAGGCAGAGGCGGCTGTGGAGCCAGGAGTGGCAGAATGGTGGCCTTTCAAGGAGAGACAGTGACCAAACACTGTGGCATCCTGGGTGCCCTTCCATTTCTGTTGTGAAGGGGAGATTTTCTGCCCCAGTGGGTTAGTGAGAAATCAGTGTAAACTGCGAAGTGCTCTCTAGACGTGGACAGTGATTCTGCCTGGAAGGTCCTAGAGCCACAGGACCTAAAACCAGACAGCGCCATCGTCTTGTGATTTGAAAGTCCACAGGAAGTGAGGGCTCAGCCCTCGGCCCCACCCGCCTCCTTCGCTCAGCCATGAGGGCTGGGGGGTGTCATTACCAAGGGCCTGCCCTGCCTCGGTGTTTGGAGAAGAGATTCCCAGCCGGGATTTGCAGAGAGAGATGGAATGAGGTAGAGAGTGGCTGCACTCCAGGAACAGGACGTGGGCCAGAGGGGAGCAGGAGCCCTGAGCTGCTTTCCCTCCACACCAGCCTTTCCAGGCCTCAGATGAGCCTCACTCTGCCCCTGTCGGTTAGGGGTGCCATCCCTGTTTTATGAATGAGGAAACCAAGATCAGAGAGGTTAAATCACGTGCCACCCGGCAGGTGAGAGCAGGGACTTAGTCCTAACTAAGCCTGTCCATATGCCCTTTCTCCACTGTTCCTCACTGCTATGCCAGCGGCGTAGCAAGGGGAACATGTCGTCTACACGAGAGTTCATCACTCAGACCAAACGTCAGAATCCTCTGGGAAACCCCCCTCACCCCCATTGCTGGAGCCAGGAATCTAGGCTTTTGAAGCAGCCCAGGTGCCTCCAGGGTGGGATCAGGTGAGGAGCCTGGAACCATCTACTGAGTGGAGCGCGCCTGGGCTTAAGAAGTACAAGATCCAGGGAACTCTCAGGCCTTTACCGGAATCCCGGGGAATCAGGTGTCCAGAAAGGTACCTGGAGGAAAGATGGGGCTTCTCCATGTTGGGTGGGGGTGTGCCCGTCAGAGAGAGGGAAGCAGAGATGGAGAGGAAGGGAGGCCACCCAGGACATCAACTCAGGCTTCTGCAGAACAGGCCCAGGGCGCGAGGGTGGACGTAAGCGTCTAGCAGGATGAATGGGATGCTTGTTGTGGGTTCCGTCCTCGGGCCCTCCCTGCCTCTGTGGTCTGACTAGTGACTCAGGATGTGAGAGAGCCTTGTGGACCTAGAGCTCTGGAGAGGAAGGCAGTCCCTCCCTACCACCCTTCTTGATGTGGTTTCCAAAAACCGGCATACAGTCTGGACAACATAGTGAGACTTCATCTCTACAAAAAATTTAAACATTTAGCTGGGCGTGGTGGCATATGCCTGTAATCCCACCTGCTTCAGAGGCTGAGGTGGGAGGATTGCTTGAGCCCAGGAGTTCAAGGTTGCTGTGGCTATGGTCACACCACTGCACTCCAGCCTGGGTGACAAAGTGAGACCCCATCTCTACATAGGTAGGTAGGTAGACGCATACATACATACACACATAGACATGCATACCACTGCTGACTGGTGGCACAGGTACATTTGTGTTTCTTATCATCTGCATCTTGTAGCATCTATGAGAAAGTAACTTTTTGCATTTAGTGCTAAAATATTACAGTCCACCTAAGGGTGAAGGCCATGTCTTGTTTTACTCCGTGGGTGTTTGTTGAGAACTTTCTATGCCCTGCAAGGGGATTTCCTGAGCAGTCACGACCCTGCTCAGTACCTTGCCTGTGCTGGGGGCAGGACCTGTGGCCAACAGGATCGGCACAGGCTGAGGTCAGGGGCAGCCCAGAGTTGGAGTGTCTTGTTGCCACTGAGTACCCTGAGAGCTTCTGGGAGGATGCTGTGTCTTGAAGGCTCCTGAGAGGGGACTGCTCTGTGTCCCTTCGGCGGTATCCTCCCGATGCTGGGCGCTGAACCTAAGCTGTGTGTCTCAGGCTGCTGAGCTAGGCTCCCATGCAGGGCTGCCAGGTAGTAGGCACAGACAGGGACCGTGGAGTGGTGGTGGGGAATAGGGGATTAGCCACAGTGCTGTGGAGCTCTTTCTGCTGTGCGTGCCCCAGCCCTGACGGGGTGGCCTTTTCCTGTAGGCACAGAGGACCCAAGCCCAGCCCTCTCCGGAGGCTCAGAAGCAGAGCAAGGACCCAGATATCAAGAGAGGAGAAAGGGGCAGGAGTTAGGGCCCCAGTCAGGGACCTGGTCTCAGGAGGCTGGGGATGGCTTCAAGAAGAGTGAGCCGGGCACGGTGGCTCAAGCCTGTAATCCCAGCACTTTGGGAGGCTGAGGCGGGTGGATCACGAGGTCAAGAGATCGAGACCATCCTGGTCAACACGGTGAAACCCCGTCTCTACTAAAGGTGCAAAAATTAGCCGGGCATGGTGGCGCGTGCCTGTAATCCCAGCTACTCGGGAGGCTGAGGCAGGAGAACTGCCTGAACCCAGGAGGCGGAGGTTGCGGTGAGCGGAGATCGCGCCATTGCACTCCAGCCTGGGTAACAAGAGCGAAACTCCGTCTCAAAAAAAAAAAGAAGAGTGGTTATTTTGGAGCCTGAAGCGGAGTCTCCCAAGGACTGAGTCAGAGGAGGGCATCTGGGAGGGGAGCACGGGAGCCACATGGGCAGGGTAGACTCAGTCCCAGCTGTGGGCAGAGAAGGTGCCTCACAGGCCTGCAGTGACTCAGGGAGTGCTCCATCCCTCCTCAGAAGGCCCCACACATGTCAAGGACAGCAAAGCTTAGACCCAAGGGTAGCCTGTGACTAGCCCTGTAGTGGAAAGAATTGCAATAAATACATGGCGTCAGCCCTGCTGTCCCTTACCTACCATGACCATGATCCCACCAGCTAGCAAAACCACCTGGCCACCAGACTGGTGGCCCTGTACGCCAAGATGCGGGGGTGCAAGGAAGTGTGTGCCAGTGTGAGTCCACTGACCTCGAGGCACACCCACCAGATCAGTGTGCCCACTTTAGCCCCAACTTAGGAATTTCACACATTTTCCAGCTGTCCCTGGATACTCTTGAGATAGGCCACACCTGCTTTTAACATTTCCTGCCTTGCAAAACCCTTTCTTGGGACAGTCTGGGAGGGAGCAGCTGTGTCAGGGACGGAGTGGGCTGAAGGACAGGGGAAGGAGGACCTTTTTTTGAATGCTTTCTTCCCGCAGCCTGTCATTTACGTATCAGAACACTGTGAAGGAGAGTGTCCTCCTCTTCTAACAATGGACAGCGAGGCTCGTAGACGAGAGAGAGCTGCAGGATTCAGCCCCAGCCCCACCCTTGCTGTAGGCCAGATCTGAGGCTTGAGGGTAGCCAGGTGCAGCCCTTCCCTGTGGGGAGGAGAAGACATGGGCGTGTGGCATGCTCGAGACCATGCACATTGCACTCTGGGGAGACTGCTCTTCACTGGGATGTACCTGTCTGGGCCTTGCTCCCGCTGAGAGGCAGGGCAGATGGCTGGAGTGCGATTGACTTTGCAAGAGTGGAGGGACTGGGACTTGAAGTCCCTCAGAGGCCTGAGCTCCGGCTTGTTCTTTGCATTTGGAGTCTGGGGAGGCCTGAGACACTCCAGGAGTGGGATGAGCCAAGGGCCAAATGAAAATGAACCTTTGTCTGGTGCCTGGGTTTTCCTTTAGACCAAAGAGAAGTACGAGAAGTCCCTGAAGGAGCTCGACCAGGGCACACCCCAGTACATGGAGAACATGGAGCAGGTGTTTGAGCAGTGCCAGCAGTTCGAGGAGAAGCGGCTGCGCTTCTTCCGGGAGGTTCTGCTGGAGGTTCAGAAGCACTTAGACCTGTCCAATGTGGCTGGGTAAGTTTCCTTTGAGCCAAAAAATACACATCATTGAAGTCGACGGAAAGTGCTTTTGAAGCAAACTCAGATGCTGCTCCCAGGTTTGGGGTGGTGCGTTCATCAGGAGGCCTCCTCACCGCCCTCATGTCTTCTCTGAAATCTGGATGCCACGGAGGGCCCTTGTGCTGAGCCTTTCTGCAGCTGCAGGCATGGCAGGCTGGACCGGGGGAAGGCCAGCTGACCCAGCCAGTTGCTGAGCAGATAAGGCCAGGCCCACTCTGCCAGCTCCACATACAGGTCTGGGCAGGAAGGGAGGCTGCCTGTTTTGGGGCCACAGCTAGGACCAGTGCAGCTAACACCTCTAAAACCCGCTGGGGGTGAGTCTGGCATGTCTGGGCTGGTTGTGCCTGGGACAGTCTTTCTTTGAGGCCCTCTGCGATCAGCTGACTGCTTCGGGGCCTTCAGTCCCCAGCACAGCACGTACCCGCTGGGACTCGGTTCTGAACTGTGACATGGGAGCTGTGCTGTTCCTTCTGTGCTTCCCTCATCTTTGGTCGGTGATGCCTTCACCAGGGCAGAGGTCGCAGCTAACTCGAGGGTGTGGACCACCGGCATCCATCTAGCAGAACTGTGCAGGGGCACGTCGTAGGTCATGGCTTGCTGTAATAGGAAACACTTTCCCTCTGTCTCCTTCTGACAAAAATCATCAACAGCAATAGCTATCGCACAGCTGCTACTCTGCCACCATTCCATTTTTATGACAGTCTTGTGAAGTGGGTGGCACTGACCCCATCTTAGTGATGAGGAAGCTGCGGCTGGACGAGATGAAACGACGCCCCAGCTGGCGGGAGCGGGGCGGGGCTGGGCTGCGTCGGGTTCTTCTGCGTGTGGAGTGACTCCCATGATGCAGGTGATTGTCTGTCTCTGTGTCTGGATTTCCCCCTTTTAATACAGCACCAGTCATATGGATAAGGGTCCCTGCTAGTGACCTCATTGTACCTCGAGTACCTCCATAAAGACAAATAAGGCCACATTCTGAGGCTCTGGGGCTTGAACTCCAGCCCGTCTCCTGTGAAAGACACAGCTCAGCCCTTGATGGAGGGGATCATGCCCACTCAGCTGGGGAGGAAACCGAGGCCCAGAGGAAGTACATGACTCACCGGCCACAAAGATTAGAAGTGAAAATATCAGGTCCAGCAGTGATCCATACTCCTCCCCGGCAGGGCAGCTTCCTAGGAAGTGAGCCGATGATGGCTGCCAGGCAGAAGGCGGCCCTCACCCCGTCTTGGTGCGGCTGTGTTCTTCAGCACCGGCTCATCTTCACGTTCTGCATTTGCACATCTGGGTGTAAAGCTTTTCTGACGGAGACGAGGAATGAGGGGCGCTTCCTAACGCCCTCCAGTTTTCTCTTCCTCCACTCCAGGCCTGATTAAATAGGACCACACAGAGTGGTGGCCCATGCAGCCCACCTGCTGGTGCCTTTTGCGTATGTGACGCAGAGGTTCGGAAGCACCTAGGCCTGTCCAGTGTGGTCTAGGTTGCCACATGTGGTCATTTGTCACCACCCCGTTAGCCGGTTTGATTTAAAGGTCGTTCGTCAGAACCCTTCTGTGCACATGTCAGCCTGTGATCTTCCACCGGAGCCAAGGGAGGGGTGTTCTGGATCTGTCTGTGAAACCAACTCTAGTATAGGGGCAGAGACCATGGGACCTGCTGTGGCTGGCACTGGGCTGGGACAAATGGCCGCTGGTCCCTGCCTTCCAAAAGAGCCGTGTTTCTCTCTCTGATTTAGCTACAAAACCATTTACCGTGACCTGGAACAGAGCATCAGAGCAGCTGATGCGGTGGAGGACCTGAGGTGGTTCCGAGCCAATCATGGGCCGGGCATGGCCATGAACTGGCCACAGTTTGAGGTAAGTGGAGGGTGTGCCCGTGACCTCACCGGCCTAGGAGGGACCTGGGCCCGCAGAGTTGCCAGGCGATGTCTTTCTCATTCCAGACTCTGTATTGGTGTTTGCCCTGTCTATCAGGCAGCATTTTTTTTTTTTTTTTTTTTTTTAAGAAATGGGCTTTCACCATATTGGTCAGGCTGGTCTCAAACTCCTGACCTCAGGTGATCTGCCCACCTCGGCCTCCCAAAATGCTGGGACTACAGGCGTGAGCCACCAGGCAGCCTTAGGCATAGCTAAGTATAGACCAAGCTTAGTACAGACCATAGCCTAGAACAGCCCAAGTTCTGGTTTAGAGTCCTGGGGGGCCGCAGGCATTCTCGAAGGCCTTCTGAAATTCTCGTGAGGCTGCAGTTCTGTCCTCTCTAGTTGGGAATGTTTGGCTGTCACTTGGCCACTGGCATTTTCTTCCTTCCTAGTCAGTCCCAGGAGCCATGGGACACACAGGACCTCCGGTCCCTGCCGCACCCTGTGGGATTGCCGCGAAGGGAGCAGTCACAGTGCCCGCCTCACAGTGGGCTAGGGGAGGGGAGGCGGTCTCAGTGGGCAGCCCTCCTTACCCTTCGAACAAAGGACTTTTCCCTACTCCAGGCAGTAAATTTGGTGAAATTCAAAATGAACATTCTTCTTTTCCCATCTTGTGGGTCTGAGCGTTTAGCTATGTTTACATTCGAAATGCAAGGGCCTGGGGATCTCAGGACTCACCCAGCCCTAGGATTGGGTCACCAGGTCCCACCTGGCACCCTCACGGTAGCACGGAAGGCAGTGGCCGAAGGTCCTGCTGCCCCTGTTCCTGTGTGATGAGGAAGCATGTGGCGTCAGCTGCCCCAGCGGGGATGCTGAGGGCGTGGGCGTGGGCCTCAGGCGGCTTCCCTGACTCAGCAGCGGCCAGAGCCCGGCTGCGTTCAGATTCTGCCTCACCTCTGACAACCTGTGGGAAGCCGAGCAAACGATTCGCCCTTTTTGGGACTCAGTTTTCCCACGTGTGCAATGGGAATGAGAGGAGCCGCCGTCTCCCGTCAGGGCTGTTGGGGAACACGGTGACCTTGCCTCTGCAGGCTGTTAGCTCAGGCCCGCCACTCAGAAGCCTCCTGGGTGCCTCGCAGCCTCCCTCCTAACAGGAAGGTTTCTCCAAATGACAGTGTAGGCGCTGCCGCAAGCACTCCCCTGCGCAGCCCCGGGACTTGCTCCCAGCAGGAGGCTGCAGAGCAGCTGTGCCCCTTCCGCAGAAGCACTGCCAGAGCCTTCCCAGGCGGAAGTGACCCTAGAGGGGACAGCACAAAGCCCTGCCTCTCCTCTGGAGCCACATACCAGGAAGGTTCGGCTGATGTGTTGTGTGCACAAGCTGGGGCTTCAGGCACAGCGAATATTTACTGCCTGGAGTGGCACAGGAAATCACCTGTGAAACTTGCTTGGGTCCCTTCGAGGGGCCCATCAATACCTAGAGAGCGGAACAGTGGGGAGGACTATTTGACGTCTGGCTCCTGGGGAGGGTATTCTAGCCAGAGCCCAGGGGTGCCTTTCTCCGTGGGTCTGTGGGCCGGGAACCAGCCCCTGTGTGTTCCTTGTACGCACGTTTGCAGCTGTTAGGGGACTATGTCTGACTTTCTCTAATGCACTGATTTCTTTTCATTTTTCATGCCACAAGGATGAAGTAAGTGTATGTGTCTGGCTAATTCATAGAGTGCCATACACCTTGCAGGGTGTCTGCGTCCCGTGTGGGTGTGTGTGGTGCTGCCCCAGCCAGGCTCGTAGCAGTTCTGCTGAGGCTGCGCTACTGTCAGGGTGGTTGAGAGCCGGGCCCTCCTTTCAGCGTCGGCTTGATGTTGATCCCATTGGCCTTTGGAAGCCACCCATTCAGTACCAGGCTGGATTTATACTCAGAGGTCACTGGGGAGAACTCTGAGGTTTCCATTCAGTTCTCTGTCAACCTGTTTTACTCAGAAAATAGACAAAAAAGTGGCCCTTGGGGTCAAGGGCCCAGGTCTGCCACCCACTCTGTGTGGGCAAGTCACGTTGCCATTTGAGGCCTCAGTTTGGTCATCTGTCCGATGGACAGGTCAGACAGGATGCTTCTGCCTTGGCTTCCAACCTAGAAGTTCTGTAAGCACGTGCGAGCAGAGCGGTGGACTCAGCCATACCAAGTTTTAATCAAAGTTGTCTGGTAACTGGTGGAGATTCGGGGGAAGGAGAACTCGTTAAACCTGCGGGCACATACCCAGACACACACGGGCATGCACACAGCTTTCTAGAGAACCAAGACACAGCCCCCTTTCTTGGTTTTGCCCTGGTCCGTCTGCGGTGCAGTTGGTGAAGCCTGTTCCCTGCCCAGGAACTCGCGAGGCTTCGGGGAGGAGCATGCTCTGCTCTGCTTTGTCAGCCCCAGCGTGCTGCTCACATCACAGGAGAAGTCCCAGGGCAGCGAAACACAGCGAGGGCCCCGCTCCTCCGAGACTGAGAGCCGCTTGCCTGCCCGTTCTGTTAGGTGGTAGCCCTGGTTTATTTGCAGTTCAAGGCCCATTTTTCTGCATGTCAGGCTTGCTCAGGTCTCCAGAGCCAATTGTCTCAACCCTGTGGCCCACGGGACCGTTTATGGCGCTGACATGCAGGATCTTCAGCACTTCAGGACAAGTGCCTCAGAGGCTGGCTCCTGTCTACTTTGGGAGGCTCAGCAGACACCTTGGGAGGCCACAGGGGCCCATGCTGGTCTGAGGGGGCTGGGGCTGAGAACCATGGTGGGCAGGGTCAGGATCGGGAGGCCCCGGACTGGGAGACAGGACATCGTGTGTCAGGCCCAGTCCTTGCGCCCCAGGCTGGACAGTACTCCTCTGGGAGGCGGGCGGCGTGGCCTGTTGGGGTGGTTGTCGAGGTGCCAGCCTCCAGGCCCTCTGATGAGCCCCTGCTCTGAACAGTGAAGAAGGGGCTCAGGTCGTTTGGGTTCATAGGTGGGATGTGGCAGCCTGAGGTCTTCTGGGAAACCAGGGAGCGCAGGGCCCTGAGTCTACACACGGCACGCACAGAGCCGACTGCAGGCTCGCTGGGTGGGAACCGTGGACAGACGTGGCTTCCCGCAAGTGAAGCTCCGTTTTCTCTCCCTCGACACTTGTTGCCCAGGAGTGGTCTGCAGACCTGAATCGAACCCTCAGCCGGAGAGAGAAGAAGAAGGCCACTGACGGCGTCACCCTGACGGGCATCAACCAGACTGGCGACCAGTCTCTGCCGAATAAGCCCAGCAGGTGAGCAGGCGCCACCTCCATCCGAAGGAGGCTGCCCCATGGGAGGGGCCCCCTGGACAATCTGCATGGTCCAGGACAGCCCCAGCCTGGACACCTGGGAGGTTCCTGGGCTTCTGCGCTCTGTGCGCCGTGGCCCAGGGGCATCTCTGGGAGGGTCATCTTCCTGCCTGGTGCCAGAGCTGCTGACGGGTCCAGAGAGGAGACTTGGCCCCAAGCTTCAGACCTGAGGGGGCAGGAGCTGATGACAGGGTTGGCATTCGTGTCCCCAGGAATGGCACCGCCCTGCCCAGACACTGGTTGAGGTGCCATCCCTGGGTCCGAGGTTCGTGCTCACTCCATGTTGTGTGCAGGTGCCAGTCGAGGGGGGGGACAGGAGAGGACTGCCAGGTGTCTCCTTTGCAGATTTCCTCTTCCCTGGGAGCACTGTTTATTTCTGACTTAGTCACTGGCTGAAAATGAGCACTATAAGGGCGGCACTGTGGTGGTAAGAACCTTCTGGAAGGTGTGGGCTAGAGGAGGACTTCCTGCAGGACCTGCCCGGAGGCCTCCACGTCACACTCAGTAGTATCACTTCATACTGGGGCTTCCTGACGAGGCTGAGCCCCGGTTCCCGCGGCCTTCCTGCAGCCCCGGGCACCGAAGCCCTCGCCCAGGATCCCCAGCGGGTTTGGCCGTCGTCATTCCGTTGCTGCGCACACCGTCTGGGCAGGGAGCAGGCCGGCACCTGCGTGCCTGTGGATGGGAGTGGGAGGGAAGAATCACTGCCTCGGAGGACACCCTGGTGGCTCTGGGCCGGCCAGAGCCGCTGCACGATTCAGCCGCCCCCACCGGTCCCCTCTCGTGACGGTCTGCTGGGGAAAGGTGCCGAGGAGGGAGGAGGGCCGGCAGTCTCAGCCATGTGGCCTGGATGTTGGCCACCGGCAGGCTTAGGTCTAGAGTCCCTCGCTGGGCTGAAGCAGATGAGGCAGTTACTGGCCACTCTAGTGGCATTGGAGGTGTGTCCTCATCCCTCTTCCTTGGTTCTGGGGTGGTGGGTGCTCAGGCTGAGCCCTCCGTCCGGTGCTTTGGAGGCCCGCACCCTGAGGCCCTGGTCTGTGGAAGTAGAAGGTGCTGCTGCCCATGTAGGATCAGTCACTTGGTGGGGCTTGAGGGCCTTTGGTGCCTGTCTGGTTGCTTGACGGTCTTCTGTGGTCTTCCTGTGGCCTTCCTAGTGCGTAACTCAGCTCCCGGCTCCCAGCCCTCAGGCCCAGATCTCTCTGGTTCCTGCACTGTGCCTGGCACACACTAGGCAGTTGCACGAATGGATTTTCCCTCTGGAGTACCAAAGGAATCCTTTCTGCCTAGAAAGGGCTGTGCAGCAGGCTCTGGCCCTGATTTTGGAAGCTCCAGCCCCAAAGAGCAGAAGAGTGAGCCTCGAACCCCTTAGTAGTAGGAAGAGGCCGAGGAGTCCAAAGAGCTCAGAGCCCCCTCCCTCTTATCCATGGGAGCTAGCGCCTCCCAGACTGTCACTCTCAGAGGAGACCCTGAGGGGCTGTTTGACCCGCCAGCTCACAGTGGTAGGAGCCAGGACAGGGGAGAAGCCCCGCACCGGGAAACCACTTTCGCTCTAGCTGTGTTCTGTCAGCCACCACCCCAGTGCCCCTGCTCTGGACTGTCTCCAGATGCAAGGAAGGAAGAGGGCAATGGAGTCCTCTCCTGGGCGCCTGGACCCGTTTCACAGCTGAAGTATCGCCCACATTCGACTCCAGTCACGTTTCTGTTGAAACACCACGGTCCCCTCCAGTCACAGGAGGAGCCCTTCTGTCCCATGACATCCTGCAGCTGGGAGTTGCCAGGACCCTCACGGGCCCCTGCGGAGCTGGGATCCCCTAAAGCTCTCTCTCTCCATAGCACCCTTAATGTCCCGAGCAACCCCGCCCAGTCTGCGCAGTCACAGTCCAGCTACAACCCCTTCGAGGACGAGGACGACACGGGCAGCACCGTCAGTGAGAAGGAGGACACTAAGGCCAAAAAGTTGGTGAACAAACGCTTCCTCTGGTCGCGCTGCGCTCGCTCTGTCCTGCGCCCTCTCCGTCTCTCTCTCTCTCTCTCCCTCTCTCTTTCTCTCTCTCTCTCTCTCTCTCTCTCTCTCTGTCCCTCTTTTCGGGGTCTCACCCCTTGGCACTCAGCAATGCACGAGGCCCTGCAGGAAGTGGGCACCTGGCATGCTGCACATGTGGTGCACAGGCTTCCTGGTGCCCCCATTCCTCAGGGAGGGCACAGCTAACAATCTTGGTCACTTTTTCTCTGTCCTCTGTTAACCCCTCAAGGCCCCAGCAGCACCGCCACAGGAAAACAGACAAGCACGCGGTCTGTGCTGGGATCTAGAGCGCGAGGCTCCGCTGTAGGCATCTCCAGCCACCTGCTGCTGGAAAGCCTGTTGTGGCTCAGGATGAGTGTGGATGGCACGCATTCTCACTAGGGCTGGCTCCACCTGTGCTGTCACGCCGGACAGCTGTGCTCCTTCGGAAGGAGCCCTCAGCCCTGAGCCCCAAGGCTCCAGTGCCTCCCCTTGCAGGGGCAGGGGCCTCACGCCGTCTGCCGGCCTGGTGCTGAGGGCCCTGTGGCCACCCCTTTCTTGCAGTGTGAGCAGCTACGAGAAGACCCAGAGCTATCCCACCGACTGGTCGGACGATGAGTCCAACAACCCCTTCTCCTCCACGGACGCCAACGGGGACTCGAATCCGTTCGACGAGGACACCACCTCGGGGACGGAAGTGCGAGTCCGGGCCCTGTATGACTACGAGGGGCAGGAGCACGATGAGCTGAGCTTCAAGGCGGGTCAGTGCGGGAGGGCTTCCAGTCCGCAGGCTGTGGGGTCCTTTGTGCTTTCTGAGTCTGAAAAACCTCTTGCTAGATTTACTTGTGAGTCACTGCAGGCCCTTCCCCAGTGCCCTGGCTTCATTTTCAAAAGTAGCCAATTGGCTGGTGTGGTGGCTCATGCCTGTAGTCCCAGAGCTTTGGGAGGCGGAGGCAGAAGGATTGCTTGAGCCCAGGAGTTTGAGATCAGCCTGGGCAACATGGTGAAACCTGTCTCGCCCTGTGGCCCCGCGTCCGCTCCTGATGCCTCTGGGTCAGACCTGCAGGAGCACTGGGCTGCTGGAAGCGCCATCATCCCAAGGTTCTTTTGTGTTTTAACACTGAATCCTCAGAGCACCCCAGTCCGCAGGTGAGGGCCAGTTAGCTCTGTAGGCATCTTGACCCGTATTGCTGCCATACAAAATAAAAAGCACCAGGGCAATGCTAAACCAGGGGGAAAATTGCATCTAATTCTGAAAAATGGACCAAAAAATGCCAAGTTACAAAACTACAAACTTAACAATAAAGGCAAAACAGCACTGAGGCTGTCTCTTTTCCACCAGCTGCTTGCTCCTGACAAGGTCCAAGCCAGCAGGCCCCACTGGGCTTCCCCGCAGTGAGTTCTCAGAACCACACAGGCCCCTTTCCACTCCTGGGTTCTGGGCTGCTCCGCTCCCCTCACCTGGCAAATGCAGACCTGGGGCCCTGCCCTGGTGCCACCTCCCCTCAGTGCCCTGGTTTGCCTCCTTGAGCCCAGGCTCCTTCAGCTCCTCTCTTCTCTGTACATCTTCTCCTCTACCCAAGGCCTGGCCGGAAGTAGGAGGCCCTTTAGGTTGGAACGAGCTTAAGAAAAGTGGACACCACACTAACACATAGAGCCACAGGGAGACTCCAGAGCAGTGCCAGGGGCTCCTGGCTCGGGCTTTCAGGAGGGGTTGGCAGATGGCGCCAGGTGCTGGGGACAGAATGACAGGTATGGCTGTCAGACATGGTCCCTGCCTGTCTCACAGCCTGGAAGTGACAGAGGGGAGGGATTAGCAAAGGCAGAGAGACCTCAGAGACCCCTGCTGGGGGAGAGGTGGCCAGGGCCCTGGAGGGGAGGACAGCAGAAGAGGCCCAGCGTGAGGGACAGTTCCTGCCGCCTGGCCAGGGCGGTGAGGAAGGCACAGGCCTGCGGAGCTCCCTGCTGCAGTCTCAGTGCGAGCCGCTGTGGCAGCTGAGAGCTGCTTGCTCTAAATCACTCTGTGAGACTGTCATCTCGAGATCCCTCAGAGGCCCATGACCAACGAGGTAACTTAAAATACATTTAGTAGAGAAATGACCAGGCCCTCGGCCTGCCCACCACGGAACGCCTGGCCCTCCACCCTCTGTGGGTCGAAGCTCGTGAATGCGGCTCTCTGGCCCACGGTCGGTGTCATACCCTCTCACAGAGACCGCTCCCTCCTTGTCTTGCAGGGGACGAGCTGACCAAGATGGAGGACGAGGATGAGCAGGGCTGGTGCAAGGGACGCTTGGACAACGGGCAAGTTGGCCTCTACCCGGCAAATTATGTGGAGGCCATCCAGTGATGAGCCCGGGGACAGGCCAGCGTGGGGACGGCGGCGGTGGGCCCGGGAGCCGCAGCCAGCCACGTGGGCATCCACTCCTCTTCCTGCAAGAGAGGATGGTTCCATTGCTCTCGGCTTCACGGTATCTCTGGAAGGCAGACGGGCTGGTCATTTTGCCTGGGACTCGGCACCTTTCCGAGTGCAGCTGGAGGGATCTGAGGGCAGGAAGACGCAGACAGCAGAAGGGCCGCCCCTCCCAGCCCGCTGTGCCTGCCGTGCCCGCTGGCCTATCATGGATCTCTGTGTTCTTGACTTTGTCTCTCCTTTCCGAGTCAATGGTGGGTTACACTGATCTTCTTCCACTGATTACTTTCTCTGACGACTCCCATCACCGGCAACTTAAATGAACAGGCTTACATCCCGTTTTCTAAATGAAGATTTTAGGGTTTTTAATTTAAAGGCTATGTACAGTCACACTTTTTTATATACCTGTTCTTCTGTTCCTTTCTACCTAGATTATGGCACAGGTTGATGCCCAGTGGTCCTGAGGAAACGGTCGCTCTCCGCACGCCGTTCTCAGCCTCGCCTCGTGTGGGCTCAGCCTCGAGTGCAGACGGCGTTTCAGGCTGGGGCTTGTAGCAGGAGGTGGGACTGGGTCATGGTCTGGCTTCTACTGGGAATGCTCTTTGTGCTTTTGGGCACGTCAGTGCAAGCTTTAGATAGAACCTTAGCTAGTGATCCCCAGATTGCCATATTTAAAAATTATTTCCACTCTATTCTTGCTTAAAACTTCACTTTTTTGCAAATTAACTTTATCAGTGATTCAGAGTTAAAAAGTAAGAAGACTAACTTTTCAGGCAAATGCATCTGTAGATAAAGATTCTTTATATTAGACTGTCATGTCTCGGTGTATATCTGTATATATTATTTGATATTCAGAGAATCTAAAGCACTCATCTACTGTTTTAATGAGATTTAACAGCTTTTAACAGTGAGTTTCATTTGTCAGCTGCTTGAAGTCTGTGGCATTCAGGTCGGCTGGTCTCCTCCCGGGCTCAGTGGGCCTGGGGCCTCTCTGCCATGGCGCCTGCTGCAGGGAGGCTGGTCGTCAGCGGCTGACTGCAGGGCCGGCTGCTGACCGGCCTCCGCCCTCGGTGCCGTAGCAGAACACTGTAAAACGCCCGTCTGCAGCAGTTGCCGAGTGCAGTCGTTGTATTACTTGTGCGCAAACAGAAGCTGGGTCTTACCCACAGCACAGGTCTCTCCTCCGGCTGCCCAGAGTCGCCAGGGATCCGGTGCTGCGGCCAGAGCTGCACTGCGCCCACGCGGGGTGGGCGGGCTGGGGGAGGACGTCGCCGCCGTCCCGAGCTATGCATTGACTCCGTTTCCAGTGGGCACGTGTCGTGCTTGGAAAGTAGATGCGTGTCTGTGTCTGTCAAGAGAACTTACCAGGAGAAATCCTCATTTCTGTGCTACAGATTTACCAAAAATTGTCTTTTCAGTTGAGGAGTTCCTTTAAATGTATAGTATTTCAGGAACAAAATCAATAAACAGTTGATCTCGTGCATACGGAAGTCCCTTTGCCATCATCTGTCTTCATGCCCACGTCAGTGGCAGGGGTGGCCTCCTTGGGGCTTACTAGCCTCAGAGCTGGGCAAGATCCAGGGCACGGGACCCCTGCCCAAAAGGGCATGGCCGCTGCCCCTGCCAAACGAGGCTGAGGTTTGAGGCACCCGAGCCACTTGGGGCTCCCTTCTCCCCGAGATCTGCTACTGCTTGACCTGGGCTTCCCCGCCGTGTGGACATCAGCTGACGCCCCTGCTGCCCCAGGCCCAAACAGCGGGTCAAGACCAGCGTCACCCCTGACCTTCCCCTGAGCACATTCTCCTCAGCACCTACCGTGTGCTGTCCTCTTTTTACTTCTGTGCATCTCCAAACAGCTCCATTTCCATTCTAGAGAGGAGGAAACAGGCTCCAAGAGCCGGGGTTTCTCGGGGAGTCCCAGCCAGCCCAAGGCACCAAGTGACATCCCTAGGAACCCCTTCCTCGATGGAGAGACTGAGGAGGGAACAGACCCGGTTTGGCAGCCCCGGCTGGCTTGAAGACAGGAGGCAAGACGTGCGGGTGGCTGTGGCCACGCTCACTGAGCCCTGGGGAGGCTGCGCAGAAAAGCACCCCCGCTGGGCGTGGGGCCCTCACAGACCACCCAGGAGGAGCGAGGCGGGTGGCTGCCCCTGCAGTGTGGCTTTGCCCGGCTCAGCAAGGGCGGGGGACAGATCCTTGTCACCCAGTCTTCTTTTCTGAGGGGTGGTGGGTCCCCTGCTCCCAGCTTCTGAGGAGTCGGAACCCAGCAGCAAGCTACCTGCAGCCGGGGCAGATGCCAGGCATGGCCCACAACCCCACGCTGGCGAGAGAAGCAGCAGGATGGGCTTGGGAGGGAAGCAGGGGTCAGCAGCAGGCTCCGGGTGCCGCTGGCCTGTCACTGCCCACGCACCATGGCAAGACCACGGCCCCTGCCAAGCTGGATAAAGCGACCTCCACTCTGAGAAATGATGACATGGCCCCCCTTGAGGGAGCTGCAGGGCCCCTAACTGCCCACCTCCCCTCTCCTGCCCTGGCTTCAGGGGGCAGCTTGGAAGCTTTACCTCGCCTCTGGGCCTCAGTTGCCCCAAGTAGAAGTGATACCTTCACAGTTGGAGAATTAGAGCAAGAAGAAAAGGCAGCCTGGGCAACATAGTGAGACCCTGTCTCTATAAAAAGTTTCACTTGGTTGATCCATCAAGTTGTTTACGGAAAAAAACAGAAACGGTCAAGTGTGGTGGTGCACGCCTCTAGTTGCAGCTACTTGGGAGGCTGAGGCAGGAGAATCGCTTGAGCCCAGGAGTTGAGGCTGCAGTGAGCCATGATTGCACCACTGCACTCCAGCCTGGATGGCAGAGCTCTCCAGACACTGTCTCAAAAAAAAAAAAAAAAAAGAAAGAAAAGAAAAGAAAAAGGCGACAGACTGGCCTGGCCCGGTGGCTCACGCCTGTAATCCCAGCACTTGGTGAGGCCAAGGCAGGCGGAGAACGAGGTCAGGAGTTCCAAGACCAGCCTGGTCAATACGGTGAAACCCCGTCTCTACTAAAAATACAAACATTAGCTGGGTGTGGTGGTGTGCACCTGTCATCCCAGCTACTCGGGAGGCTGAGGCAGGAGAATCGCTGGAACCCAGGAGTTGGTTGCAGTGAGCCGAGATCACACCACTGCACTCCAGCCGGGGTGACAGGACGAGACTCTGTCTCAACAACAACAAAAACGGCTGTAGGCACTCAGGGGCTGGTCATTGTCAGGATTATCAGTGACACTATAGGCTGGGTCCCCCCGTCCCCTGCCGTCCATGGCTGCCCTTCGCTTCCCCCACCCACAGCCACAGGCCTGGACCAGTGCTGCCACCAACCGTCCACATCTCTCCGGATGCCCAAGGCCCCCGAGTAGGGGAGTGTCAGTCCCACAGCCCTGTCCTGGGCCAAAGCTCCCTCGGCTCAGGATGGGGGTATTTCATCATCCCTCTCCACCCTCCTCACCCGCCAGAAATGTTGGAAGGCTGAGCAAGTGCCAGCAGGTGACCAGAGCAGGGACCTGGCTTTGCCGCAGCCTGAGCTAAAACGGGGCCTTCGGAGGTCCCTGCAGATGGACGACAGGGCTGGCCTCTGCCTCCTGGGCTCTGATGTCAGGTCCTGGTCCACTCAGACACGTGCAGAGCCTCTCCCCGCCTGGCCGGGCCTTCACTGGGCAGCCTGGGCTGTGCCAAGGCCTCGGGCACTGAATAGGCCTGGGGCAACCTACTCAAGCCCTCGGGATAGGGATGGAGAAGGTTGGGAAGGACTCCTGTGGACCACCTGACCAACCTCCTTGTAGTTCGTGGGGAAGCAGGACAAGTGAGAGGAAGCAGGGACTTCCCTGTGGGCACAGACCACGTGGCTCAGGGAACTGAGCAAGGCCTGACCCCCGAGGAGCCCCACCCTGGTGGGAGATCCTTATGTATCTGAAGCAGGAGCGGCCGCGAGAAACAGACCTCTCGGACCTCTCAGACACTGAACTAGAAAAGGAAGGGGTTTTATTATTACGGCCCAGGAGCAAGGCTTTCTGTTGTGTCCAAACGGCCAAGCCCCCCTGACAAAGAGAAGCTCTGCCTTCATATAGGCTCACACTCTAGATATTACACATGAAAAGATCGTAGGTTTACAGCCTTAGAAACGACAAGTGAAAGGGCCTTGGGTTTACAGCTTTAGGAATGACATGGGAAAGGGTTTATGTTTCCGACGGAGGAGATGGAGGAGTGGGGCGGGTGTTTGATCTTGTTTAAGTAAGAACAGTATCTTATGGGCTATCTTATAGGAAGGTGATTTAGGAGGTGCCAGTGGCCAGCCTTTTCTTCTGTTGAAATGCAGTGTGGAGGTCAAGCAGGAGGTGATCCTAGATGCCTGGGTCTCCTTCCTCATACCCGTTGGGCAGTCATTCATTCACCATGCATTTATGAAGCACGTACTGTGAGACTCAGTGGTGCCAGGACAAACATGAAGAGAAGCCAGTTTTGCACTTGGGAAACTCCCGGAGGCTCAGATGAGGAGCCCGTTACTCTGACACCATGGTAGGACAGCCAGAGACAAAGGGCCAGAGTTGTCTTCTGAGAATGTGTGTGGCAGGTTCTAGAAGTCTTAGGCCTCCCAACCCAGGCCCCAAGGCCTGAGATCAGAGCACTGCTCAATCCTTGGGCCTCCCAGGTTCATGCAATTCTTGTGCCTCAGCCACCTGAGTAGCTGGGATCACAGCCATGCACCACCATGCCCAGCTATCTTTTCTATTTTTAGTAGAGATGTGGTTTTCTCATGTTGGCCAGGCTGGTCTCAAACTCCTGGCTTCAAGTGATCCACCTACTTTGGTCTCCCAGAGTGCTGGGATTACAGGTATAAGCCACTGTGCCTGAGCCACTGTGTCTGGCCGCCTTTTATTTTTTATTTTCTTACTGACAGTGTCTCATTCTGTCACCTGGGCTGGAGTGCAGTGATGCAATCATAGCTCACTGCAGCCTTGACCTCCTGGGCTCAAATGATCCTCCTGTCTCAGCCTCCCGAGTAGCTGGGACTACAGGCATGTGCCCCCATGCCCGGCTATGTTTAAATTTTTTGTAGAGATGAGATCTTGCCATGTTGCCCAGCCTGATCTCAAACTCCTGGCCACAAGCCATCCTTCTGCCTTGGCCTCCCAAAGTGCCGAGATTTCAGGGATGAGCCACCACGCCAAGCCCCAGTGAGTTCATTTCAAATGCATCTGACTATACAGAAAGAACATGTCACAGAGATAGCCCTCACTTGTTTTCGTCTGGCACCAAGCAAAGTCCACTGGTGTTGTCTTCCAGGGCAAGGGGCAGACTGTGTGTACCCTCACTTGTGATTCATCGTATGACTATGTAACCACATCCAGTTTCCCTTTAGGGTGGCATTTGACTTTCAGCAAGCTCCTATTAAACTGTAAATGAACTAAATAAACCCGGTGCCGCTTCACTTGGCCATAGCTACACCAGGATCTCTTCATGAAGGACAAACGGCAAAGCGCGCGCCATGGAAGGCGGTGTGGACCCGCCTGCTCTCTGCCAGCCCTCAGGCTGCTCCACCGGCCCTCAGGTCGCACATCTCAGCCTTGGCCTCACTTTTGGACTTTCGAGCTCTCCTCCTCTTCCTGCTCATTCTCTGTCCTTCTTAACATTTTTGGGTACTTTTGGAAGACTCTCATTCTCCTACTTCTCCAGACTAGAAGTGAAGAGTTAGGAAACTTGGTTCAAGATAAAGCCTCATATCCTCCCAATCTCGGGGGATAAAACCTCATAGATAAATCCCATTCGTGAGGTTTGATACCTGTTAGAATGCAAATACTCTACAAGAAGGACAATACTGGGTCGGTGGTGGCTCACGCCTGTAATGCCAGCACATTGGGAGGCTGAGGCAGGCGGATCACTTGAGGTCAGGAGTTCGAAACCAGCCTGGACAACATGGTGAAACCCCCATCTCTACTAAAAATACAAAAATCAGCTGGGTGTGGCAGTGGGTGCCTTTAATCTCAGCTACTTGGGAGGCTGAGGAAGGAGAATCACTTGAACCTGGGAGGCAGAGGTTACCATGAACCGAGATCACCCTACTGTACTTTAGCCTCAGTGACAGAGCGAGACTCCATCTCAATAAAAAATAAAAAATTGTGAGGTCCCAGGCGCAATGGTTCACACCTGTAATCCCAGCACTTTGGGAGGCCAAGGTGGGCAGATCACCTGAGATTGGAAGTTAGAGACCAGCCTGCCCAACAAGGAAAAACCCTGTAGCTACTAAAAATACAAAATTAGCCGGGCATGGTGACACATGCCTGTAATCACAGCTACTTGGGAGGCGGGGGCAGGAGAATCACTTGAACCTGGGAGGCAGCGGTTGTGGTGAGCCAAGATCATGCCACTGCACTACAGCCTGGGCAACAAGAGCAAAACTCTGTCTCAAAAAATAAAAATAAAAACTTGTGAAGCTATTGGAACATTTTAAACTACTATTTCTTGTCTTTCTCTTTTTCTTTTTTTTTTTAAAGACGGGGTTTCACCATATTGGTCAGGCTGGTCTTGAACTCCCGACCTCAGGTAATCCACCCGCCTTGGCCTCCAAAGTGCTTGGATTACAGGTGTGAGCCACCACGCCCAGCCTCTTTTTTTTTGTTTTTGAGACAGAGTCTCACTCTGTTGCCCAGGCTGGAGTGCAGTGCCACGATCCCACAACCTCCATCTCCCGGGTTCAAGTGACTCCCCTGCCTCATCCTCCCGAGTAGCTGGGATTACAGGCATGTGCCACCATGCTTGGCTAATATTTGTATTTTTAGTAGAGATGGGGTTTTACCATGTTGGCCAGGCTGGTCTCCCAAGTTCTGACCTCAGCCCACCTCGGCTTCCCAAAGTGCTGGGATTACAGGTGTGAGCCACTGCACCTGGCCACTGTTGACCCATTTTTATGGTTATTAGCTGTGTCAAGTCTATTTATGAGGCCATTGAAGGAATTCTTCATCTCTGATACTGTGGGGTTTTTGTTGTTTGTTTCTAGTGTTTCCATTTGACCCCCCCCCCTTTTTTTTTTTTTGAGTAGGAGTCTCGCTCTGTTGCTAGGCTGGATTGCAGTGGCACAATCTTGGCTCACTGCAACCTCCGCCTTCTGGATTCAAGCAATTCCCCTGCCTCAGCCTCCCCAGTAGCTGGGATTACAGGCGCCCACCACCACAGCCCACCACTACTTTTTTGTTTTTTAGTAGAGACAGGGTTTCACCATGCTGGTCAGGATGGTCTCGATCACCTGACCTCGTGATTCACTCACCTCTGCCTCCCAAAGTGCTGGGATTACACGCGTGAGTCACCGTGCCCTAGAAGAGGAAGGTCCAGAGGAAGCAGGTGGGGTCAGGTGGATGCCTGTCCCACAGAGAGGCCTCTCCAGGCCCTTTGGCAGTCCCCATCTTTCTTGTGAAGTATGGTTTCGGGTGGAGGTTTATTAAAAAGGGCTTAGGAATGAAGGTGAACTCCCTTTGGACCTGAGGCCTCCAGCTAGTCCAAACTCACATGCCAACCTACACTTAGCCTTTAAGACTTAATTAGGCCGGGCGCGGTGGCTCAAGCCTGTAATCCCAGCACTTTGGGAGGCCGAGGCAGGTGGATCACGAGATCGAGAGATCGAGACCATCCTGGTCAACATGGTGAAACCCTGTCTCTACTAAAAACACGAAAAACATTAGTTGAGCATGGTGGCGCATGCCTGTAATCCCAGATACTCAGGAGGCTGAGGCAGGAGGATTGCCCGAACCCAGGAGGCGGAGGTTGCGGTGAGCCGAGATCGCGCCATTGCACTCCAGCCTGGGTAATAAGAGCGAAACTCTGTCTCAAAAAAAAAAAAAAAAAAAAAGACTTAATTAAAATTATAGCTGATTTCTTGTCAACTAGTTCGGCAGTAACCTCTTTCTCTCGTGCTCTGCCAAAAGTGAAGGGTTCTTGTGTTCTCCGTCTTTGGAGAGGCTTTTCTTGTCTCTTTGGAGTTCAGGTGATTCCGTTGCCTTACAACCTGAGCTCTGTGATGGGCTCAACAGAAGTTAGTTTGGTAGATTATCCAGCGTTTCTCATTACGACATCGGGAGTGACAGCCTTTGTAGCGTTCTACATTCTAAGCCCATTCCACAAACCTTTACTGAATGCACTACTGTGTGCCAGGCATGATTCTAGGTGCTCCGGTTCGACACTAGCTTGGCCAACAACCCCATCTCTACTAAAAATACAAAAATCAGGCAGGTGTGGCAGTGGGTGCCTGTAGTTTCAGCTACCTGGGAGGCTGAAGCAGAGCTGCCTGAATCCAGGAGGCAGAGGTTACAGTGAGCTGAGATTGTGCCACTGCACTCCAGTCTGGGCACTGCCATCTCTCCATGAACGTGACACAAAAACCCTTGTTTTCAGAAAGCCAGTTTCTGGGCAAAGAAAGCTTTCCACCCAGGGCCTGGCCTGAGCTGAGGGCCAGAATTAAAAAAAAAAAAAAAAAAAAGAGGGGCTGGGCGCGGTGGCTCCTACCTGTAAGCCCAGCACTTTGGGAGGCCCAGGAGGGCAGATCACGAGGACAGGAGATCATGACCATCTGGCCAACATGCTGACACCCCAGCTCTACTAAAAATTTTAAAGATTAGTGGGATGTGGTAGGCGCCTGTAGTCCCAGCCACTCGGGAGGCTGAGGCAGGAGAATTGCTTGAATCCGGCAGGCAGAGGCTGCAAGTGAGTCGTGATTCCGACACTGCACTCCAGCCTAGGTGACCCACGCCTGTAATCCCAGCACTTTGGGAAGCTGAGGTGGGCGGGTCACAAGGTCAGGAGTTTGAGGATCAGCCTGGTCACCACGGAGAAACCGCGTCTCTACCAAAAATACAGAAATTAGCCGGCGTCTACCAAAAATGCAGACGCCTGTAATCCCAGCTACCTGGGAGGCTGAGGCAGGAGAATGAATTGCACCTGGGAGGTGGAAGCTGCAGTGAGCCGTGATCACGCCACTGTACTCCAGCCTGGGCGGATCACCTGAGGTCAAGAGTTCGAGACCAGCCTGACCAGTATGGTAAAACCCCATCTTAATAAAAAAAAAAAAAAAAAAAAAGATTCAAGTCTCGGAAAAAACAACAACAACAACAAAAAACGAAGCTTTCCAGCAGGGCCTGCGCTGAGCTTGGGGCAAGGATAAACGAAGAGGCCGGGGGCGGTGGCTCACACCGCACTTCGGGAGGCCGAGGCCGGGCGCTGCAGTCCCGCCCGGCCACGTGGAGAAACGCGGAGATCAGCGGCGCGGGCAGCGCCTGTGGTCCGCGCCGCGCGGCAGGCGGAGGCGGAGGCTGCGGTGAGCCGCGATCCCAGCCCCGCAGCAGAGCGAGACTCCGACAAACGGAGCAGAAAAGGAAGGCGGCCCGCCGCGGTCCGGTGCCGGAGGACGGCGGCGCCCGGGCCCTCTCCGCGGAAGCGGCGGCCGCGCAGGCGGAAGGTTGGCGGGTCCCGGGGCCGTGCGCGTGGCAGCCAGCGCCACCCGGGCCCGCCCGCCCCGCAACCCCCCGCCTCTCCCCGCGCCGGGGCCGCCAGCGGCGCTCCAGCCTTCTGCGCACGCGCGTGCAGCGTCCGGGACCCCGCCCAGCAGCGGGGTGGGAGGGAGGGGAAGCGAGCGGCGCCTGCGCGCCCGGCGGTGGGCGGGGTTAGGGGCGGGGCCTGGCCGTCACGCGCAGCCCCGCCCCCGCGGCCTCGTCGCTCCCGCCGAGGCGGCCACGCTGCTCGTCCGCCGTTCCCGGGTGGAGGCCCCGGCCGCGCCCAGCTCTCCGGCGGCGATGGCGGACCCCGGCAAGCAGGACATCGCGACCATCTTCAGGCGCCTCCGCTCGGTGCCCACCAACAAGGTAGCGGCCGCGGGCGAGTGCGGACCTGCCCGGCGTCGCTGCGGGACCCGGCGTGGGAGGCGGGGCCGGCGCGGCCTGTGACACGTCGCACTGTGGGGCCGCGGCGGCCGGGCCGGGCCGGGCCGGGACCGGGACGGTGGGGGGACGGGGGCGGGACGGGGGGGGCGGCCGGGCCGGGCCGGGCCGGGCCGGGACAGGGACGGTGGGGGTCGGGGGCGGGACGGGGAGGGCGGGGGCGGGGGGGGGCCGGACGGTGGGAGACGGGACAGGGACGGTGGGGGACGGGCGGCCGGGACGGGGCGGCCGGGACGGGACGGGGGCGGGCGGGGAGCGAGCTCTGGGGTCGGCCTCGGGGGCGCTGCGAGGAAACTCCGGCTGCTGGAGAGCGCGGCTCGCCGGACGCCGCCCTGGAGCTCGCCTGCTGGAGCCAACTCGGGATCCCGGGCCCTGCGGTGCCTGCCTCAGTTTCCCTTCTGATGAATGCCGAGTCGTCTCGGCCCTGGCCTCCAGCTTTTGTCTCTGTGGCCGGGGAGGCCCACCACAGCCTCCTTCCTCCCCTCGGCTCTCTTTGGGGATGGGCGTTTTCTTTTTCTTTCTTTTTTTGTGTCCAGAGGCCGTTTTCTCCCAGAACGTTTCCGGTTTGGGGAGCTTGCTGGAGGCGTTTGGGGTGACGCGGGGGGCTCAGGTGACAGTCGGGTCGGAGGGGAACCTGCAGAGTGCAAAGGGCTGTCGTGTCGGCGTGGCCTCTCCCCCCCCCCCCCCCCCGCCTGGGACCCGAGTTCTGTCCCCACTGCCACTGCCGGAGGGAACAGCTGTCACTGAGCAGGTCCTGAGCCTCGACAGGCTGGCCGAGAAAGTTCCCGAGTCTTACAAAACAGGTGTTTCTGTTGGTTTCAAGTCTTGATGGTACAGGGGAGCCTTTTTTTTTTTTTTTTTTTTTTTTGAGACGGAGTTTCGCTCTTGTTACCCAGGCTGGAGTGCAATGGCGCGATCTCGGCTCACCGCAGCCTCCGCCTCCTGGGTTCAGGCAATTTACCTGCCTCAGCCTCCCGAGTAGCTGGGATTACAGGCACGCGCCACCGCGCCCGGCTAAGTTTTTTGTATTTTTAGATGAGATAGAGTTTCACTATGTTGGCCAGGCTGTTCTGGAACTCTTGACCTCGTGATTTGACCCCCCTTGCCTCCCAAAGTGCTGGGATGTAATTCAAAGAGAATTTTAAATAAGAAGTCAGTGTCTTTATGTCAGTAGGCACTTTTGAGAGGCAGACTTGTAAAGTATTGTTCATACTGCGGCTTTCTAGGTATGTCACCCTTGGAGACGTTACTTGACCACTTTGTCCCTTTTTTCCTCATCTGAAAATGGGGGCATGAACTGGACCTAACTCAGAGGGTTATTGTGAAAATTAAATAAGGTAATGCAAGAAGTACACTTAGAGTAGGAACTGAATATACTAATCTTCAATAAATGACAGCTGTTTTTTTATTATGAAGAACATACCTGTGGAAAATTTTATATTCTGTAATAAGATTAATAAAAACAATGAGCAAAACTTTTTTTCTGGTAACGTTTCACAGTAATGGGCTATATTTCTTGGTTGAGACCTTTTGTTTGATCATTAATTTGAAACCCTTACCTAAAGATAACAATAGCATTATAAAGTTCGGGTCATAAAAGAGAGCTCTAAGATACATGAGCCAGGAAAGGTAATCAAAGAAAAACAAGTTGGTTTACTTTTAGAATATGGTATCTGGGTTGCAGAGGGTGGGCCTGGGAGGGAAAAAGAAAGAAAGAAAGAAATATAGAATATGGTATCCAATTTCTTCCTTTCAGGTATGATGATTGACTCTAGATCAAAGGTTTTAACTCATGAGGGTCAATTTTCTTTTTTCTATGTATATTTTTTGAGACAGTCTAGCTCTGTTGTCCAGTCTGGACTGCCAGGGTGCGATCTTGGCAAACTGCAACGCCTCCTCCCAGGTTCGAGTGATTCTCTTGTGTCAGTCTCCTGAGTAGTAGGGACTACAGGTGTGTGTCACCACGCCTGGTTAATTTTTGTATTTTTAGTAGAAATGGGATTTCACCATATTGGCCAGGCTGGTCTCAAACTCCTGACCTCAGGTGGTCCGCCTGTCCCAGCCTCCCGAAGTGCTGGGATTACAGGTGTGAGCCACCACACCTGGCCAAGGATCAGTTTTCTACTTTGTGAAATCCTTTGTTGGTATACCATTCCTTAGTTTTGTATAGATTGGGTTATTCACTCAACAAGTATTCATTAAGCACCTATGATGTACTGGGCACTGTGTAAAGCATTAAAGGTATGTACACTGGTGATACGTTCCTGTCCTCAGGGAGCTTATAGTCTAGTGAACAGCTGAAGAGCAGATGCAGGACAGCAGGCGGTGTGTTTTCTGCTGTGAAGCACAGTGTGGTGAAGGGGGAAGAGTAGCTCAAGGAACAGACTGCGTGGGATCCAGTCCCCACTGTGGACATTTCCGCTAGGGAACTACTAAGAATAGCCACTTCTTGGCTGTCATATTTAATCCAGTAATTCTTTAATTTTCTCTAAAATGGAGATCAAGATTTACCACTGCCACCCGTACGCCTAGGACTCCTCACGCTCTCCGTAGCTTGGTGCTTTTGTTGCTTATAGGATAACTTGCCTTTGATGATTTTCAAGAGAGTTGCTCTGTGAGGTAGCAAAAGTATCCAGGAAGCAGGATGCCAGTGCCTCAAGGAAATTGGTCCTTTTCAGCGGTGTATTTGGTACCTGGGGCTTGGCCCTTGTGTATTACCTCACACAAAAGACTTTTCCAGGGCTTCATTTCACTAGTTGGCATTGGAGCATGTGCATAGCCATCCCAAGGCACAGGGAGCTCTGGGCCCTCCTTCAACATTCACATTCTCAAACTCACTGACAAGCATGACTTTGTAGACACTGCTGATGCCAAGTTGAAGATTTCCTATCTCTGTATCCAAGTCAGAGGGCCATCTCCAGGTCAGCTCATCCAGAAGTGGCCCCATTCAGAGGTGGCGCCTTGACGAGGTCTTCTTAGAGCTCAAAGATGGTCAGCAGACTCCCATGTTCAAGATCAGTAGGAAGAATGGTGAAGAAGTGGGAACGGAATAGAGACGAGAAGACCCTGGGTTTCTCCTAGTCCGGCCTTCCCTCATCTCCACCATGCGCCCATAAGGGGTGATGGCCCATCTGAGTGACAGACATTCCACAAGCCACTTTCCCACAAGCCACTTTTCATATGCCAGCACATGGTCGTTTTGATATAATTCTAACATCGGCACAATGAATGCTATTGTCATTTTCAAAATGAATCGGAAAGAAAGTCTTATTATAAGTTTAAGAAAATTTATATTGGCTGGGCGCAGTGGCTCAAGCCTGTAATCGCAGCACTTTGGGAGGCCGAGGCGGGTGGATCACGAGGTCAAGAGATCGAGACCATCCTGGTCAACATGGTGAAACCCCGTCTCTACTAAAAATACAAAAAACTAGCTGGGCATGGTGGCGCGTGCCTGTAATCCCAGCTACTCAGGAGGCTGAGGCAGGAGAATTGCCTGAGCCCAGGAGGCGGAGGTTGCGGTGAGCCGAGATCGCGCCATTGCACTCCAGCCTGGGCAACAAGAGCGAAACTCCGTCTCAAAAAATAAATAAATAAATAAATAAATAAATAAATAAAAGAATTTCAAGATGAGGCCGGGCGCAGTGGCTCACACTTGTAATCCACTTTGGGACGCTGAGGCAGACAAATTGCTTGCGCTCAGGAGTTAACACCAGTCTGAGCAACATCGTGAAACCCCTTCTCTACCAAAAAAAAAAGAAAAAAATTAAAATTAGCCATGCATGGTGGCTCATTCCTGTGGTCTCAGCTACTTGGGAGGCTGAGGTGGGTGGAAGTTGAAGTGAGTTGAGATTATACCATATACTCCAGCCTGAGTGACAGTGTGAGACCCTGTCTCAAAAGAACAACGAATTTCAAGATGAGGCAGCATTGTATATCGAATATACATTTTTTTTCCTGAAGAAAGATTAAAAAGCATTCTGCCGGGCGCGGTGGCTCAAGCCTGTAATCCCAGCACTTTGGGAGGCCGAGGCAGGTGGATCACGAGGTCGAGAGATCGAGACCATCCTGGTCAACAAGGTGAAACCCTGTCTCTACTAAAAATACAAAAAATTAGCTGGGCATGGTGGCGCGTGCCTGTAATCCCAGCTACTCAGGAGGCTGAGGCAGGAGAATTGCTTGAACCCAGGAGGCGGAGGTTGCGGTGAGCCGAGATCGCGCCATTGCACTCCAGCCTGGGTAACAAGAGCGAAACTCCGTCTCAAAAAAAAATAATAATAATAAAAAAAAATAAAAAAAAAATAAAAAGCATTCTATTAGAGGAATTTTTTTTCCTATTCTGAGTTAAATGAATCATAAATATTACTTCCACAACAAGCACTGTGTATTTTAAGGGCCCAGCACACTTCATCCATCGCTCGGCTAGTTAGCAGTGTGTACTTGAGAGCACTTTTATGCTCCTGTTGATGAAGAATGTTTGGCTTCAGTGTCAGTGTTGAAGGGGCTGGTAATAATTTTTGAGCTGGCAGTAAGTTTTTAAAGTTACTCTCTTTGTTAACAATAACAAATATTTACTGAATGCGTACTACGGGTTAGCCTATTTTTCAGGCTGTGTGTGAGACTAAAAAGTACACAACTATTCAGCAAATGCTTATTGTGCATTTAGTATGTGCAGGTTCTGTGCTAATGGAGAGGAAAGCAAGGTGATGGGGACCAGGCCTGGCGGCTCACACCTGTAACCCTAGCACTTTGGGAGGTCAGGAGGGCAGAATTCTTTGAGCCCAGGAGTTCAAGACCAGCTTGGGCAACATAGTAATATTCCCGTCTCTACAAAAACAAACAAACAAACAAAAAAACTGGGCATGGTGGTGTACACTTGTTCTAACTGCTCAAGAGGCTGAGGTGGGAGGATGGCCTGAGCCCAAGAGTTTGAGACTGTGGCGAGCTAGGACCGTTCACACCAGCCTGGTGACAGAGCCAGACCTTGTCCCCCTCACTCCCCATTTTTTTTTTTTTGAGATTGAGTCTCACCCTGTGATCCAGGCTGGAGTGCAATGGCATGATCTCGGCTCACGGCAACCTTCAAGCGATTCTCTTGCCTCAGCGTCCTGAGTAGCTGGGATTATAGGTGTGCGCCACCAGGCCCAGCTAAATTTTTTTGTATTTTTAGTAGAGATGGGATTTCATCATTTTGGCCAGGGTGGTCTTGAACTCCCGACCTTGTGATCCACCCGCCTCGGACTCCCAAAGTGCTGGGATTACAGGTGTGAGCCACCTCGCCTGACCCTTGTCTCTTAAAAAAAAAAAAAGAAAGAAAGAAAAAGCCATAAAGATTGGCAGAAGGGAAAGAGTCTACCCCTGTAAGAGCTGTCAGCGCTCTCTAGGCACAGGACAAATCATCCTTTATGATTATGTGTCTAAGCATTATCAAAGGGACCTGGACAGAGAGAAGTAGTGGAGGTAGAGAAGGGCACAGCATTTCATAAAGGAACATCTCTCTGTGTTAATTACCTATTGCAATGTATCAGATCACCCCCAACTTACCATCTTAAAACAACAGATCGTTGTGAGGATCAGGAATTTGGCTCAGCTGGCTGCTTCTGGCTCAGGGTCTTTCCTGAGGCTGCAGTGAAGCGGTTGGCCAGTGCCGAGGTCATCTGAGACCGTACTCACATGGTGGTTCGTAGCCTCCTCTCCTTGCTGGCTGTTGGACTGAGGGCCTCGGTTCCTTACCACTTCACCCTCTCCGCAGGGCTACCGGAGTTGAGTGTCCTTAAGACATGGCACCTGGCTTCCCCTAGAGCCTAGTGATCCAAGGTGGGGAGGGAATGAGGGGCAGAGAGAAAAAGAGGGTGGGGGAGGGAAGAAAAAGTCACAGTGTCATTTGTAACCCAGTCTCAAAAACGACATGGTCATTTCTGCCGTATTCTAGTGGACACAGAGATCACCTTGGCAAAATGAGGGTGGATATTACACAAGATGTGAGTACCAGGAGGTAGGGAATCATTGGGCCATTTTGGAATCTGGCTGCCACAACTTCCTTCTGTGACTGGGGGAGAAGAAACATGTGCAGTAGCCTGCCGTCTGGTATAGCCAGCGCCCGGAGGGGTGGCAGGGCTGGAGTGCTCCCAAGCAGGGCTGCTTCCCTCATCAGTATTCCTTTACATGACTGCTAGCATCCCTGCTGATGCTTCAAGGGTAGGTCATGTTTGAGGTGGTGCACCATCCTAGATTATCTTCACTATGTACAATGTGCATTGTTACAATACGTACATGATACGCTGTAATATACTATATAAATCACTTAGTAAACTGGGTGCAGTGTTTCATGCCTGCCATCCTAGCACTTTGGGAGGCCGAAGCTGTTGGATCACCTGAGGTCAGGAGTTGGAGACCAGCCTGGCCGACATGTTGGACCCCATCTCTACTAAAAAGACAAAATTAGCCAGACGTAATGGCCTGAGACTGTTGTCCTAGACCAGGCATCCACAAACTTTTTTTTTTTTTGAGACGGAGTTTCGCTCTTGTTACCCAGGCTGGAGTGCAATGGCGCGATCTCGGCTCACCGCAACCTCCGCCTCCTGGGCTCAGGCAATTCTCCTGCCTCAGCCTCCTGAGTAGCTGGGATTACAGGCACGTGCCACCATGCCCAGCTAATTTTTTGCACTTTTAGTAGAGACGGGGTTTCACCATGTTGACCAGGATGGTCTCGATCTCTCGACCTCGTGATCCACCCGCCTCGGCCTCCCAAAGTGCTGGGATTACAGGCTTGAGCCACCGCGCCCGGCCGTCCCCAAACTTTTTACACAGGGGGCCAGTTCACTGTCCCTCAGACCGTTGCAGGGCCGCCACATACTGTGCTCCTCTCACTGACCACCAATGAAAGAGGTGCCCCTTCCTGCAGTGTGGCGGGGGGCCGGATAAATGGCCTCAGGGGGCCGCATGCAGCTTGTGGGCCGTAGTTTGGGGACGCCTGTCCTAGACATTCCAGAGGCTGAGGCAGGACAATCAATTGAACCCGGGAAGCGAGGTTGCAGTGAACTGAGATTGCACCACTGCACTCCAGCCTGGGTGACAGAGCGAGACTCTGTCTCTAAATAAATACATAAATGATATAGTAATTAACTATACTAATCTATAATTAATATAATTATATATAAAAATAAAAGAACATGAATTTTGAGGCTTTTAAAAAAACCTAGATGAGATGATAAATCATTAACTTTTCTTACAGGATAATTTATTGGCTAACATAAATTAATTAGTAACTGAATTTAACATTTTTCTTTCAGGTGTGTTTTGATTGTGGTGCCAAAAATCCCAGCTGGGCAAGTATAACCTATGGAGTGTTCCTTTGCATTGATTGCTCAGGGTCCCACCGGTCCCTTGGTGTTCACTTGAGTTTCATCCGGTGAGTGAGTCTCCTCTCATTGGGGTGAAAGCAATCACATTGTTACATGGGTGACTTTTTCCTTTTTTCTTTTTTTTTTTGAGACAGGGTCTTACTCTTTCACCTTGTCTGCAGTAGTACCATCACAGCTCACTGGGCTCAAGTGAACTCCCACCTCAGCCTCTACAAAAAATAAAAAGTCCTGTGGTGTGATAATGTGTGACTATAGTCCTAGTTCTCAGGAGGCCGAAGTGGGAGGATCACTTCAGCCCAGGAGGTCAAGGGTGCAGTGAACTATGGTCATGCCACTGCATTCCAGCCTGGGCGACAGAGCGAGACCCTGTCTCAAGAAAGAAAGGAGAGAGAGAGAGAGAGAGAGAGAGAAAGAAAGGAAAGGAAAGGAAGAAAGAAGGAAGAAAGAAAGAGGAAAGGAAAGAAATTTGATTTTATGACAGTTATCTTCTAATAATTTATCAGTACAAAATACAGACTCATGGGAGAAGGGGAGTCAGATACTGTTGGTCTGTCCTGTGTCCACCAAAGTAGAGAGTTTATGTAAATGATGAGATGCTCGCCTTGATCAGGGCTCCACTTCCAGAACAGTCTTACAGCTCTGGCTCCCCAGGACTCCAAGATCACAAAGCCTGAGTGAATGATTTTTAGTGGCAATTTCAAATGTTTATAACCTGAAGGTCTTTTTTCTCTTTTTTTTTTTGAGACGGAGTTTCGCCCTTGTGACCCAGGCTGGAGTGCAATGGCGCGATCTCGGCTCACTGCAACCTCCGCCTCCTGGGCTCAGGCAATTCTCCTGCCTCAGCCTCTTAAGTAGCTGGGATTACAGGCACGCGCCACCACGCCCAGCTAGGTTTTTTTTTGTATTTTTAGTAGAGACGGGGTTTCACCATGTTGACCAGAATGGTCTCGATCTCTCGACCTCGTGATCCACCCGCCTCGGCCTCCCAAAGTGCTGGGATTACAGGCTTGAGCCACTGCGCCCGGCGATCCCAGAATATTTTGAATACATTATTTTGTCCTTGTCTCTTTCTATAAATGTTGAGGGATTTAGTTGCCAAAATGAATGGCTTAATTCATTCAAGGCAAGTTTATTTATTATTCCATTTTTTTTCTTATTATGGTAAAATCCACATACAATTTACCATCTTAACCATTTTTAAGTGTATAGTTCAGTGGCATTAAATACATTCATAATGCTGTGTGACCAGCACCACCATCCATCCTTAGAACCCTCCATCTTGCAAAACTGAAACGTTGTATACCCATTAAACACTAACTCTATATTCCTTTCTCCTCCTGTTCTCTGGCAACCACCATTTGAATTTCTGTCTCTATGATTTTAACTACTCTCAGTACCTCATTTGAGTGGAATCGTACAAATTTGTCTTTTAGTGATGGGCTTATTTTTCTTAGCATAATATCCTTAAGGATCATTTGCAACATTTGTCATAAATTCCTAACATTTTGAGGCTGAATAATATTTTAGTGTCAGATATATATAGATCACATTTTCCAATCCATTCATCTGTTAATAGCTTGCTCCCACATTTTAGCTATTGTGAATAATGCTGCCATGAACATGGATATATAGGTATGTCTCTTGAGACCCTGTTTACCGTTTCTCTTCTTTTTGTTTGTCTGCTTGTTTGAGACAGCGTCTTGCTCTGTCGCCCAGCCTGGAGTACAGTGGCACAGTCAGGGTTCACTGCAGCCTTGATCTCCTGGGCTCAGCTGATCCTCCCACCTGAGCCCCCTAAGTTGCTGAGACTATAGGTGTGTGTTACCATGCCTGGCTGTTTTTGTTTTTGAAAATTTTAATAGAGACAAGGTCATGCCAAGTTGCGCAGGCTGGTTTCAAACTCCTGAGCTCTAGTGATCCTCCCACCTTGACCTCCCAAAGTGCTGGGATTACAGGTATGAGTCGCCATACCCAATTGAGACCTTGTTTTCAGTTCTTTTGGGCGAATATCCAGAAGTGGAATTGCTGCATCATAGAGTTATTCTATTTTTTTTTTTTTTTTGAGACGGAGTTTTGCTCTTGTTAACCCAGGCTGGAGTGCAATGGCGCGATCTCGGCTCACCGCAACCTCCGCCTCCTGGGTTCAGGCAATTCTCCTGCCTCAGCCTCCTGAGTAGCTGGGATTACAGGCACGTGCCACCATGCCCAGCTAATTTTTTGTATTTTTAGTAGAGACGGGGTTTCACCATGTTGACCAGGATGGTCTCGATCTCTCGACCTCGTGATCCACCCGCCTTGGCCTCCCAAAGTGCTGGGATGACAGGCGTGAGCCACCGCGCCGGCCTGTTTTTTCCCTTTCTTTCCTAAGTCTCCCCCACTGTAATCTGGCTCTCCTCCTTCCTTATCACTAAAGAATGCTTCCAGGAAATCCTGGTTTTATGACGTGTTCCTCCCTGAGGGAAGGACTGACCTTGGGCCATTGCCGGTTTAATCACTGACCTTTTAAAAGTCAGATAAATGGAACTGTATGATTCACAATGCTTGTGAATGATTCAAAACAATAATTAAAATTCATGGTAGGGCCTTAGGGCAGGAGTCCAGGATTTGGGCAAGAGAAAGTTAAGGATGAGAAGGTACTCAGTATGGTTTTTGTTATTTTTAAGGCAGAGAACAGCTACTCTTCAAACATTTTTATTGATTAAAAAAAAATTGGGGGCCAGACACAGTGGTTCACACCTGTAATCCCAGCACTTTGGGAGGCCAAGGTAGAAGAATCACTTGAACTTGGGAGTTTTTTTCTTTTAATTTACTTGCTTATATATTTTTTCTATTCAAGACAGTCTCATTCTTTCACCCAGGCTGGAGTGCAGTGGCACGATCTGAGCTCACTGCAAACTGCAGCTTCTGGGTTCAAGCGATTCTCCTGCCTTAGCCTCCCGAGCAGCTGGAATTTCAGGTGTGCGCCACCACACCTGGCTAATTTTTGTATTTTTAGTAGAGACAGGGTTTCACCATGTTGGCCAGGCTGGTCTTGAACTCCTGACTGTAAGGGTAGCCGAGAGAAAGGAGAATAGACCCAAAATCAGGCAAGAAAGTTTTATTCAGCTGCTGGACTGCTCCATAGCAATCAGAGGAGGCACCCCTGAGCTTACAAAATGAGGGGCTTATATAGGGTGAGAGGGGCATAAGGGGGGCGTTTCAGGTAACAGGCACAGAGATAGTTTGTTAACTTGCAACAGACCTACAATACATCATTCTATGACTTTTGTGGCGGCAGTCTTTAAAAAATAAGACAGAAACCAGGATTTTTTTACAGATATGTGTCAAACAGGAATTTACAAGTATGGATAACCAACATATGTTTTCCCTGTCCTCCCTTGAGCTGCCAGGATGGCTGTAATCAGGTTTTGCTTGATTGCCACATGTCTGGCAGCCTTGATGTGGTGCCTAGTTAGGGGTTCAGGGGTGCAGTGGCAGGGCAGTCAGAGGGGCCTGCGGTCAGCCTGCATGGAGGGGGTTTTCTGAGGCAGCACAGCTTGTCTCTAACACTGACCTCGTGTGATCTACCTGCTCAGCCTCCCAAAGTACTGAGACTACAGGCATGAGCCACAGTGCCTGGCTGAGCCTGGAGTTTGAGGCTGCAGTGAGCTATGATCTCTCCACTTTACTTCACTCTAGGTGACAGAGCAAGACCCTGCCTCCAAAAATAAAAAACACTAGCTAATTGGGAGAAAATCCAAGCAGTCCCAAAGTATATAAGGTCCTTCCTCTAGAATACTTTTCCCCTCTTCTTCCCCTCCCACTGCCAGACACACACACACACACACACACACACACGTGCGCACGCCCATGCGAATTTTCCAGGCATGATCACTGTCACCTGTGTGGCATGGGTGGTGTGCTTATTGAAGTGGAGGTTTTTTTTTTTTTTTTAACTAGAATTTCAAGTCAATAATTTTACATAGGAAAATAATTTATAAACTATGGCTTTTGCCAAGCAAAAGGGGGAAGGCACGTTAGGAGTATATGGAGAGGGCAGGCTGCTTGGGGAGCTGACTGCTCCCAGAGTGGACCTGACTGAACTGACCTCTGCCCCTTTTCACCTCCATTGCTGGGATATCCATGTTTCAGGCTGCTCCTCCCCTCTAGCTCTGTTTCGACTCAAGTTTGCCGTTACCTGTTTTATGAACTTATTAGAGGTGAATGGGAGCCCTTCATCCATCTTGTTGACATGGGACTAGGCACAGGCTTAAATACAACATAAATAAGTAGACTGTAAAGTTCTACATGAGACAAGGAAACTAAGTACTGTGCCCACTTCTGGTTAGAAAATTAGGCAAAGTTGCCGGGCGCAGTGGCTCAAGCCTGTAATCCCAGCACTTTGGGAGGCCGAGGCGGGTGGATCATGAGGTCAAGAGATCAAGACCATCCTGGTCAACATGGTGAAACCCCGTCTCTACTAAAAATTCAAAACATTAGCTGGGCATGGTGGCGCGTGCCTGTAATCCCAGCTACCCAGGAGGCTGAGGCAGGAGAATTGCCTGAACCTGGGTGGCGGAGGTTGCGGTGAGCCGAGATCGCGCCATTGCACTCCAGCCTGGGTCACAAGAGCGAAACTCCGTCTCAAAAAAAAAAAAAAAAAAAAAAGATGTTGATAATGGAGACAAGGCTTGGCACGGTGGCTTGTGCCTGTAATCCCCGCACTTTGGGAGGCCAAGGTGGGAGGATAGCTTGAGCCCAGGAGTTTAAGACCAGCCTGGGCAACATAGTGAGACCTCATCTCTACAACAACAAAAACGGATAATGGAGACAAGGCAGGGAAAATTGAGCTCAGCACTTGGACCTTCAGATAGAGAAGGAAAAAGCACAATGCTTTGTAGCTAGCTTTCATCTAGGAAAATAAATAGAAATAAGGGTGAAAGGAGAGGATTTGTCACATCGTGGAGCGTCTTAGCTGCCAGGCTGGGAGCTCGTGCTTCACTCCTGAGGCCTGCGGGGAGGCCGACTCAGCCTGGCAGAGCAGGAGACAGCGTCAGGACAAGGTGGGGACCAAGGCTGAGGATGCTGGAGCCGGGATGGCGGGGGTCCAAAACCGAGCTGTCCCTTCCTGGCCCCAGGTGTGTTCCTTACCTCCAAATGTCTTACTTCCTTCTGTTGAAAGTGGAGGTGAGAATACTAGGACCTGCAGTATGGGGTGTTGGCAGGAGCGAGCAAGAGAATCCCATATAGCCTGACACGTAGCGAGCCCTAGAACATGTTGATGCTGGTCAGAGCAGAATCTGGGCTCCAGTTCAGTAGACACCAGGGGAGAAACTTTTTTTTTTTTTTTTTTTTTTTGAGACGGAGTTTCGCTCTTGTTGCCCAGGCTGGAGTGCAATGGCGCGATCTCGGCTCACCGCAACCTCCGCCTCCTGGGTTCAGGCAATTCTCCTGCCTCAGCCTCCCAAGTAGCTGGGATTACAGGCACGCGCCACAATGCCCAGATAATTTTTTGTATTTTTAGTAGAGACGGGGTTTCACCATGTTGACCAGGATGGTCTCGATCTCTTGACCTTGTGATCCACCCGCCTTGGCCTCCCAAAGTGCTGGGATTACAGGCTTGAGCCACCGCGCCCTGCTGAAACTTTTTATGTGTTAGTGTAGAAAGACAACACTGTTCCTGTCCTTATAGAAGTAATCAACTTATAAACAAAGGGCTGCTGGGAAGTTGTTACTGAGCTTGTCTATAAGTCAAGCTCTAGATTAATAATGATATGCACTTTGGGAGACTGAGGCAGGGGTATTGCTTGAGGCCAGGAGTTTGAGACCAGCCTGGCCAACATGGTGAAACCCCATCTTTACTAAAATTACAAAAATTAGCCTGGCGTGGTTCTGCACGCCTCTAATCCCAGCTGCGCCGGGAGGCAGAGGCACGAGAATTGCTTGAATCCAGGAGGTAGAGGTTACAATGACCTGAAGTTGTGCCACTGCACTCCAGCCTGGACAACAGAGTGAGACTCAGTCTCAAAAAAAAAAAAAAAAAAAAGGTTGACTGGGCATGGTGGCTTACACCTGTGATCCCAACACCGAGAGGCTGAGGTGGGAGTATTGCTTGAGCCCAGGAGTTCTAGACCAGCTTGGGCAACGTAACAAGACCCTATCTATTGGGGGAAAAAAAAGCCAAGCATGGTGGCTACCAGCTACTTGGGAGGCTGAGACAGGAGGATTGCTTGAGCCTCGTTGAGGCTTCAGTGAGCTGTGATCATACCACTCCACTCCTGGGTGATGGAGTGACACCCTGTCTCAGAAAGAAAGAGAGAAAGGGAGAGAGAGAGGAGAAAGAGAGAGAAAGGAGGGAGGGAGGGAGAGAAGGAAGGAAAGGAGAGAGGGAGGGAGGGAGGGAGGGAGGGGAGGGAGGGAGAGAAGGAAGGAAAGGAGAGAGGGAGGGAGGGAAGGGAGGGAGGGAGGGAGGGAGGGAGGGAGGGAAGGAAGGAAGGAAGAGTAAATGTAAGGGCAGCACAAAAGAAAGTTTTGGTAGACCTGAGGCTTCTTTTCTTTCTTTCTTGCCCGTTTTGTAAAGGGAATTCTGCCCATACCCATTCTAAAATATCCACATTCCTTTACAGTTAGTGTAGGGCAAGCTATTACTGAATAGCAGCCTCTGCTTTTTGCCCATTTCTGTGGATTCGGTATAAAGATTCTAACATTGTTGCTTTATGGTCGACCCCTTGGTGAATGTGCATCATTGAGGCTATGGTCACTGCCTTTATTTGTTTCTGATTTGATCTTACAGTGGAGATAAGTCAGACATAAGGTATGGCAGGGGCAGGAAGTGCTTGAGGCGTTCACTTCAGGAGTGTGAAATCTTGTGTTTTCTCCTCTTCCTGCTGGTGGTGTTGTTGGGTAGGTCTCTTCTACCTGGTGATAAGAGAATGAACATCCTCCAAGCTTCTGGTGGGATCACACTGAACAAATAGATCACCAACCTGAAAACATCCAAACATTGCATCTGTTTTGAGTAGACACATTACCAAATTTTAAATCATATCCAACCAAGGCTGGGAGGCAAAGAGTTGATGTTGTTCCAACAGCCTGGTGACACTTGTCATGTCCCTGTGCCCTGCATTCCAGGAAGGATTAGAGGAGCCAGGGCTTGCTTGCACCAATCACCATCCAGTCTGGAATCTTAGCATCCCAAAAGTGTGGGTCCTTGTTGACTCAAACTTAGACTTCTTTGGTATCTTAAAGCTTAAGGAAAACGTGTTCTCAAAAGCTTAGTGATGTTGATCCTGGGAATAAAAGTATTAATGTTTAGTACTATTCTTTCCATTTAGATCTACAGAGTTGGATTCTAACTGGTCGTGGTTTCAGTTGCGATGCATGCAAGTTGGAGGAAACGCCAATGCAGTAAGTTCATCTCAAACTTGTTGTTTCCTTTCCTGTTTAAATACTTGTTATGCTATAATAGTAAAGAAGTTCAGGCTAGGCGTGGCGGCTCATGCCTGGAATCCCACCCCTTTGGGAGGCCAAAGTGGAGGATCACTGGAGCCCAAGGAGTTCAAGACCACCCTAGGCAACATGGCGAGACTGTCTATTTAGAAAAACCAAACAGGCCGGGCGCTGTGGCTCACGCCTGTAATCCCAGCACTTTGGGTGGCCAAGGCAGGCAGATCACTTGAGGTCAGGAGTTTGAGACCAGCCTGGCCAACATGGTGAAACCCCATCTCTACTAAAAAACAACAACAGCAACAAAAATTAGCTGGGCATGGTGCCACACACCTGTAATCCCAGCTACGTGGGCGGCTGAGGCAGGAGAATTGCTTGAACCTGGAAGGCGGAGGTTACAGTGAGCTGCACTCCAGCTGGGTGACAGAGCGAGACTCCATCCCCATAAACAAACAAACAAAAAGAGTTCAACACTTTCAAGTTTGGGAGGTCCTATGACATGAAGAAGAGAACCTGGTGGGTTTTGAAGTTAGACCCAGTTCACTTGTTTATTCAAAAATCTCTTAAACACCTAATAAATAGGAAACGTTGGCTAAGTGCTGGGGATATAGTGACAGACAAGACAGACAAGTTCCCTTCTGGGTGTGGTGGCTCATGGTTGTAATCCTAGAACTTTGGGAGACTGAGTCAGGCAGATCACCTTGAGCCTGTGAATACAAGACCAGCCTGGACAACATGGCAAAACCCCATCTCTACAAAAAATACACAAATTAGAAAAGCATGGTACTGCATACCTGCAGGCCCAGCTACTCGGGAGGCTGAGGTGGGAGGATCTCTTGAGCCTGGGAGGTAGAGGTCGCAGTGAGCTGAGATTGCACTATTGCTCTCCAGCCTGTGTGACGGAGTGAGACCTTATCTCTAAAAAATAATTTAAAATAACCAAGATCCCCTCTTAGAGGCAGAGGCTTTCAGAGAGTAATCAAAGAAGTATGTTCACAGGAAAACAACAGGCAGTGGTAAGTGCTTTAAGAAAATTAACACAGGAAGTGAGGGCATGAAGAAACTGGAGGCTTCTTTATGACAATATTTTTTTAATATCTGGGGTGACTTTGTGCTTAGGATAAAATACTTGTATTTGAATTAACATTTAACTTCTTAAATCTACAAATTAAAAAAAAAAATCTTTTTGTTTTATTTTGTTTTGTTTTTAAAGTCAGGGTTTAACCATGTGGGCCAGAGTGGTCTCGAACTTCTGACCTCAGGTGATCCGCCCGCCTCGGCCTCCCAAAGTGCTAGGATTACAAGGGTGAGCCACCGCACCCAGCCTGTTTTTGTTTTTTTGAGATGGAGTCTGGCTCTGTTGTCTAGGCTGGAGTGCAGTGGCGCCATCTCGCCTCACTGCAACCTCTGCCTCCCTGGTTGAAGAGATTCTCCTGCCTCAGCCTCCTGAGTAGCTGGGACTACAGGCACATGCCACCATGCCTGGGTCTTTTGATATTTTTAGTAGAGATGGGGTTTCACCATGTTGGCCAGGCTAGTCTTGAATTCCTGACCTCAACTGATCTGCCCGCCTTGGCCTCCCAAAGTACTAGAATTACAGGGGTGAGCCACCGTGCCCAGCCAGAAAACCCATTCTGCACGTCTTCAAATATAGCAAATATTGTGTGTTAATTTCTAAACACAAATATTAATATTGTGTGTTGTTTAGTTTATAATTTTAAAAGAACAGATTTCCTTAAACCCCATTTACAAACCTGATTAAGGATTTTTAGACACTTTAAACTTTATTTACAAATTCAATATATTCGATTATCTGAAGCACTGAACTGGCAGCCTTACAAATCTAACTAGCCAAATCTTGCAAAACACTGGTAGCCTCCTTATCAGGCCAGAATGGTGTAGGTTGAGTGAATGGAATTCTTTTAGGCATTTCTTAATATGCTAAAGTATAAGAAATCAAATTTGTATACATTTTAAATAAAAATTATGGCCAGCATGGTGGCTCATGCCTGCAAGTCCAACACTTTGGGAGGCTGAGGTGAGAGGAACACTTGAGTCCAGGAGTATAAACCAGCCTGGGCAACGTAGTAAGACCTCATCTATACAAAAAAACTTAAAAATTAGTAAGGCATGGTAGTCCCTGCCTGTAGTCTCAGCTACTCAGGAGGCTGAGGTGGGAGGATCACTTGAGGCCAGAAGTTCAAGGCTGCAGTGTCTCAAAAAAAAAGATAATAATTTTATACACACACACGCATATGTATACACACATGCACACATATATGCACATCAATTAAATTGTTAAAGTTGTAAGTCTAAGATAGAAGTTTTCAAAATGCTAGTTTCTCAATCTTTTTTCATCATTGTCCCTAAGCAGAAAAATTAATTAGATAATTTTCCCTTTAAATTGGATCTAATGTTTCCCTAATGAGAGAAATTAAATACTAAGGGATACAGTTTTGTCAAGTAGAGGCGACCTCTGGAAGGCCACAAACCATTGTAATAACTAAGTTTTTTTTGTTGTTGTTTTTTTTTTTTACTTTTTAAGAAACAATTTTTGCCCCTCTTAATGAAAAACGTATGCCTGGCCATGCATGGTGGCTCGTACCTGTAGCCCCAGAACTCTGGGAGGCTGAGGCAGGAGGAGCACTTGAGCCCATGAGTTCAAGACCAGCCTGGACAACAAAGTCTACAAAAACATTTTTTAATTAGCCAGGCATAGTGGGGCATGCCTGTAGTCCCAGCCACTGGGAGTCTGAGGCAGGAGAATCACTTGAGCCCAGGAGGCTGAGGCTGCAGTGAGCAGTGTTCACCGTGCCACTGCACGCTAGCCAGTCTGGGTAACAGAGCAAGACCGTCTCAAAAGATAAAAAGAAAAAGAATATATGCCTTAGATGTTTCAGACTTTTTTTTTTTTTTGAGACGAAGTCTCACTCCTGTTGCCTAGGCTGGAGTGCAGTGGCAAAAGCATGGCTCACCACAGCCAGCCTCAGCTTCCTGGGCTCAGGTGATTCTCCCACTCAGCCTCCCAAGTAGCTGGGACATTTTTACATTTTTAGTAGAGACAGGATTTTGCGATGTTGCCAGGCTAGTCTCAAACTCCTAGGCTCAAGTGATCTGCTCACTTCGGCCACCCAAAATGCTGGGATTACAGGCATGAGCCACCGGACCCGGCCAGTGTTTCTTATTAATTTTTAAATTAATTTTCTATTTTTTTGTAGAGACATGGTCTCATTTTGGTTCCCAGGTTGGTCTCAAACTCTTGGCCTCAAGCAATCCTCCTGCCTTGGCTTTCTAAAGTGCTGGGATTACAGGCATGAACCACTGTGCCCAGCCTCAAGCATCTTATTAGAAACCTTTGCCCATTATCATGGTGTTGACAGAGTTGTTCCTAAACTTCGCACCTGTTGGTTTGACTTACCTGTCTTTGTTTCTAAGCCTTGCCAAGGCTTGCAGAGTCACTCCAAACTCCAGAAAGTTGCATTCTCATTTCAAGCCAGCAGGGGTTAGGGGATATGGTGAGGGAAGGCTTATATATTACTGGTCATTCAGCTTACCCAGTGGAGCTGTGAGTTACAGGCTTGGAACCATCCTTTTTGTATTTGAATCTTAACTCTGTCCTTCGCTTCCCATGTGACCTGGGGCAAGTTATCGAACCTCTGAGTGCGTCGTTTTTCCCTTCTGTAAAGTGTAGATAGTAATAGTGATTGTCTGAAGTGTTGGTGTGAGGACTGAATGAGATGATGCCCATAAAGCACTTGGGACAGGATCTGGAACATGTGGGTGACCAATATCATTATTAGTCAACTGTTAATAAAAGGATCACTGGCCGGGCGTGGTGGCTCACGCCTGTAATCCCAGCACTTTGGGAGGCCGAGGCAGGTGGATCATGAGGTCAAGAGATCAAGACCATCCTGATCAACATGGTGAAACCCCGTCTCTACTAAAAATACAAAAGTTAGCTGGGCATGGTGGCGCGTGCCTGTAATCCCAGCTACTCAGGAGGCTGAGGCAGAATTGCTTGAACCCAGGAGGCGGAGGTTGCGGTGAGCCGAGATCGCGCCATTGCACTCCAGCCTGGGTAACAAGAGTGAAACTCTGTCTCAAAAAAAAAAAGGATCACTTGTATGGGTTTTTAGGAAACCTGTTTTAATTAAGATCTGAATTCTATAATTTATGTCTATACATGGATCCTCATGAAGTGGATGAAAGCAATTTTTTCTAATCGTTTAAATACTTGTTTTGGCCGGGCACAGTGGCTCAAGCCTGTAATCCCAGCACAGTGGCTCAAGCCTGTAATCCCAGCACTTTGGGAGGCCGGGGCAGGTGGATCACGAGCTCAAGAGATCGAGACCATCCTGGTCAACGAGGTGAAACCCCGTCTCTACTAAAAATACAAAAAATTAGCTGGGCATGGTGGCGTGTGCCTGTAATCCCAGCTACTCAGGAGGCTGAGGCAGGAGAATTGCCTGAACCTGGGAGGCGGAGGTTGCAGTGAGCCGAGATCGCGCCATTGCACTCCAGCCTGGGTAACGAGCGAAACTCCGCCTCAAAAAAAAAAAAAAAAAACAACTTGTTTTATCATCTTACCTATACTGTAGTCTCTGTTAATGACACAATAGTGCTGAAAAAGGTAAATCTTAATGTAGCTCCTAATTTGTCAAAAATTCTGATTTAGTAGAATCCAAATTGAGATTGACTATGGACTGGGTGTAGTGGCTTACACTTCTAATCCCAGCACTTTGGGAAGCCAAGCTGGGAGGATTGCTTGAATCCAGGAGTCGGAGGCTGCAGTGAACTATGATCATGCCACACTACACTCCAGCCTGGATGACAGAGTCAGACGATCTCAAAAACAAAGAAAAGGATCAGGAGCAATGGCTCACGCCTGTAATCCCAGCAATTTGTGAGGCCAAGGCAGGTGGATCCCTTGAGCTCAGGAGTTCAAGACTAGCCTGGGCAACATAGCGAGACCCCATCTCTACAAAAAATACAAAAATTAGCCAGGTGTGGTGGCACACGCCTGTACTCCCAGCTACTTGGGAGGCTGAGGTGGTGGGATCACTTGAGCCCAGGAAGTGGAGGTTGCAGTGAACCGAGATGGAGCTACTGCACTGCAGCCTGGGTAATAGAGCAAGACTCTGTCTCAAAAAAAAAAGAAAAAAAAAGTGACCGGGCATGGTGGCTCATACCTGTATTCCTGGCACTTTGGGAGGCTGAGGCGGGCGGATCACAAGGTCAGGAGTTTGAGACCAGCCTGGCCAACACAGTGAAACTCCATCTTAAAAAAAAAAAAGGAAAAAGCCGGGCGCGGTGGCTCAAGCCTGTAATCCCAGCACTTTGGGAGGCCGAGGCGGGTGGATCACGAGGTCAAGAGATCGAGACCATCCTGGTCAACATGGTGAAACCCCGTCTCTACTAAAAATACAAAAAATTAGCTGGGCATGGTGGCGCGTGCCTGTAATCCCAGCTACTCAGGAGGCTGAGGCAGGAGAATTGCCTGAACCCAGGAGGCAGAGGTTGCGGTGAGCCGAGATCGCGCCATTGCACTCCAGCCTGGGCAACAAGAGCGAAACTCCGTCTCAAAAAAAAAAAAAAAAAAAAAAAAAAAAAGGAAAAAAAAAAGTAGACATATCCAAGTCACGGCACCAAAAAAAAAAAAAAAAAAAAAAGAAAGAAAAGAAAAGAAAAGAAATTGATTGCTCATGAATTAAAAGTAGTCCTGAGTAGAAACTTTCTCCCCAAATAAATTTCACAATGACAGAGGTGGTTTATTGGGCAAATGAGGAATAGTTATTTCATTTTATAATGCAAGTATCATAGCTAGTTTTACCAAAATATTAATCTGCATGCTTTTCTCTGTAGTCTTCCTTTTTTCATCAACATGGGTGTGCCACCAATGACACCAATGCCAAGTACAACAGTCGCGCTGCTCAGCTCTATAGGGAGAAAATCAGATCACTCGCTTCCCAAGCAACACGGAAGCACGGCACTGACGTAAGTCACTGGAGGCGGGATTGTTTCCTTTAGATACATGTTTGCTTAGTAGAAAGTGATTTTTATCCTGAATAATAAAACTTTTCTACCTGAGTGTTCTTACAAGGAAATAATGTACAGTAGGTTATTATTATTTGAAACAGTTATGTTCTGCATGAGCACTGGATCAGTGAATACGGAAACATTGCTCCTAGGAGAAATAAAGAATTAGGTTCCTATGAGCTTCTGGTCCCATTTTCGTCAGCTGATCGATACGTAACCTGATTTAACATGTGTTTCTATTTAAAGATGCCTTTTTAAATATGTATTGATGGCTCATGAATATTGAACTCACAGCCAAGGAGTATAACTCAGCCCTGAACGAAGTTTATTTCACACCTGGATTTTCTCCATAAGGCACATCACAGCCTTCATGTACTTCATGGGAACAAACATTAGCTAGCCCTTCAGTACTGCACTTGAGAGCCGCCTGAAACAATGACATCCTCAGTAAAAAGCACAGAAACATGAAGGACATAGCATCGAATAAACTACAGAAAGGACGTTTGTTTATGAGAACTGAAGCTAGAAGGCAGAGTGTGTCTTGTTCTGCCTCAACTGGGAACGTGCTTCTCGGGGAACTCATTTTTTGCTGCACTATTCTCCCAATGACTGAAAACACCACGAGGACTGATTTTGGGGTTAAAAGTAAATTTTAGCAAGTGGGAAATTCCTAAATATGAAATCCATGAAAAATGAGGATTGATGATCATTTGGAACCTGCATTTAGATATGAAGTCCTTGATCTTTCCTTTTCAGAAATGATTTGTGTATTTGAGGTACTTGACTTCCTCAAGGTCTGGAAGCAAAATTTACTGGATGATAGATTACTAATGCGCACTCAGAGGTCCCCTGTAGGCATGCTACTGATTTTATAAGAATGGGAAGTGCCGTGCTCCTTCGGCAGCACATGTGCTGAAATTGGAACGATACAGAGAAGATGAGCGTGGCCCCTGCCAAGGATGACACGCAAATTCGTGAAGCGTTTCGTATTTAAAAAAAATAAAAAGAAGGGAAGGTGCCAATCTTTAGGAAACAGGTCTCTGTAAGGGAAATGAAGGGTATCAAATGAAACCCTTTACAGGCCAGACGACATGCTGAGCCCTGTGTCGTTTTTTGTTCTAGCTGTGGCTTGAGAGTTGTGTGGTTCCACCTTCGTCCCCTCCACCAAAGGAGGAAGATTTTTTTGCCTCTCATGTTTCTCCTGAGGTATGTATTATGCTTCACATTTTAAGGTGTGCTTACTCTGACAGTTCCAAAGGTATGTATTTAAAATGCTAGGATGTAGGCTAAGCTGTTGTAATAAAAATCTTGAAACATAACTACTTAAGAGAGAAATGACATGGTCAGCAATTCCAAGATTAGGCTATCCGCCATGAACTGATGGACTGACTTTGCTGTTCTCAACATGTGGCTTCCCTTCAGGGTCTAAAGCGGCTGCTCCAGTTTAAGACTCTCCCACCTTAAAGGAAGAGGATAAGCATCCTTGTGAGCAAATGCCCTGAATCTGGCCCTGTTGCCCAGGCTGGAGTGCAGTGGCACAAAGTTGGCTCATTATAGCCTCCGCTCCCTGGATTCAAGTGATTCTCCTGCCTCAGACTCCTGAGTAGCTGGGACTACAGGTGTGCACCACCACACCCAGCTAATTTTTGTTTCTGTTTTGAGATGGAGTTTCGCTCTTGTCACCCAGGCTGGAGTGCAATGGCGCGATCTCAGCTCGTTGTAATCTCTACCTCTTGGGTTCCAGCAATTCTTGTGCCTCAGTCTCCCGAGTAGCTGGGACTACAGGTATGCACCACCACACCCAGCTAATTTTTGTATTTTTAGTAGAGATGGGATTTTACCACATTGGCCAGGCTGGTCTTGAACTCCTGACCTCAGGTGATACACCTGTCTTGACCACCCAAAGTGCTGGGATTACAGCTGTGAGTCACCTCGCCCAGCCACAAATGCCCTGTTTTTTTTTTACAGAAAAAGTCTAGAGGGAGCTCCCATCCTCCTACTTATGTCCTGTGAGCTGAAATTTCGTTGCATGTCTTATCTAACTGCCAGGGAGAACTGAGAAATTATTACTAATAGTGTGCCACAGTTGAGTTCAGAGCTCTGAAACTGACCAAAAAAAGAAGACATTTTTAATAGGGGTTTCACTCTCAGCACACGAGCTCTGCTGTTTGTGTAGTGTATATCTCAAAGCTATTGAATGAGCTAATATAGATGTAAGTACTAGTACCTGGCACAGAGTAAGTCTTCAGTAAGTGCTCTAAATACCGCTGTCTCCATCTTTATGACCTGATAGCAGCAGTGACAGCAATCCACTGTACTTCTATGGCCTTTCCTCAGATCACTTAGATCTAAGGAAAGTAAGGCCTATAGAGCCACAATATTTATTATTTGGCCCTTTCTTTTTTCTTTTTTTTTTTTTTTAGATGGAGTTTTCATTCTTGTTACCCAGTCTGGAGTGCAGTGGTGTGATCTCAGCTCACTGCAACCTCTGCCTCCCAGGTTCAAGCAATTCTCCTGCCTCAGCCTCCTGAGTAGCTGGGACTACAGGCATGCACCACCACACCTGGTTAATTTTGTGTTTTTAGTAGTATGGGGTTTCTCCATGTTGGTCAGGCTGGTCTTGAACTCCTGACCTCAGGTGATCTGCCCCTCTTGGCCTCCCAAAGTGCTGAGATTACAGGCATGAGCCACCATGCCCAGCTTACTATTTATCCCTTTAAGGTAACATGTGCCTACCTCTGTCTTACAGCATCATATGTTCTGCCAGCTACCCTACCTCTGCCAAGTCCCACTGACTGAGGGGCACGATTTGTTGAACTCTTGCTCAATCCATTCTTTAATTTTCTTTTTTTTTTTCTGATATGGAGTCTGTGTCGCCCAGGCTGGAGTGCACTGGCACAATCTCAGCTCACTGCAACCTCTACCTCCCAAGTTCAAGCGATTCTCCTGCCTCAGCCTCCCGAGTAGCTGGGATTACAGGCATGTGCCACCATGCCCAGCTAATTTTTTTGTATTTTTAGTAGAGATGGGGTTTCACCATGTTGGACAGGCTGGTCTCGAACTCCTGACCTCAGGTGATCCGCCTGCCTCAGCCTCCCAAAGTGCTGGGATTACAGATGTGAGCCACTGTGGCCAGCTTATTCTTTAATTTTCAATTTAAAACTACATAAAGTTATATAAGTTGTTAAACCTGCCGGGCGCGGTGGCTCAAGCCTGTAATCCCAGCACTTTGGGAGGCAGAGGCGGGTGGATCACGAGGTCGAGAGATCGAGACCATCCTGGTCAACATGGTGAAACCCCGTCTCTACTAAAAATACAAAAAATTAGCTGGGCATGGTGGCGCGTGCCTGTAATCCCAGCTACTCAGGAGGCTGAGGCAGGAGAATTGCCTGAACCTGGGAGGCGGAGGTTGCGGTGAGCCGAGATCGCGCCATTGCACTCCAGCCTGGGTAACAAGAGCGAAACTCCTGTCTCAAAAAAAAAAAAAAAAAAGTTGTTAAACCTTATTTTTTGGTTTTTGTGGGTTTTTTTGCTATTATAATTTGCAGCATACTTACTAGCACTGTCACAGTCAATAGTTACCAAAAATGGTTATCAAAAAAAAAAAAGAACAGACCAGGCATTGTGGCTCATCCCTATAATGTCAGCAGTTTGGGAGGCTGGGGTGGGAGGATAGCTGGAGCCCAGGAGTTTGAGAGGAACCTGGGCAACATAGTGAGATCCCTTCTCTACAAAAAATGTAAAAATTAACTGGGCGTGGTGGCACATGCCTGCAGTCCCAGCTACTCAGGAGGCTGAGGTGGGAGCATCGCTTCAGCTTGGGAGGTCAAGGCTGCAATAAGCTGTGATTGTGCTTCTGCCCTCTAGCCTGGGTGACAGAACGAGACCCCGTTTCTTAAAAAAAAAAAAAAAAAAAAGAAAGCAAGAAAAAAATAGGCCTTCCTTTCCGTTACCAGGGACTCAGAGTGGGACGTTTAAGTCGTAGGTTTCTCCCGTGCTTGGATTTGTTTCTCACGGCTGTTTTCTTGCTTTGTCTGCTAATGACTTTCCTCACCTTGTTTCAGGCGAGTGACGCAGCGTGGGCATCAGCAATAGCAGAACCAGCTTCCTTGACATCAAGGCCTGCGGAAACCACTTCAGAAAATAACGAAGGTGGAGTGCTCAGAACTGTCATGTAATACTGTTCTATGTTTCAGCGGCATGCTATGAAACTATTAAAAATTGAGATGGGCGGGGCACTGTGGCTTGCGCCTGTGATCCCAGCACCTCCCGAGGCTGAGGCAGGAGGATCGCCTGAGCCCAGGAGTTGGAGACCAGCGTGGGCAACATAGTGAGATCCCATGTCTATGAAACAAAACACCGGAAACCTATTAAAATGTAGACCCTTCTGTCTTTTTTTTTTTTTTTTTTTTTAACGATAGAGTCTTGCTCTGTCAGCAGGCTGGAGTGCAGTGGTACCATCTCTGCTCACTTTAACCTCCAACTTCCTGGTTCAAGTGATTCTCCTTTCTTAGCCTCCTAGGTAGCTGGGATTACAGGCATGCATCACCATGCCTGGCTAATTTTTTTTAATTTTTAGTAGAGATGGGGTCTCACCATGTTGGCCAGGCTGGTCTTGGACTCCTGACATCAAGTGATCCGTCTGCCATGGCCTCCCAAAGTGCTGGGATTACAGGTGTGAGCCAACGCACCCAGCCAGGACAAGATTTTTGAAACTTTTAAAAAATTTATTTTATAGGGACGGGGCCTCACTTGTTGCCCAAGCTGGTCTCAAAAGTCCTGGGCTCGAACAATTCTCCTGTCTTGGCCTAAGATTTTTGTAATCGTCATTCATAGCTGAAGAGTTCGTTTATAAAAGCTTATTGTTTAGAATTTCATTTTCTTTCGCACCTGCAACAGTACTTTCATCCTTTGTGCCCAGAAATTTTTTAAGCAATCAAGACGACCTGTTGCCTGAGGCTTTACCTAGAATTTCATGCTTTGGCACTGGGGGATGTAGTGCAGTCTTGAGTGAACTTAGATTACAGAGTGGAAAGGAGAAGAGAAAAGAAGTCTAACAAATCGAGGTCCGGGACGTGAAGTGCTCCGCCGGCTGTTCTTGTTCACTGCTGCTTCTCAGTGCCCAGAGCAGGTCCTGACTCCAGTAAACGGACATGTAGTCAGCGGCTTTTCTATAAAATATCACTGTGCCCACTCATCCTGTTTGGCCTATTTAAATGTCTTTACCAGAGCTTATTTTTTAAGTATTTGCATAAATGAAACAGTAGAGTTTCCTGTAAACCACTGTTGGGCCTGACATTTCAAAAATAATTGTCTTACCATAATATTCACCCTTTTAAAATACACTAATCAGTGGTTTTTAGTATATTCACAAGGTTATGCCACAGACACCACTATCGAAGTTCAGAATATTTTCTGGCTGGGCATGGTGGCTCACACTTTTAGTCCCAGCACTTTGGGAGGCTGAGGCAGGAGGATTACTTGAGCCCAGGGAGTTCAAGACCAGCCTTGGCAACATGGCAAGACCCCTTCTCTCAAAAAAAAAAAAAAAAAAAAAAAAAAAAAAAAGGGCCGGGCGCGGTGGCTCAAGCCTGTAATCCCAGCACTTTGGGAGGCCAAGGCGAGTGGATCATGAGGTCAAGAGATCGAGACCATCCTGGTCAACATGGTGAAACCCCGTCTCTACTAAAAATACAAAAATTAGCTGGGCATGGTGGCAGCGTGCCTGTGATCCCAGCTACTCAGGAGGCTGAGGCAGGAGAATTGCCTGAACCCAGGAGGCGGAGGTTGCGGTGAGCCGAGATCGCGCCATTGCACTCCAACCTGGGTAACAAGAGCGAAACTCCGTCTCAAAAAAAAAAAAAAAAAAAAAAAATCCCATATCATATATTTCTAAAATAAAGAAAAAAAGAATATTTTCAGCAGCATAAAGAAACTACGTAGCCATTAATAGTCACTTTTTATTTCCCTCTGCCCCTGGCATTCATGAGTCTCCTTTCTGTACCTATGGATTTGCCTATTCTGGACCTTTCGTATATATAGAACTATATAGTATGTGGTCTTTTGTGAGTGGCTTTTTAAGCTTATAATTTGTTTCAGAGTTCATTCTTGTTTTAACCGCTATGAGTACTTCATTCCTTTTTGTAGCTAAATAATATTCCATTGAATGGATAGACTACATTAATTTTCGTTTTTTTTTTTAGATGGAGTCTTGCTCTATTGCTTAGGCTAGAGTGCAGTGGCGTGATCTTGGCTCACTGCAATCTCAGCCTCCTGAGCTCAAGCCATTCTCCTGCCTCAGCCTCCCAAGTAGCTGGGATTACAGGTGTGCACCGTCATGCCTGGCTAATCTTTGTTCAGATTTTTTTTTTTTTTTTTTGACATGGAGTCTTGCTCTGTCACCCAGCCTGGAGTGCCATGGCATGATCTCGGCTCACTGCAACCTCTGCCTCCCGGGTTCAAGCAGTTCTCCTGCCTCAGCCTCCTAAGTAGCTGGCATTACGGGTGGCTGCCACCATGTCTGTCTAAGTTTTGTATTTTTAGTAGAGACGTGGTTTTACCATGTTGGCCAGACTGGTCTTGAGCTCTTGATTTCATGATCTGCCTGCCTCGGCATCCCAAAGTGCTGGGATTACAGTTGTGAACCACCGCTTCTGGCCCCCATCTTTGTATATTTTAGTACAGATGGGGTTTCACCATGTTGGCCAGGCTGGTCTCAAACTCCTGACCTCAAGTGATCTGCCTGCCTCGACCTCCCAAAGTGCTGGGATTACAGGCATAAACTACTATATGCCCAGCCTACATTTTATCTATTTTTAAAGTAATAAATAAAATTAAAATAACAAAGTATGGTTGAGCGTGGCGGCTCATGCCTGTAATCCCAGCACTTTGGGAGGTCAAGGTGGGAGGTCTCAAACTCCTGAGCTCAGGTAGTTTGCCCAACTTGGCCTCCCAAAGTTCTGGGATCACAGGCATGAGCCATCGTATCTAGGCTTTAATGAAGGCTTAATAGAGTTGCTAACCAGGATCCCTTTTTAGTTAAAATAGAATAAATAAGGCAGATTTCTTGGCAACTGAAAATTTACATTTCTATCATCGATGTAATTGGTATTAGAATTTCCAAATATTAATATACATTGAGTATATAGTACACAGACGTACTAAGTATCTTATGACAGGTCACTTTGAAACACCAGATCATAAGGTAGAATTCTGAATCCTGTTAGTTGAAGAGATGACTAACATTTTTATTCTATAAAGCCATTGGATTAAAAATACACTTCTACTTTAATGGACTTTTACATCAAAATACTTAAACAATAAAATAGAATATGGAGCTAAAAAGATAGGTGATTGTTGGCAAAATTGGATAAGATATGTAGCACTGAGCAGGTTGAATTATTATACATTCAAAAGCAAATTAGGTTAGTTTATTTTTTGCACTAATAGCAATGTTTTGAATTTTCAGGTGGACAAGAACAAGGACCAAGTGTGGAAGGTCTTAATGTACCAACAAAGGCTACTTTAGGTAATATGCTTAAAAGCCTGCATTTCAATCTGAAGTGTACAACCCATTAAAAAAAAATAAACCCTCTTGCATTTGGCCTAGGCATCTCACCTGATGGAGTAATATAGCATCATGACCGAATCTGTTAATCAGATTTCATTAAGCAAAAGATGCTATATATATGTTTTTTATTCATCTCTCAAGCTTCCATCAAAGACGCTACATTTTAACCAGCTTGATAATATAAAATCCAGCAATGTGGCTGGGTGCAGTGGCTCAGGCCTGTAACCCTAACGCTTTAGGAAGCTGAGGTGATTGCATTGCTTGAGCCCAGGAGTTTGAGACCAGTCTGGGCAACATGGTGAAACCCTGTCTCTACCAAAAAAAAAAAAAAATTAGCCGGGTGTGGTGGAACACACCCGTAGTCCCAGCTGCTTGGGAGGCTGAGGCAAGAGGATCACTTGAACCCAGGAAGTTGAGGCTGCAGTGAGCTGTGATTACACCACTGCACTCCAGCCTGGGTGGCAGTGTGATACCTTGTCTCAAAAAAAAAAAAGGGAGCAATGTGTACATTTAGCCAATATGGTTGCTGGTGTTTTTCATTGGTGAGTTTATGTTGCGGTGGCTCACATTCCCGAAATAAACTGGCCAGAACACCTACACCATTCCTTTTTACTCAGAACTCAGCATTTTTTCTCTTTCTAATTTTATCATAGGTGAACTTAGTCTTAAACCTTTCCTTATGAAGGAATTAGATTTTAATTGGTGCATATTACACTGCATTCGTTGGAAAGCAGCTGCTTTGGTGAAAATAACTAAACTGTTAGAAATGTTCCTGACAGGCGGCGCGGTGACTCACGCCTGTAATCCCAGCACTTTGGGAGGCCACGTTGGGTGGATCACGAGGTCAGTAGTTCAAGACCAGCCTGGCCAAGATAGTGAAACCCTCCATCTCTACTAAAAATACAAAAATTAGCCTGGCATGATGGCGTGCGCCTGTAATCTCGGCTACTCAGGAGGCTGAGGCAGGGAATTGCGTGAACCCAGGAGGCAGAGTCTGCAGTGAGCCTAGATCGTGCCACTGCACTCCAGCCTGGGTGACAGGGCGAGACTGTCTCAAAAAAAACAAACACACACACACACAGAGACACATACACACACAAAAGAAATATTCCAGCCGGGCGTGGTGGCTCACACCTGTAATCCCAGCACTTTGGGAGGCCGAGGCAGGCGGATCACGAAGTCGAGAGATCGAGACCATCCTGGCTAACATGGTGAAACCCCGTCTCTAATAAAAGTACAAAAAAATCAGCCGGATGTGGTGGCACGTCCCTGTAGTCCCAGCTACTCTGGAGGCTGAGGCGGAAGAATCGCTTGAACCCAGGAGGCAGAGGTTGCAGTGCGCTGAGATTGCGCCATTGCACTCCAGCCTGGTGACAGAGCAAGACTCCGTCTCAAAAAAAGAAAAACAAATATTCCTGACATTTTCCTCATGTATTAGACTTGTCAGAGATTGGAAGCAGTTTATGTGACTACTACAATACAAATCTAAAAGAAAGTGATGAAAAGAGAAACTCCTACAAACATCTTTTTCACACTTGAAATGTAATAAATGACATTATTCTCTACTTAGGGCTAAACATTGTAATCTTTTGCTGTTTGTGGTTTTATGCTATCTTTTCCTATCAAAGCATATTCTTATCTTTTTTGTTTGTTTGTTTGTTTGAGATGGAGTTTCGCTCTTGTTACCCAGGCTGGAGTGCAATGGCGCGATCTCGGCTCACCGCAACCTCCGCCTCCTGGTTCAGGCAGTTCTCCTGCCTCAGCCTCCTGAGTAGCTGGGATTACAGGCACGCACCACCATGCCCAGCTAATTTTTTGTATTTTTAGTAGAGACGGGGTTTCACCATGTTGACCGGGATGGTCTCGATCTCTTGACCTCGTGATCCACCTGCCTCGGCCTCCCAACGTGCTGGGATTACAGGCTTGAGCCACCGCGCCTGGCAATTTTTTGTATTTTTAGTAGAGACGGGATTTCACCATGTTGACCGGGATGGTCTCGATCTCTTGACCTCGTGATCCACCCAGCTTGGCCTCCCAAAGTGCTGGGATTACAGGTGTGAGCCACCGTGCCCAGCGGGAAATTATAATTTTTAAAGTTTTGGGGCTGGGTATGATCATTCATACCTGTAATCCCAACACATTGGAAGGCCAAGGCAGGAAGATCACTTGAGGCCAGGAGTTTGAGACCAGACTGGGCAACATAGTGAGATCCTCCCATCTCTACAAAGAAAAAAAAAAAATGCCAGGCCTGGTGGCATATGCCTGTATTCCCAGCTACTAGGGAGGCTGGGATGGATCACTTGAGCACAGGAGTTCAGTGCTGTAGTAGGCTCTGATTTCACTACTACACCCCAGCCTAGGTAATAGAGTGAGACCATCTCTAAAAAATAAAAAAATTTTGCCGGGCGCGGTGGCTCAAGCCTGTAATCCCAGCACTTTGGGAGGCCGAGGCGGGTGGATCACAAGGTCGAGAGATCGAGACCAACCTGGTCAACATGGTGAAACCCCGTCTCTACTAAAAATGCAAAAAATTAGCTGGCATGGTGGTGCGTGCCTATAATCCCAGCTACTCAGGAGGCTGAGGCAGGAGAATTGCCTGAACCCAGGAGGCGGAGGTTGCGGTGAGCCGAGATCGCGCCATTGCACTCCAGCCTGGGTAACAAGAGCAAAACTCTGTCTCAAAAAAAAAAAAAAAAAATTTTTTTTTGAAAAGTTTTTTAAAGATTTTGACGGGTAGAACTTAATAAAAGAGTTGCAGCATGGTGGCTCATACTTAAAATTTCAGCACTTTAGGAGGCTGAGGCAGGAGCATCACTTGAACTCAGGAGTCCAAGACCAGTCTGGGCAACATAGCAAGACCCCATCTCTTAAAAAAAAAAAAAAAAGCCAGATGTGGTGGTGCACACCTGTGATCCCAACTACTCAGGAGGCCAAAGTGGAAGGATCCCTTTAGCTGGGAGGTCATGCCACTGCACTCAGCTTAGGCAACGGAACAAGACCCTGTCTTTAAAAAAAAAAAAATTGTTGTAATATGTTTTTTTTTTTTTTTTTTTTTTAATAAAGATGGGGTTTCACTGTGTTTGTCAGACTGGTCTTGAACTCCCAACCTCAGGTGATCTGCCCACCTTGGCCTCCAAAGTGCTTGGATTAGGAGCGTGAGCCACCACGCCCGGCTGTAATACACGTTTTTAAATGTTCCTGAAGAAAGTACTGAATGTGGGCTGGGCCTGGTGGCTCACACCTATAATCCCAGCACTTTGGGAGGCCAAGGAAGGCGGATCACCTGAGGTAAGGGGTTCAAGACCAGCCTGGTCAACATGGCAAAACTCCATTTCTACTAAAAATACAAAGCTTAGCTGGTCGTGGTGGTGGGCACCCAGGAGGCTGAGGTAGTACTGAATATGGGCCAAGCTCAGGCTCTTTATTTCTCTTCTGTGTGGTGTAAAAAAAAAAATCCATCTTCTCTGAGTTTAGAGACTGCATGGAAATACTGAGGACTCCATTTTGAGGAAGCTCTGTTAATCTCTTTTTTCCCCCCCGCCCCGAGACAGAGTTTCGCTCTTGTTACCCAGGCTGGAGTGCAATGGCGCGATCTCGGCTCACCGCAACCTCCGCCTCCTGGGTTCAGGCAATTCTCCTGCCTCAGCCTCCTGAGTAGCTGGGATTACAGGCACGCGCCACCATGCCCAGCTAATGTTTTGTATTTTTAGTAGAGACGGGGTTTCACCTTGTTGACCAGGATGGTCTCGATCTCTTGACCTCGTGATCCACCCGCCTCGGCCTCCCAAAGTGCTGGGATTACAGGCGTGAGCCACCGCGCCCGGCCTTGTTAATCTAAAATATGATCATCAACTTGAGTCTTCTGGATGACAGACTAATGTAGAAAATGTTATCTCTTAATAAAGTGCACTGTCTTAGAATTTTAAAAGACACCAAAAAAGAAAAATTATTTCTATTGGTCTGACTTTGATTTTTATTTTTTGGCAGAGGTTTCCTCTATCATAAAAAAGAAACCAAATCAAGCTAAAAAAGGCGTGAGTATTCTGTACTTTATATATAAAATACCTGGTAGTTAAAGTTTAAAACTAAAAAGCCACTTTGTCATTTTAATTTTATTCTTTTGAACCATCTTATGATAAATGTGGCTTTGATGTAAGGAGTGTATGTTTTGTTCAGAGAGATTAATGTTATACGTAGCAAATTTTTTTTAGAATGATTATTTAACTTTTTTTCTATGACAAAATTCTGAAAAAAATTAACAAAGGTCCCCTGGGGATTTCTCTCCTGCTCGTGTGATTCAAAAAGCAATGATGTCTCGTGAGGCTTAGAGGGTAGTCCTCTGGTGAGCTTTCAGATACAGTGATGTGTTGCAGAGCACTAGCTCTGGAGGCAGGTGCAGAGTTTGAATCCTGGCCTTGCCATTTATTGGCTGTGTGATCCTGGTCATGTTGCTTAACTTCTATGAGCTTTATTTTCCTCAGCCCTCTGTATCCAGGGGTTTTGCATTCATGGATTTAACCAACTGCAGATCAGAAATATTTGGGGGTGAGGGGGAACAATAGACCAAGTGTAGTGACTCACACCTGTAATCCCAGCACTTTGGGAGGCCGAGGCAGGTGGATCACGTGAGCTCCAGAGTTCGAGACCGGCCTGGGCAACATGATGAAATCCCGTCTCTATAAAAAATACAAAGAGTAGCTGGGTTTGGTGGCCTGTGCCTATAGTTTTAGCTACTCAAGAGACTAAGGAGGGAGGATTGCTTTATCTCAGGAGGCAGAGGTTGCAGTGAGCCGAGATTACGCTACTGTACTCCAGCCTGGGCAACAGCTTGAGACCCTGTCTTAAAAAAAGTAAAAAATAAAAAGTAACAATACAACAGTAAAAATAATACAAATAAAGACACAGAAGTAGCACTGTTTCGTAGCATGTACATTGTTTGGGTATAAAAGTGACCTAGAGATGATTGAAAGTACACCGGAGGGTATGCATTGGTTAAATGCAGACACTACACCATTTTATGTAAGGGACTTGATCACTGCAGATTTATATTATCACCTACAGGATCCTGAAACGAGTCCCCCCATGCTGAGGGACTCCTATAATAATATTAACTTCACAGAGTTGTGAGGACTAAGGCACAGAATAAGCGTAAAGTGCTCATCACAGTGCCTGGCAGGTCCTAACCCTCAGGGAATGTTAGTTGTAGTTACAAAAGCTTTCGGACAACTCTTGTAGACTGTAGTCTTATGCATCTTCCAGCTTGGGGCCAAAAAAGGAAGTTTGGGAGCTCAGAAACTGGCAAATACATGCTTTAATGAAATTGAAAAACAAGCTCAAGCTGTGGATAAAATGAAGCAGCAGGAAGACCTGGCCAAGGCAGCACCTAAAGAAGAATCAATGTAAGTTCAATTTCATTATATTAATACATTTTCAGGAAATAAAACTATTCTAGAACTCCAAGATTTGCTTTGCAAATGCCATGTATTTTTGTCGGGGGGTAGGGAAGGGTATTGCGAAGTTTAGTTTTATGAAAACTGATAACGCATTGTCATGGATTGGAAGGGAAAGAGACGAAGCTGTAAGCTGTAAAGGTTGAAGCTGTAAGGGCAGGACTGGGGTGACATCAGTGAGAAAGGAAAGATGGAGATGGATCGAGGTGTTTATACATGAAAGATGCTTCACATTATTAGAGTTGGAGAAATGCAGATTAGAGCCACAATAAGATACCACTATACCGGCCGGGCGCGATGGCTCAAGCCTGTAATCCCAGCACTTTGGGAGGCCGAGGCGGGTGGATCACGAGGTCAAGAGATCGAGACCATCCTGGTCAACAAGGTGAAACCCCGTCTCTACTAAAAATACAAAACATTAGCTGGGCATGGTGGCGCGTGCCTGTAATCCCAGCTACTCAGGAGGCTGAGGCAGGAGAATTGCCTGAACCCAGGAGGCGGAGGTTGCGGTGAGCCGAGATCGCGCCATTGCACTCCAGCCTGGGTAACAAGAGCGAAACTCCGTCTCAAAAAAAAAAAAAAAAGATACCACTATATACCCTCTACAGCAGCTATAATAAAAAAAAGTCAGGGCCCAGCGCAGAGGCTCATGCCTGTAATCCCAGCACTTTGGGACGCTGTGGCGGGCAGATCACCTGAGATTGGGAGTTCAAGACCAGCCTCACCAAAATGGAGAAACCCCGTCTCTACTAAAAATACAAAAATTAGCTGGGCGTGGTGGTGGGCGCCTATAATCCCGCTTCTCGGGAGGCTGAGGCAGGGTAATTGCTTGAACCTGGGAGGTGGAGGTAGCAGTGAGCCAAGATCACGCCATTGCACTGCAGCCTGGGCAACAAGAGCGAAACTTCATCTAAAAAAAAAAAAAAAAAAAAAGGATGTCAAATGTTGGCTAGGATGTAGAAAAATATTAACCCTCATACATTGCTTATGGCAGTGTGAAATGGTGCCAGTATTGTGAAAAACCGTTTGGCAGTCCCTCAAAAAGTTAAATGTAAAGTTTCCATGTGACCCAGCCAGTCTACTCCTTAGTATATACTCAAGAGAAATTAAAACATACATCTGTGCAACCACACAAAAACTTGCACATGAATTGAATGTTCATAGTGGCATTAATTCTAACAACTAAAAAGTAGAAACAACCCAAATGTCTACCAACTGATAAATGATAAACAAAATGTGGTATGTCCATACTGTGGAATATTACCCAGCCACAGAAAGGAATACAGTCCTGATATGTGCTGCAACATGGATAAACCTAGAAAAGTTTATGCTAAGAAAGAAGCCAGCCATAAAAGATCACATGATGATTCTGTCTATATGCAATATCCAGAACAGGCAAATCCATAAAGACAGAAAGCAACTTAGTGGTTGCCAGGGCCTGAGGGGAGGAGAAAGGGGACAGTGACTGCTGATGTGTGCAGGCGGCTTTCTGGACTGCTGAAAATGTTCTGGAGTTGGTAGTGATGGTGGCACAACTTGGTGAATGTGCTTAAAGCCACTGAATCATGTATTGAACAGGGTGAGTTTTACAGTATGTGAATTATGTCTCCATAATCAATTCTGAACATATGATGGAAGACTATGGCTCTGGTGGTGTCTCCAGAGGTTCTGAGCTTGGATCTTGGAGAGACAGAGAGAAGGAAGAGTTTCCGAGAATGAAGAAGGTGGAATTATCTTGTGTCGGGGGCCTGCCTGAAGTGGAGGAGTTGGAACAATAACGTGGAGCACCTTAAAGTGAGGCTGTGGTTGTCCACGTACCCGAGAGTCAGGTAGAGCTCCTTAAGCAGTGCTGTGATGAAGGGGTATCTCGGGAAAGTGCGTTCTGTAGTGTTATCCAGGCCACGAAGAGTGGGAAGGACCCTGGAAGACAGGAGGCCAGTGAAGAGACTGGTTTTCAGTAGACATTTGTCAGGCTCTTGAGAGCTTTCCGCTTGTGGAAGTCAGAAGAGAAAGATGGCCTTCTGGTAACTGTGACGGCGTACCAAAGATCAGGAGAAGGAAGGCAGGGGGTGCATACCCTCAGAGAGGAAAAGTAACCTGGATTCCTACTTTTTATGCATGTGTTTTTTTAGTGGTGTTTTCTCTTATTTTCATGTGTATTTTATCTATTTTAGCTTGAGTTACTATAGACGAAGAAAATAGTAACACCTATTTTATGAGGTTGTTTTTAAGGATTAGTTTAATAGCATAGATGCTTGTTAAAGTGCATCAAACAGGCTGGGCGCAGTGGCTCACGCCTGTCATCCCAGCACTTTGGGAGGCCGAGGCGGGTGGATCACGAGGTCAAGAGATCGAGACCATCCTGGTCAACATGGTGAAACCCTCTCTCTACTAAAAATACAAAAAATTGGCTGGGCATGGTGGCGCGTGCCTGTAATCCCAGCTACTCAGGAGGCTGAGGCAGGAGAGTTGCCTGAACCCAGGAGGCAACAAGAGCAAAACTCCGCCTCAAAAAAAAAAGTACATCAAACAGTACCTGATGCATAGTAGGTGCTCAATAAGTGCAACTACTTTTCACACTGTCTTACTATTCATACTGATAGTTTGCTAAGGTGTTTATAAGGTAAGCCCAAATAATTTGAAATTGATAGTTATTTCTCCTTGCCATTTAACTCACAGAACATAGGGGGCAGCACAGAACTGTTGAATGTGGTTTGAAATGTTTGTGTAAAAATTTATGGGCCGGGCGCGGTGGCTCAAGCCTGTAATCCCAGCACTTTGGGAGGCCGAGGCGGGTGGATCACGAGGTTGAGAGATCGAGACCATCCTGGTCAACATGGTGAAACCCCGTCTCTACTAAAAATACAAAAAATTAGCTGGGCATGGTGGCGCGTGCCTGTAATCCCAGCTACTCCGGAGGCTGAGGCAGGAGAATTGCCTGAACCCAGGAGGCGGAGGTTGCGGTGAGCCGAGATCGCGCCATTGCACTCCAGCCTGGGTAACAAGAGCGAAACCCCGTCTCAAAAAAAAAAAAAAAAATTTATGTTGACTTGTCACAGACTTTATTTCTCTTACTAAGTTTTTGCTCCTGGTAAAGGGAAGAGTTAGAGTTGAGTGTTTCAATGGCTTCTCTTGGTATTTGGGAGTAGGCTCTGTCCAGATTACTCGTGCTTGAGGTTTTCCCAGAGCATGTGTAAAATCGGGCCTGATCAGCTCCCTTCCTGCAGATAAACTGGATTGAAAAGCTGCAGGTAAGCTGGGTGCAGTGAAGTGTGGTTGTTACTTCAAATATTAACATGCCAGTCTTCCTGAAAACGAGAAGCAACAATCGGCCTTTACTTGTATCTTTCACTAGGAGTGTTTAGTACATCACAAAAACAAAGATGCAGATCGCAGGACTTACGAATTTGATTTGAGAAGCCAGTTTGGCAACTTTTGTGGCCTTGTTCAGAACAGCCACACCACTGTGCCTTAATTACCACCATTGCCACTCAAACCTGTAGAAAGTACAGCTGTTTTATCCTTAATACATGAGCGTTGTTTTGCAACTTAATTTTTTTTTTTGAGACGGAGTCTCCCTTTGTCGCCAGGCTGGAGTGCAGTGGCGCGATCTCAGCTCATTGCAACCTCCGCCTCCCAGGTTCAGGCAATTCTCCTGCCTCAGCTTCCCAAGTAGCTGGGGTTACTGGTACCCGCCACCATGCCCAGCTAGTTTTTGTATTTTCAGTAGAGACAGGGTTTCACCATGTTGATCAGAATGGTCCTGATCTCTTGACCTTGTGATCTGCTCACCTCGGCCTCCCAAAGTGCTGGGATTACAGGAGTGAGCCACTGCACCCGACGGCAAGTTACTTTTCTTAAGGGCTGTAAAGAAAAGTTATTTCAGCTCAGTAAACTGTCAGAGCAGTGTTGTTTCTTGTACTGTCAGAATATGAAAGCAAATGGCCCATGCAGTGTCCTGGTTTCCTTCTAGCAGTTTCCCAGCCTGTACTCAGTGTGCCCACTTGGTAGGAAGGAAGGAAGAGGCAGAGCTCCTCGGGCCGCAGTCCTCCCTTGAGCCGGTGCCCGTAAACACTCCTGGAGTTCTGAGAAACGCCGGGTGGTGGTGGTTGTTGTTATTGTTCTTCTTCTTCTTCTTCTTCTTCTTTCTTTCTTCTTCCTTTCTTCTTCCTTCCTTCCTTCCTTCCTTCCTCCTCCTCCTCCTCCTCCTCCTCCTCCTTCTCCTTCGTTTCTTCTTCTTCTTTTTGAGATGGTGTCTCGCTCAGTTGCCTGTGCTGAAGTGCAGTGGTGCTATCTTGGTTCACTGCAATCTCCACCTCCTGGGTTCAAGTGATTTTCCTGCCTCAGCTTCCCAGCAGCTGGGATCACAGGCGCCCACTACCATGCCTGGCTAATTTTTTTTTTTTTTTTTTTCAATTTTTAGTAGAGACGGAGTTTCACCATGTTGGCCAGGCTGGTCCGGAACACCTGACCTCAAATGATTCACCTGCCTTGGCCTCCTAAAGTGCTGGGGTGTTCTGACTTCTTAACTCTGCTGGTGCTTCCAGACAGATATTCTCATAAGCCTGGATGTTAAAGTGCATGCTTTTAGTGAGTGACCCAGTCCCATGTCAGATTACCTAGGAAGGAAAACTTTCCCATCTCTCATCTTTCTAGCAGAACCTTTTCATCCCCATTCATCTTCTCCAGAGGAATCTGTTGCTATAATTATATGTATTCATGATTTTAAACAGAGCTATTCTTTTCCTCCAAAAATTATACTTGAAAGAGTACTATTTATTTGTTAAGGAATAAAATAGCCGTAAGTCTTTCTGTAGAAAGAGTGAGGAAAACAAACTGCCATGTGAAAACAGACCAAAGAAATCTTGCTAGACTTATTAAAGAAAAGAAACAGCAAAAGCAAGATTACTTTTTCCTAGTAAGAAATTCTGGGCTGGTTATGGTGGCTCATGCCTGTAATGCCAACACTTTTTGAGGCTGAGGCAGGTGGATGGCCTGAGATCGGGAGTTTGAGACCAGCCTAGCCAATATGGTTGTCTCCACTAAAAATACAAAAAAATTAGCTGGGCATGATGGCAGGCGCCTGTAATCCCAGCTACTCAAGAGGCTGAGGCTGAGGCAGAAGAATCACTTAAACCTACAGGGCGGAGGTTGCAGAGAGCTGAGATCGTGCCACTGCACTCCAGCCTGAGCGACAGAGCAAGACTCGGTCTCAAAAAAAAGAAATTCTGTTGTCCTTCCCTGTTACTACACAGAAATTTATTTGTATTACTAGGAATTTATACAAAACCTCTTTTACCACAAATTCATGACATTTTACATGCTTTTATAAAGTGGATGGTAACTTAGAAATCCTTGTAAGGTAGGTATATCATTTTTCAGGGCCCTGAAATGTTGCTGTCTCACTAAAATATGATACAGTACTGCTGTTCTTGCTATACAGGCATAGTTTTCTTTATGGAAAATTAAGTCATTATTGTATTTTTTAGAAATCTGAGAGCAAGGACAATGTTTTGTACATCTTTTTACCCCTTTGGTGTCCCGCTTGTGGCAGGTATTTGATTTTCAATAGAAGGGCAGTATATGACTAGTAGTGCTAAAGATACTGTGGGCTGATAAGTGACTATCCCATTTTATTTTATTTTATTTTTTGAGACAGAGTTTCGCTCTTGTTACCCAGGCTGGAGTGCAATGGCGCAATCTCGGCTCACCGCAACCTCCGCCTCCTGGGTTCAGGCAATTCTCCTGCCTCAGCCTCCTGAGTAGCTGGGATTACAGGCACGTGCCACCATGCCCAGCTAATTTTTGTATTTTTAGTAGAGACGGGGTTTCACCATGTTGACCAGGATGGTCTCGATCTCTTGACCTCGTGATCCACCCGCCTCGGCCTCCCAAAGTGCTGGGATTACAGGCGTGAGCCACCATGCCCGGCCTGACTATCCCATTTTAAATGCCTGATTGCCTAGAGGTCTCCTACAAGAAATTCTTCTGTAAACTGAAGGATCCTTTTACAATTAAGTAACTGCTCCTTAATTGATGTACTTGTGAAGTCAAATTTATATGTTTATTTATTTATCTTAAATCAAGACAGACTAGTGAGACTAACCTCATGATTTGATATGTAATGTGGAAGTGTAATAAAATATTAGTCCAAGTAAGAAACCCTGCTTTTCATTATCCCATATAGAAGTGATTTGGGTAAACATTATGTTATTCAGTAACAGGTAATGTGAACTAAACTTGAACAGTGATACAGGTTGAGTAGCAATGAGAAAGTGGCTGTAAGCTCATTCAAATTTTCTTAAGCGTCCAGTCAAAAAAGGCAGGTAGAAAAAACACCAACTTGCCTTCATAATGGTTAATTATGGAAAAAATCATGAAGCTAAAAGTATACATTTCATGTTTAATTTTGCTTGCTATTTTAATATAAGAACAAAGGATTAAAGCTCAATTAAGGAGCATTTGGTTTTTTGGCAGTGTTTCGTCACTACGGTTAGCCTATAAGGATCTTGAAATTCAGATGAAGAAAGACGAAAAGATGAACATGAGTGGCAAAACACACGTTGACTCAGACAGACTTGGCATGGGGTTTGGAAACTGCAGAAGGTATGTGAGACTGCTTTCTTGGAGTCAGAATCGAAGCCAGTTTGCGAATCATCAATGGATTTTTCTTGGACTGTGTTACTTTCAACTTTAGAGATACTTTCTTGTTATTCCTTATCTTCTTTAATTGTTTTTGCTTTGCTCTAATTCAGTATGACATGCAAAATTTCAAATTTGGTTCTTTAAAAAAAGGAAAAAGGTCTGACTCTTCATGAAGCACACAGCAGAGTGGAGGCCGTGAACATAACCAGTATTTGTGACCGCGTTTTGTGTAGATACAGCCCTCACAGAACTTTAGCATTTTTGGTAGCTTGTACCAGAAAACCTTTGCTTTATTGCTTATGTTTTTAACCACTCATAAATTTGTCTTTGTTCAACATGTAGCTGAAAGCTTTTTTTATTTTGGAAAAACAAGTTTGTGAACTTACTGATTTATATATTTTTCTGTTTTCTCAAGTGGTATTTCACATTCAGTGGCTTCAGATATGCAGACCATAGAACAAGAATCACCCATCGTGGCAAAACCAAGAAAAAAGTATAATGATGACAGTGATGATTCATATTTTACTTCCAGCTCAAGGTATTCTATGAAAAATCACTGTTAAAGTGTCATTTTGAAAAGCAGAGACTAGTATGGATTTATTAGTTTATTTGCATTAGGAGAAATTCCAAATCAATTTACTTCATTGTTTTTAAAAGCTTTAGCTGGAGCCAAGGCTATTCTTTGGAATAAAAATTAGAGAAACATTTGTGAAAGGACAATGTATGCTAATATTAAAATGTTTGATAATAAAATCAGCAACTGTGATTAAAATTAGAGGTAGGAGAGATGTGTTTATTTAAGTTTTGAAATTGGAGAAATCTGCCCAATTCTGAAGGTATATGTTACTTTGTTTTAGTCTAGCAGTTGGAAAATTACACCGCTCTTTCTCAGGGCTTCAGTAGATTTCTGTGTTTCAGAATGCCAGTTTCAGAAAACTCCAAGTGGCAGAATAGAGTGTTTTTTTTGTTTGTTTGTTTGTTTGTTTTGTTTTGTTTATTGTTTTTTTTTTTGTTTTTTTAGTTTTTTGAGACAGAGTTTCGCTCTTGTTACCCAGGCTGGAGTGCAATGGCGCGATCTTGGCTCACCGCAACCTCCGCCTCCTGGGTTCAGGCAATTCTCCTGCCTCAGCCTCCTGAGTAGCTGGGATTACAGGCACGCGCCACCATGCCCAGCTGATTTTTTTTGTATTTTTAGTAGAGACGGGTTTCACCATGTTGACCAGGATGGTCTCGATCTCTCGACCTCGTGATCCACCCGCCTCGGCCTCCCAAAGTGCTGGGATTACAGGCTTGAGCCACCGCGCCCGGCCAGAGTAGAGTGTTAAATAAACTCTATCTGTGTGTGTATTGACTAATGAGGATCGTGATTGCACCTTGAGGGGGTCCCAGAGTAAAGCCTAGGTTCCTCTCCTTCAACACTCACTATCTGTTGGCGACAAGATGCATAACTCTAGTGTGAAGCAGACTAGAGAGTAGTTCACGGTCAAGTGGCCTGCCAGGGCAAAGAGAACACGTTGAAGCTTTAGTCAGTTCACTTCGTAAGGCTTCCTCAAGAGCTTGCCCAGCCCAGGGGGAGGTCTGCGAAAAAAGCACCAAATGAACCTGTGATTTCACTGGAACAGGCACGGCACATCTCAGGAACAGAGGGGTAAGAATGGGGGCCCAGGGGCCAGATGGCATGGGTCTGAATTCTGGCTCTCACTCATGTGTGACCTGGGCCAAGTTATTTAATTTCTTTGTGCTATAAGCTTCCTCATCTGTGAATTAGGGACCCTAGCAGTGCCTACCCCTTAGGGTTGTGTGAGGATACTGTAAATACTATAGCACATTTACAGTGGTGCTTGGCTCTTAGCTGCTATATGGTAATATAGAAACTCAGTTTAAGAGACATGTGATTCAGTCTAAATGTTTTTGTTTGTTTGTTTTTGAGATGGAGTCTCACTCTGTCACCCAGGCTAGAGTGCAGTAGCATGATCTTGGCTCACTGCAACCTCTACCTCCCAGGTTTAAGCGATTCTTGTGCTTCATCCTCCCAAGTAGCTGGGACCACAGCCATGTGCCACCACACCCGGCTAATTTTTGGTATTTATAGTAGAGATGGAGTTTTGCCATGTTGGCCAAGCTGGTCTCAAACCCCTGGCCTCAAGTGATCTGTTGGCCTCAGCCTCCCAAAGTGGTGGGATTACAGTCATGAGCCTAAATGTTTGATTACTATTGTTAGGTAGTTAAACTAACCACATTGAGGACCACCTTTGGGTTACGAGTTCATGAAAACGGAAGACGTGCCTGTTAGTAATAGGCGGTGCTTACCAGAAGGCTCCATCACTTATGTCTCTGAGGGCATTAGAGTTGTCTGATAACTTATAGACTTGAGAGGTTTTCATTTGTATAAAAGATATATGTGTGTATATATGCACACACATGCACTTCATATAAAGAACAGATATATTAAATAGAATCTAATTGTGAAATTATAAATTTTCCAATCAATGTTTATAGACAAGGAACTTTATAAAGAATACTATCCTTAACAATGTCTCTAGGTATAGCTCCAAATTATTTCAAGTCCAGCGATTTTACAAAAACAAAAAAAATGTAGTTTATTGGTGTTCCATGTCGGTACTTTGAGACTTGAATGGTTTTATATTTGCCTATCCTTTGCAGCCTTTATAATGCACCAAGTTTCACTTTACTCAGAAGTGATACCCAAATCATGTCTTTTAAAGGTACATAAATAGATTTTACACAGAATAAAACTAAATTTTTTATTTGATTTGGAAACTGCATGCATGTGAAATCATTTCAAATATGAATATTAAATGAGGGACTGCGTCTGGGTCAGAGGACACTCTTGGCAGTACGGGGTCTGTATTTGCCTGTGTGGCTTCTCCACAGCATCTTTCATTATTTCACTGCTTATTAGCAACCTCTGCCGTTGATAGTATAGGAACATAAAGAAAGTTTAAGCTGGGCATGGTGGCTCACACCTGTAATCCCAGCACTTTGGGAGGCTGAGGCAGGAAGATCACTTGAGCCCACAGAGTTCAAGACCAGACTGGGAAATATAGTGACACCTCATTTTTACAAAAAAAATTCAAAAATATTAGCTAAGCATAGTAGCACATGCCTGTAGTCCCAGCTACTTGGGAGGCTGAGGTGGGAGGATCACTTGAGCTGGGGGGGCAGAGGTCATAGTGAGATTAGATCACACCACTGCATTCCAGCCTGGGCAACAGAGCAAGACCCTGTCCAAAAAAAAAAAGAGAAAGTTTAATTGAAATCAGTACTGTTGCTTGGTAGCCGGGTTGGTAAGAGAGGTCTAAGTGAGGTGCCTAATGGAAACCTCAGAGATTCTCACTGGCTCCCGGCCACTGACAGGCGCCGTGAGGCTTCATCTGCCTTGTACGGGCTTCAGCGATCTTTCAGACTTCTCGTTCTTCAAGGGCTTAGTCAAAAGAGTTAGCCGTAGCAGCCACTGTTGCTGTGAAACAGTTATTTATGGTTTAAAACCTGGGAGCAGATGGCATATCTATCTAGACCACACTTCCTGAACTCTTGCCAGAGAGACTTAGGTGTGTCGTTTCTTGTGACCTACAGATTGTCTAATAGGAACACAGATGCCCTCTCTAGTCCTCCTTGGTAGGGTGACCACCATTAGTAGCACAGGGGTACTATTAGGTACTTTGGCAACTGAGGTTAAAATAAACATGGACTCTGAAAGCAAAGATATTGGTTCCATGAAGAGCTCTTACTGCTTTCAAATGATTCATTAGCCCATTAGAACTTTAATATCATGAATTATGAAAGAGTTCTGTTTCTATTAAAAATAAGATAAAACCAGCCGGGCGCGGTGGCTCAAGCCTGTAATCCCAGCACTTTGGGAGGCCGAGGCGGGTGGATCACGAGGTCAAGAGATCGAGACCATCCTGGTCAACATGGTGAAACCCCGTCTCTACTAAAAATACTAAAAATTAGCTGGGCATGGTGGCGCGTGCCTGTAATCCCAGCTACTCAGGAGGCTGAGGCAGGAGAATTCGCCTGAACCCAGGAGGCGGAGGTTGCGGTGAGCCGAGATCGCGCCATTGCACTCCAGCCTGGGTAACAAGAGTGAAACTCCGCCTCAAAAAAAAAAAAAAAAGAATGAAGAATGTTATTTCCTTAGAGTGTTACTAAATCTACAAAATTCTAAGTGCCAGCATCTCAGAGTCATAAAGAACCTGGAAGTTCCAGCCCACCCTCACCCTGCACCCTGTCAGTCCGGTGCTGACACCCACTCTTCCCACTCCTGGGCCATCCAGCCTCTACTGCATCCTTCCTTCTCCTCAAGGCAGCCATTTGGTCCCAGGCAGCTCCCTGAGAAATTCTGCCTTTCATGAACACTCTGAGGCTTCTGCGCTCAAATCAGCCTCCCTTCCATAAGCCAGTTCACAAGCCCCATGAGGGCAGGAGCTGAATGTGCCTTCTTGCCCTGTGTCTTCCCCTAGCAGAGCGCCTGACTCCTCACAGGTGCTTATTAAGTAGCTTTAAAACTCCTCATTGAATTGGTCTTAGTTTTTTCATGGTCCCTTTAAATAAACCCCTCAAACATGTGAATATCACCTTCCAGGCTAGCACACATCCTGCATCGTTTGAGCCTTCCTCTGATGTAACTTCCAGTTCCTTCAATGTCGTGATCTCTCTTCTCTGCAAGGGGATCCGTTGTCTCTGTTCCTTGAAGCAGAGCCTGGGTACAGTACAGATCCACTCATAACCAGAGGGAGAGCCTGGTCGGTTTCTAACTGAAATCCAGATACACTTTGAACACTGCGTTTTCTTTCCCAAGGAGAAGATGCTAGTGTAACAAGATTTGTGCTTAATGACCTTCTTTTTTTTTTTTTTTTTTTTTTGAGACGGAGTTTCGCTCTTGTTACCCAGGCTGGAGTGCAATGGCGCGATCTCGGCTCACCGCAACCTCCGCCTCCTGGGTTCAGGCAATTCTCCTGCCTCAGCCTCCTGAGTAGCTGGGATTACAGGCACGTGCCACCACTGCCCAGCTAATTTTTTGTATTTTTAGTAGAGACGGGGTTTCACCATGTTGACCAAGGATGGTCTCGATCTCTTGACCTTGTGATCCACCCGCCTCGGCCTCCCAAAGTGCTGGGATTACAGGCTTGAGCCACCACGCCCGGCGCTTAATGACCTTCTTGCCAGAGAAGGCAGAAGCCACATTTAGAAATTCTACTTTCTGTCTATTAAGGATGTAATATCATTCCATCTGCTCTAAACAGCAAGTTTATCCTCTGTCTCTTTTTTGTTTCGTTTTCTGCCAAGAAAGAGTAGATTTGTTCTTAGCATTTCCCTCTACTCAGATCTTAGCTCACCTAGGTCCTGGCCTCTTTGCTCTTAGGGTTCTTGCGTCCCTCTTGTATTGGCCTTTGGCTACCAGCCCCTCTGACCTCCTGTGATCTCCACCTTTTGTGCAGCTCCTAATAGCACAGAGCTTGGTGCTCACCTTGTTTCCTGCCCTTTCCCTGGAGAAAGCCTGGGCGATGTCTGTTAAGGCCTCCATGCGCTTCTGTCACCCTTCTTTCCTTACACCTCCCTGGGATCTGCCTCTTCTCTGAGCTTCTTGGACTGCCTCCTTGAGGTGTGTATCTCTGATCACACTGCTTTTCCATCCTAAGCTGTCATGAATTCTGGCATGGCACAGTCACTGTTGTTGTTGTTGTTGTTTTTGAGACTGGATCTCACTCACTCACCCAGGGCTAGAGTGCAGTGGCATGATCACGGCTCACCTCAGCCTCAGCCTCCCATGCTCAGGTGATCCTGTCTCCTGGGCTGAAGTGCAGTGGCGTGATCACAGCTCCTCACAGCCTTGTCCTCCCAGGCTTAGGTGAGCCTCCCAAGCAGTTGGGAGGTGTGCCACCATGCCCCATTAATTTTTTTCTTTTAATCCCCAGAGATGGTCAGGAACCAGTTAATTATGTTTTTTTCTTTTTGCATTTTTTGTAGAGATGAGGCTGGTCCATATTGCTCAGGCTGATCTGGAACTCCCGGGCTCAAGCAATCCACCTGCCTCGGCCTCCCAAAGTGCTGAGATTACAGGCATGGGCACCGTGCCTGGCTGGCCGACTGTCACTTTTTCTCAAGGCCGTAGCGCATCCACCTCACTTGTCACTCTCTCCTGTTCCAGGCAGGCTTTGTTGCTCTTGGTCAAAGATTTTTCTCTAATCACACAGGACCAAAAGCTGCCACCGAGTGCTGCTCTCTGAGCAATACCCTGCTCAGTGATAATTGGCTAATTAAACTGTAAACTGATTCCAAGGCCAGGCTCTCCAGAGATGCTTGCAAATCAGATCAAGTTTGCTGCAGGCTCCAGGCTGAAAGAGTGTCTGCAGAATGGTCCAGTGATCCATGATCTGTAGCTTTGTATCCAACTCCAGGAGAAGGTTAATTAGCATGATTTATATCATTTTCATTCAATGTGCCTAACATGGAAGGGATTGCAACAAGAAGCTCCTCATACAGAGTCAGTTCTCCAGACCCAGCAGTGTTATTTGTGACTGCCTAACCAGGCAGAACGAGACCTGAAGAAAATGAAATGAGTAACCTGTGGTGGATAACATTTAAAGATGTCCTTTGTTTTCTGGATAGGCCAGGTTATACCAAGGTAACAAACGTCCTCCCAGATCTCAAAGGCTTTTCTTTTTCACATAAAGTCAGCTGAGGGTGCAGGTGGTTCTCTAGGGTTCCTGTCCTACGTGTGTCACCTTGATTATCCGGACCGATGGAGGTTTCACCTGCCTGAGACTGTAGCACCTGGAAGACACGATCTCTTCCACGTGGCTAGGGAAGATAGGACTGAAGCAAGGTTGAACACAGGCATGACACACCTCGTGTCAGCTCCTGTCTCATTGGCCAGACCTAGATATGTGGCTGCCCCTAACTTCAGGGAGGCATCCCCCACATCCGTAGAAGTGAGAGAGCCCAGGACGAGTGTCAGCTTCCCAAGTCACTGCTGTGCTCTTCTTGCTCATACAGGTACTTTGACGAACCAGCGGAGTTAAGGAGCAGTTCTTTCTCTAGCTGGGATGACAATTCAGATTCCTACTGGAAAAAAGAGACCAGCAAAGATACTGAAACCATTCTGAAGACCACAGGCTATTCAGAGAGGTATGTACGACAAAACTGTGGGGTTGTAATAGGGAATCCATGCGTTTCTGGGAAAAATTTACTGATAAGATGATGACATGAAAATCTTCCGTAAGGGGCTGAGCACAGTCGCTCATTCTTGTAATCCCAGCACTTTAAGAGGCCAAGGTCAAAGGATCACTTGAGCCCGGGAGTTCAAAGCTGTATACAGTGAGCTATAATCGCACCACAGTGCTCCAGCTTGGGCAACAGACCTTGTCCCTCAAAAAAAAAAAAACAAACAAAACTTTCATAAGGCTAGTAAATGATTGTGTTCTACTATTTCAGGAATATTATTTTGATTTTTTTTTTTTTTTGGAAATGGAGTCTCACTCTTTTGCCCAGGCTGGAGTGCAGTGGCGCTATCCTGGCTTAATGCAGCCTTCGTCTCCTGGGTTCAGGCAATTCTCCTGCCTCAGCGTCCCGAGTAACTGGGACTACAGGGGCGCACCATCATGCCCAGCTAATTTTTGTATTTTTATTAGAGACAGGGTTTCACCATGTTGGCCAGGCCTGGTCTTGAACTCCTGACCTCAAATGATCCACCTGCCTCGGCCTCCCAAAGTGCTGGGATTCTGGATGTGAGCCACCATGCCTGGCCTGTGTTGATTTTAAATTACTGATTTTAAATAGGAGGTACACATCAGAATCCTCTGTGGAGCTTGCAAGAAATGTGTATGTGGAGGCCTCTTCCCTGAAGATTCTGATCCATGGGTCAGGGTGGCCTAGGCCGGGAAGGTTTCACTTTTTCCCCAATTTTTTTTTTTTTTTTTGAGACGCAGTTTCGCTCTTGTTACCCAGGCTGGAGTGCAATGGCGCGACCTCGGCTCACCGCAACCTCCGCCTCCTGGGCTCAGGCAATTCTCCTGCCTCAGCCTCCTGAGTAGCTGGGATTACAGGCACGCGCCACCATGCCCAGCTCATTTTTTGTATTTTTAGTAGAGACGGGGTTTCACCATGTTGACCAGGATGGTCTCGATCTCTTGACCTTGTGATCCACCCGCCTCGGCCTCCCAAAGTGCTGGGATTACAGGCTTGAGCCATCGCGCCCGGCCCAAAATTCATCTTTTTAAACCTATAGTTCTGCAAGTTTTGACAAGCACATACATTCACGTAATTAGCACCAAAACCAAGAAGCAGAACAGTTCCTATCACCCCTAAATTCTCCCCATGTCCTTCGCAGCCCCCCTTCCCCTTCCCTCGGCCCCTGGCTACCCCAGGTCTGTTTTCTGGCCTTACAATTTTGCCTTTCCCAGAATGTCCTGTAAACGGAGTCACATGGTAATTGGCCTTTTCTACTGTGGTTTAACTTTTCTTAGTACACTTGGTCAAGACTCATTCATTCTTTTGTTCATTCCTGCTTATTGCTGAGTTTATCCATTCACCTATTGAAGGACTGTCTCCAGTTTTTGGTGATTATGAACTTCTGAGAGTACAAGGGGGCATTATTAATATGTTGGGACAACAGGTGTAACTTGAAATTGTCCCAGGTAACTGGGACACTTAATATCCTGTGCAAGGTATATCACGTAGAGAGAGCAGTGTCCTTTGGACATTCCAGACAATGTAGTCAGTGTTTACCAGTTGATCTGAAATGTGAAGCGACGTATTGGAACTTAAATGTGACCTAACAGACCCATTTTAAACAAATTCCTGGAAATGTTGTATTCTTTGGCTATTTTTCTTTTCTCATTAGAATTTTCAGGCTTTTAAAAATGGCCTTTTACAAAATTTACTGCTGTTGACTTTTTAAGAAATAAAATGAGTATGAAACACATTTGCTTCACCTCAAATGAGTTTAACCGATTTTGGCTGTTTTTCACTGTAGACCTACTGCTCGCCGCAAGCCAGATTATGAGCCAGGTGAAAATACAGATGAGGCCCAGAAGAAGTTTGGGAATGTCAAGGCCATTTCATCAGATATGTACTTTGGAAGACAAGCCCAGGCTGATGTAAGGGTCCAGAGAGTTTCTTTGGGTGCTCCATAAGGCAGAAAGGAAGGGTGGGTGTGGGCATGATTGGGGGAGGAGATCCTGAGTGAGCTGGGCTTAGGCTGCCAGAGGCCCTCTGGCCCGAAGGTACTGGATTTGGAACTCGAACCCAGGTCTGCCTAAGTGATCACGTGCTTGCTGCCTCAGCAAGAGGCGTGTTTACAAGACAAGGACTGTACCTCACAGTTCTCTTATTCTTCTCTTGCTGTTTTGAATAGCCATTATCCAATATCTTTTGAATATATTTCAAACAATTTTTTTTTTTTTTTAGACGGAGTTTCGCTCTTGTTACCCAGGCTGGAGTGCAATGGCGCGATCCCGGCTCACCGCAACCTCCGCCTCTTGGGCTCAGGCAATTCTCCTGCCTCAGCCTCCTGAGTAGCTGGGATTACAGGCACGAGCCACCATGCCCAGCTAATTTTTTGCACTTTTAGTAGAGACGGGGTTTCACCATGTTGACCAGGATGGTCTTGATCTCTTGACCTCGTGATCCACCCGCCTCGGCCTCCCAAAGTGCTGGGATTACAGGCTTGAGCCACCGTGCCCGGCGATTTAATAACTTTTAACCATAGTGAAATGAAGCACGTAGATATGTTCCTTTTTTTTTTTTTTTTTTTTAAATAAAGACGGGGTTTCACCGTGTTGGTCAGGCTGGTCCTGAACTCCCGACCTCAGGTGATCTGCCCGCCTTGGCCTCCAAAGTGCTTGGATTACAGGCATGAGCCTCTGCGTCTGGCCTTTTTTTTTTTTTTTTTTTTTTTTTGAGACACAATCTTGCTCTGTTGGCCAGGCTAGAGTGCAGTGGCACAATCTCAGCTCACCGTAACCTCCACCTCCCAGGTTCAAGCGATTCTCCTGCCTGTCTCCCAAGTAGCTGCAACTATAGGCGTGCACCACCACACCTGGCTAATTTTTGTTTTTTAGTAGAGATGGGGTTTCACCATGTTGGCCAGGCTGGTCTCGAACTCCTGACCTCAGGTGATCTGCCTGTCTCGGCTCCCAAAATTCTGGGATGACAGGCATGAGCCACTGCATCTGGCTAGATATGTTTCTGGGGAGTGCATCTATTTATTTTCAGGTTGTTGGCTTTTCTTAGAAATGTTAATGGACTCAGCCAGGCACTGTGGCTCATGCCTGTAATCCCAGCACTTTGGGAGGCTGAGGCAGGTGGACCACTTGAGGCCAGGAGTTTGAGACCAGCCTGGCCAACATGACAAAGCTCCATCTCTACAAAACATACAAAAATTAGCTGGGCATGGTGATACATGCCCATAGTCCAGCTGCTTGGGAGGCTGAGGCAGGGAATCGCTTGAATCTGGGAAGCAGAAGTTACAGTGAGCCAAGATCACACCACTGCACTCCAGCCTGGATGACAGAGTGAGACTGTCTCCAGAAAAAAAAAAAAATGTTAATGAACTCATCACAGTGGAGCCTTGCTAAGCTGTAAGACTCAAGTGGAAGTGGGGAGGTGCAAGTCTTCCCTCTCACCCTGAACTGCTCGTGTGCCTCTGACTATATGGACGATGGTTTCCTCAAATGTGCTGAATGTGTTTTGCAGAAGTTCAGACTTCTGCAAGTATAACTTTTCACTATCATTTCGAGAGTAGAGTTGCCCCTTGCTGTTCCCACAGTCCATAAAATCTGCCTGGCCTCAAAGTTGACATTCAAGTTCAGTTTTAAAATAGTGTCAGGGGGCTTGGCAAAGGGCCCCTTAGAGAGGCCTCTGCTGACAGCTGGCTAGAAGCAGCACGAGGAGAGAGATGCTGCCTTCCCTCCCTCCCTCTCGCTTCCTCTGCACTGGCCACCTTGGCTGAGGTGTTGTGTCCATCTGTCCCTGTGACCTGCTTCCCCTGCAGGGCATGAGCTTCGTGCTGTCCCCCAGGACCCGGCCTTGGCAGTGGCATTCAGTACCTGTTAGAGAGAAAGAGCTTTTCCACTGACAGCCCTTCAGCAATTCTCTTTGCAGAACGGCCGACAATCTTTGGAGCCTAACGTTTCCTTTTCCTCGTCTGCTCTAGTATGAGACGAGGGCCCGCCTTGAGAGACTCTCAGCAAGTTCCTCCATAAGCTCGGCTGATCTGTTCGAGGAGCAGAGGAAGCAGGCAGCAGGTAGGGGCACTGAACAAGAACTGGTCTTTGTCTGTCTACGGTATAAACACATCTTGTCTAGGTAGGACCGTGTCCTTTTCCAAGATATTTTAGCAACCAGTATTTGATGCTCTGATCTTGGCCATAAGACAGATAGAGCAGAAGTTACTATTCCAGGCTTCACGCGTGAGGAGACTAAGTCATGAAATTAAAGGAGCATCCCCAGCGTTGCCTGGCAAGTCATCCTTCTAAAACACTATCAGAATGGAGTGTTTTCTAGCTGAGTGTGGACGTGCTATGAAATACCACGTGGTGTCTTAGCCTGAGAGGTGGACAGTCCTGGGCTCCTGTGTGACCCTAACCACCCTCTAGCTGTGAGGCCTTGAGTATGTCATGGCGATTTTAGCCTCAGTCTCCTCCTCTGTAACGTGAGTCGATAAAACCACCTCAAAAGGTTGTTTTGAGGCTTCAATGAGACCCCTGCCCCTGCTGGGGTCTCACCTCACCCCCTGCCCCTCCTGGGGTCTCACCTCACCCCCTGCCCCTGCTGGGGTCTCACCTCACCCCTGCCCCTGCTAGGGTCTCACCCCCCTGCCCCTGCTCGGTGAAGTGCCACCGAGTGTTTAGCACGCAGCAGGCCCCGAGGGTGCTGGGCAGAGGCAGATAGAAGCATATGACTCTACCAGTGTCCATCTTCCAGGAAGACAGAACACAGCTTTGGGAGTGAGCAGGGGGAGAGGAATTGTCTGTCTTCCATATCCCTCTTCAGGGTTTAGACCCCCACGAAGAGGTGTCTGGTCATCCCAGCGCTGGAATGGCCTAGGATGAGGCAGCCTGTGAGCTCAGGGGTGGGCCTCAGGGAGCCGGCCCTTCTGCTTCTACTTCCACATCCCCAGACGGAGAGAAGCCTTGCGAGAGTGCCCTACACAGGCCTCTGCCAGGACGCAGGTGGGAGGAGAGGGCCCTGTGGTTAACAGGCAAGGGCAGCGTCCTCTGAGGTCATTTCGGGAAGCCGTTTATCAGCAGGAGAGCCAAGGGGAGGGAGGACTCTCAGGGGCCAGGCATTCCAGACCTGGAACCCTTGGCACCCCTCATTTCTAGGCCTAGAGGAGCTGGGTGTGGCTCTAGGAAGGCCATGATGTGACCAACCTGAGCGACCACTTGGCCTTACAGTCACAGATAACAACTGTTTTTGGAGTCCAAAGAGAAACAGCCTGAACAGAGAAGGCTGAGTGTCCCTGAATGTCAGGGACATTCTGGGATGTGGTTTGGGGACGTTATAGAGACACACTGGCCCCTGGCGTGCAGTTGGCAGTGCCAAGGCACTGTGCCGGAGCAGAGGGAGCGTCCTAGCCAGGTGGGCCCAAGTGAGCCAAGGGTGTGTGCTGGCAGAGCAGCTGGCAGAGAGCTGGGCAGCCCAAGGAGAGGCCAGGGCCACAGGGGACCAGTCCTGGCATGTCTGCTGCTGGTGAGGGTGTGGGGGTGTCCAGGGGTGGGCACCCAGGGCCAGGTTCCCATGAGCTACTCTCCAGGCAGGAGCACACCCTGTGCCTCACCCCAGACTCGAGCAGAGGGGGCTCGTCCCTCAGCCAGTCAGTCCCTTGCTGACTGGGCGTTTCCTGGCAGTGAGTCTTGGTGAGGGCAGGTGGGGCTCACCAGCTTGTGTTCCCGTCTCCAAACTCTCAGCGTCCCGGCCTTTTGTCAGGGCCACCCTGGCAGAGAGGCACTCCAGCCGCCTTTGGAGGCCCCCAGCAATCCTAGCCTTGCTGCCCCACAGGTCAGTGCTGGGTCACCTTGTGGAACCCTGGCGCAGCCGGCAGGCCAGTCCAGAGACCTGCACTGTTGAGTTCCCCGACTCCCTGCGATGTATGTTTTTGGAATTTAAGTCAATAGCAATTTTGCTCTGAAGCATTGTTTGTTTTAAAAAAAAATGTTTGGAGATCAAATGAGAGCAGGCTTTCCAGTTATTGAATGAAAATTGTGGCCAGGCTGTGTTTACTTGCCTGTTCCCTTTCAGAGAACAAAGATCCATTAAATGTTATTGACCCTGTGCCGGTGCCAGAGAAACCCTGGTCCCTGGTACCTCATGGTCATTGTAAGGTGCACCCTGGGGTGAGAGCCCACCCAGAGGCCCCACACCCTGCCCCTGCTGGGATCTCACCTCACCCCCTGCCCCTGCTGGGATCTCACCTCACCCCCTGCCCCTGCTGGGGTCTCACCTCACCCCCTGCCCCTGCTGGGGTCTCACCTCACCCCCTGCCCCTCCTGGGGTCTCACCTCACCCCTGCCCCTGCTAGGGTCTCACCCCCCTGCCCCTGCTGGGGTCTCACCTCACCCCCTGCCCCTGCTGGGGTCTTACCTCACCCCCTGCCCCTGCTGGGGTCTCACCCCCCTGCCCCTGCTGGGGTCTCACCTCACCCCCTGCCCCTGCTGGGGTCTCACCCCCCCCCCCCGCCCCTGCTGGGGTCTCACCTCACCCCCCTGCCCCTGCTGGGGTCTCACCCCCTTGCCCCTGCTAGGGTCTCACCCCCCTGCCCCTGCTGGGGTCTCACCTCACCCCCTGCCCCTGCTGGGGTCTCACCTTACCCCCCTGCCCCTCCTGGGGTCTCACCTCACCCCCTGCCCCTGCTGGGGTCTCACTGCATTGCCCCAGCTGAGCTCAAACTCTGGGCCTTGAGCAGTCCTCCTTCTTCGACCTCCCAAGTAGCTGGGATTATAGGCACCAGCAACTTCTATTAAATATTTACCTTTTATTTAGATCATATTTCAGCAAAGAGCTTTAATCTGTTCTGCCTCCATAAAGCTTGTTTTCTTTTATAAAATTTTTTTCTTTTGTCTTTAATACTTTCGTATTCAAGCAAAAGCTTGTTTTAAGAAACTGTTCTGGGCCAGGAATGGTGGCTTACACCTATAATCCTAACAGTTGAGGAGGCCGAGGGGGCAGATCACCTGAGGTCGGGAGTTCAAGACCAGCCTGGCTAACATGGTAAAACCCCTTCCTTTCTAAAAATGCAAAAATTAGGCTGGGCCTGGTGGCTCACGCCTGTAATCCCAGCACTTTGGGAGGCCAAGGTGGATGGATATTTAGGTCAAGAGATCGAGACCATTCTGGCCAACATGGTGAAATCCCGTCTCTACTAAAATTACAAAAGTGAGCCAGGAGTGGTGGCGGCGCGTGCCTGCAGTCCCAGCTACTCAGGAGGCTGAGGCAAGAGAATCACTTGAACCCGGGAGACGGAGGTTGCAATGAGCTGAGATTGTACCACTGCACTCCAGCCTGGTACAGAGCACGACCCCATCTCAAAAAAAAAAAAAAAAAAAAAAAAAATTAGCTGGCATGGTGGCGGGCTCCTGTAATCTCAGTTACTCAGGAGGCTGAGGCACAAGAGTCATTTGAATTTAGGAGGCAGAGGTTGCAATGGCTGAGATCATACCACTGCACTCCAGTCTGGGCAATAGAATGAGACTCTGTCTCAAAAAAAAAAAAAAAAAAAATAGAGAAAGAAAGAGAGAAAGAGTGGAAGGGAGGAAGAGAGCGGAGGAGAGGGGAAAGGAAACTTCTGTGTGCTGGCTCACCCCTGTAATCCAGCATCCAGCACTGTGGGAGGCTGAGGAGGATGCATTGCACATCTCTACAAACAATACAAAAATGAGGCAGCTATGGTGGTACATGCCTGTAGTCCCAGGTACTCAGGAGGCTGAGGTGGGAGAATGGCTTGAGTCCAGGAGGCAGAGGTTGCAGTGAGCTGAGATTGTGAGACTGCACTCCAGCCTGAGCAACAGAGTCAAACCTTGTATCAAAAAAGAAAGAAAGAAAGAAGAAACAATTTGGTATTCCTTAATTTCTAAATTTTAAATGCTTCTGGTGAGGTAAGCTGTTTTCTGGGGTGTGTCTAGCCCAGGAGCCCTGTGGCCATTCTCGCGGGCACTCTCTTTCGCTGTAGCTGAAGGATGGAGTGGGAAGCGCATGTAAGGCCTGCAGCCAACCTGACCTGGCACCGCCGCCGTCCCTGTGGTCACACCCGTGGGACGCGCTCATCAGAGCTGGGGGACTGCCATCAGTTGGGCACTGCCTCAGGCAGGCGTGGGGCACTCAGACACCAGATGACAGAGCGGAGGGAGCTGTGTGAGAGCCAGGATACAACAAAAAGCTGGAAACCCAGCTGCCCCTCAGCATATTTCTTCCCAGAAGGCCAGTTCTGACTGTTTGAATGAGCACGTGTGAGTGGGAGTGCAGACACCTGCAGACCCTTCGTTCCTACGCTCCAGGCTCTCGTTTCTTGTGTGCATCGTGGGGGTCACATGGCTGGTTGTTTGTGGGGTCCCTTGACCACTGTCTCCTTCCTTGCTCCGGCCCAGGGTCCAGGAGTCTGGCCTCCAGAGCACTGAACTCAGTCCGCGGTCAGGTGATCTGAGTTGGTTATTGCCACCCATGGAGATTCAGTCAAAATCCAGAGTGGCACGTATGTAGCAAACGCGTCTGCCACGCCTGTCTGAAGCAGCTGTTAGAGCACTTTTTGTTATTAAGCTCCTTGTTTGGCTGGCCACAGTGATAGACACCTGTAATCCCAGCATTTTGGGAGGCCAGAGCAGGAGGATCACTTGAACCCAGGAGTTCCAGACCAGCCTGGGCAGCATAGTGGGATCCCATGTCTACAAAAAATTTAGAAAATAAAAAAATTAGCTAGGTGCGATGGCTCACATCTATAGTCCCAGTTAGGAGGCTAAGGCAGGAGGATCACTTGAGCCCGAAAGATTGAGGCTGCAGTGAGCTGAGATTGTGCCACTGCACTCCAGCTTAAGGGACAGAGCAAGACTGTCTTAAAACAAACAAACAAACAAACTGATTTTGAGGAGCCTGGGAGTTGTCCTGGACCCTCCACCTCCCTCGTCACACCATAGACCCATATGGTCGGCGTCTCTCCTGGGTGTCCCCAGAACTGAGGCACGGCCACAACCCCCTGCTTGGTCCTCCTGCCTCCAGTCTTGGCTGCTGCTCAGCCTCTCCTCACTCTTCCCACAGGGATCTTTCAAAGCACAGTCATCCTTATTGAAAATCCTGCCGTCAGCTCTAAGCACGGCTCTCCACCCAAAACCCACCTCCAGGGCGGTGGTTCCCATTGGCCTTTCCAGCCTCACTTCTCATCATTTACTGCTGTGGCTTGCTCCAGCTTTGTTGAGCCTGTGGAGCCCCCAGATCAGAATGCCCTTCTCTCCCATTTTTGCAGAGGGGCCTGCTTAGGCCGCCCTGCAGCACTCTTGTGCCTTACACCGAGGATAAGACCTTCCGGTGACTTTCCTCCAGCAGACCATCAGTTCTCATTTCTATGCCCGTGGCACCTGACAGAGCCTGGCAGAGGAAGCCCCCTGCAGGTGTTTGAGGATGAATGACCCCCTGGCCAGCATAGGCTGGAGCACGCCTCCCACTGCCTCCCGTGTCCCCTGGCCAGTGCCAGGCTGCAGTGGCGATGTCTTCCGCCTGCAGCATGAGACTTAAGGGCTTTGTGCATCACCATGCTTAGTTCCCTGTGGTAGTAGCCAAGGAAGCTCGAATTAAGAGGTGGCCCCATGGGCTTGGACTGCAAGTTACTGTGACGAACAGAACCCCCGCCCACCTGCGCTGAGCACAGCGAACGTCACTTGTAGTCGTCTGTTAGTTCCAACCACGGACCCCTGTGTAGCTCAGCATCCCGTCTTTTAGGGGAGCCGCTGTCTTCTTCCTGGCTGCTCAGGAGAAACCTGGAAGTCATCTTTAATCCGCCTGCTGCCCAGCCTGCCTTAGCCAGTCAGTCAGTGTGCCTCGCAACACCTGCCTCCTGAGGACGCTCAGCCTGATCCCTCCTGATCCCCACTGCCGCCTGCTCAGGCTTGGCCACCGCCCCAAACACCTGGACCCCTGCAGCCACCTCCCAGCTGCCCACCCGAGTTTGCTCTGTGTCCCCTCCAGATGATGCAGGTCACACTTCAGTGATGGTATCGATGGCCTGCTTTCTCAGTAGGTGGTAAGCCGTGGAAAAGCAGGTCTGTGGCGATGTCCTCAGTACGCACTGTGGGTGTTCTGGGAACCAATAGCGGGGAGAGAGTCCATGAGCCGAGGACGCTCTTCCTGAGCAGGTGGCTTGAGCTGTCACTTCCTGGAGCTCACTGTGTAACCTGAGCACACCAGGGCTGTCTTTGACCATGGGCACCTGGCCCCTCCAGCCTGTCCAGGCAGCCCTCAGAGGAGACACAGCACCCCAATCCCATCACTGTGTTGAAATTCCACTCTCATTGGTGAAGGCCTACAAGATTTTACACAATCAGCTGGAGGTGGAGATGGAGCACCTGCATCTGTGGTGGGATGGGAAGAGTGCTGTGGGCAAATGCAGTGTCTCTTCCAAGGGACACCTGGCAGGGTAACTTGTCAGTTCTATTTTGTTCTAAGAGAGGGACTTGACCAAGGGTTTCAGGCTGGAGTGGGGTGGCACGATCTCGGCTCACTGCACCTCTACCTCCCAGATTCGAGTGATTCTCCTGCCTCAGCCTCCCGAGTAGCTAGGGTTACAGGTGTGCGCCACCATGCCCAGCTAATTTTTTGTGTTTTTTAGTAAAGATGGGGTTTCACCATGTTGGTCAGGCTGGTCTCGAACTCCTAACCTCAGGTGATCCTCCCGCCTAGGCCTCCCAAAGTGCTGGGATTACAGGTGTGAGCCGCTGTGCCTGGTTGGGTTTCTGTTTTTTGTAAGGAGCAGGTGGCGTCATGTGGGGCTTAGGGAGTATCCAGGTGTGGCTGCCCCCTGAGGACCTGCAGGGTTTGTGTTCAGCTCACTGAGCCCCTCCCGTGTCTTACTACAGTTGGGACACAGAAGTTGATGAACCCCTGACTGACAGCTCCAGGAGTGTGGCAGACCTCCTTTATGTGTGATAGCTCTGATGAATTTTACCCACATTGGTAGCAACTACGGTGGTGTTTTTGTCAGGGCAACCAAAACTGAAGCCGGAGTAACCTACTGACATTGGCCCTAGCAAAGAAGGTGGAAGTGTGAACTTCTGTACCTGGGAAGACTGGAATTTGGCCCCCGAGTCACAGTCAGACAGCATCAGTGATGGCCCACCTGGCCTGCCTCCCTGAGGGAGCACCATTCTCTTGTACTGTAGCAAGCGACCTCCACCCCCACGTGAGTGGGAGGGCAGTCTAGTCACAGATGGCTGCTGCTTTGCTGTGTCCCTGCCGGTAACCCCAGAGCAAGCGAGTGGCTCCTCATTTGAGAACAGTGAATCCCAAGGAAGGCTCTGATTGGTCAGGCCTGGGTCTTGTGCCCATGCCTGTGGACAGGGTAAAGGGAGAGGTGGTTCTGGAGGAAGGGAGGAGTACTGTTGCCAAAAGAGGGAGGAGGTGATGCAAAACAGGCCGCCCGTGTTGGCCCATCTGCCTGTTGCTGGGTACTTACCTGCCAGGCTGTTAAGCACCTGGAGGAAATGGGCCCAGAGAGAGCAAGGAGCTTCTCTAGAGGCACACAGTCTGGAAGTGGCAGTGCCAGGATTTGAACCCATGGTGGTAAGTCCCCCATACTGCATATTCTCTCATGTGGGGTCCCTCATGTGGATCGTGGCAGGGCTGGCTCTTCGGCCTGAGTCTCCATCCCACTGCTGGGCCCCTTGTGAGGCAGCAGGAGGGGAGAGATCCAGCTTCTCTAAAGCCACCGAGCACTCCGGGCACTGGGTTTGCCGCAACCCCGGCCAAGGCAGTGATGAGCCAGCGTCTGTTCTGTGTGTGCAGGGAACTACAGCCTCTCCAACGTGCTGCCCAACGCCCCCGACATGGCGCAGTTCAAGCAGGGAGTGAGGTCCGTCGCTGGGAAGCTCTCCGTCTTTGCTAACGGAGTTATGACTTCCATTCAGGTCAGTGAAACGGGACGGTGCTTGCTGAGTATGACGGTATGTCATCATTTTGAAAGTGAGGCTTGTTTCAATCTTCAGTTGCTGGAAAATTAGATTATATATTATTGGATTTATATGTTTGCTACAATATAACCCAGGACATTATGAAAAACCGGAAATTACAATTTTATATTTGTTTAACATTTTCTAATGTATGGCTCTAGGGGAATTGTTATAGGAGTTATCCTGATCACTGTCCGGTTTTTCCCTAGATTGGAACAGAGAAGTACTGAGAAGGAAATTGAAATTGTCTGTAATGCCACATCACAGAGATAATCTCTGTTAATATTTTGGTATATTTTTACCTCTAGATTTTTAAGGATTTTTTTCTATACATAGATAAAGATATACGTATGTTTTTAAAATTAAAAAGGGATTGTATTGTATATAAGGTGTTTTTTGTTTTTTTTTTTTTTGAGATGGAGTTTCGCTCTTGTTACCCAGGCTGGAGTGCAATGGTGCGATCTCGGCTCACCGCAACCTCCGCCTCCTGGGTTCAGGCAATTCTCCTGCCTCACCCTCCTGAGTAGCTGGGATTACAGGCATGCACAACCATGCCCAGCTAATTTTTTGTATTTTTAGTAGAGACGGGGTTTCACCATGTTGACCGGGATGGTCTCGATCTCTTGACCTTGTGATCTCTTGACCCGCCTCGGCCTCCCAAAGTGGTGGGATTACAGGCTTTGTATATAGGGTTTTATATCTTGCTCTTTCTCTGTAATGTTATGAGCATTTCCATGTAATGGAATAACATTACAGAGAAAAAGCAAGATACAAAAAAGTTCTTCTAAAACCACATTCTGTTGAGTGAAAACAAGCCAAGCATGGCGCATGTGTGCACATAACAGCCGAGGCCATTTCTGATTATAGGAATGGCTCGTTTCTTTGTACCTTCTTGTTTATGTCAGGCTATTTAGGAAGGATTCTATTCATGTAAAATACAGCTAGGGGAAGCAGAACTGAAACACTGTGGACTCCGGTGCCTTTAAAGGAGGTTTCTGGTCCGCAGGCAGATGCTGCTCTGGTTGCAGGTGCCTCCCCTTCTGGAGAGTTCCCTCAGCCCCCAGCCTCTGGATATAGCTGTTTTCATGCTGTGGCTAGCACAGTCTTCCCTTTCATTTGGCCCTGAAGTTAAAATTCATAGAGCCTGCCGGGCACGGTGGCGCAAGCCTGTAATCCCAGCACTTTGGGAGGCCGAGGCGGGTGGATCACGAAGTCAAGAGATCGAGACCATCCTGGTCAACATGGTGAAACCCCGTCTCTACTAAAAATACAAAAAAAAAAATTAACTGGGCATGGTGGCGCATGCCTGTAATCCCAGCTACTCAGGAGGCTGAGGCAGGAGAATTGCTTGAACCCGGGAGGCGGAGGTTGCGGTGAGCCGAGATCGCGCCATTGTACTCCAGCCTGGGTAACAAGAGCAAAACTCCTTCTCAAAAAAAAAAAAAAAAAAAATTCATAGAGCTCTTTCGTGTCCCTTAGGTCAGCTAAGCCCATATCAGTCTCCAAATAGATAACATTCCTATTTTATAGATGGTCAACCCCATTTTAGAGATTACTACCTTTTATATCCCCATTTTACAGGTGAAGGAATTGAGGCACAGAAGATTAGGGCATTTCTGCAAGATTAGCAGCTGAACCAAAATTTCAGGGTTTCAGACACCAGATGTTCCCCTGCCCTCCCCATCACACTTGCTTCCCAGAGGGCTCAGCAAGTAGCCTCTGGCCCACTGAGCACCCTCCCACCCAGACACCTTGCTCCCTGCCTCCCGATCCCAGGATTGTGGACATGGATGCCCGAGGCAGGATGTGAACCCTGTTGGCTTCTGAAGCCCACACCTGCCCTCAGCCTTGGGTAGTGGCAGCGGTGGCTGCTTCCAGATGAGCACACCCTTGGGGACAGGGTGCATGTCACATGCCCAACACTGGGGGCACTGGCAGTTTCAGTGGTGCTGATCATTCAGGGCGCAGGAGTGAGGGGTCCATGCTGAATGCTCGTCAACTTCTGTCTTGGTTCTCTCTTCAGGATCGCTACGGTTCTTAATACTGAGGTCGTGATGTGTATTTCCCGGAGAAACTCCCCTTTAAATGAACCAGTGACCACATCACAGGTGGCGATGAAGACCAGATTGTTTTGCTACTTTTTCGTATGGTATATGTTTCTGATTCTTAGTATTCCTTTTGAGAAATTCTGTGTTCTGATGTAGTAGGAGCTTCACTGTGGTTTCTGTTTCACGTTAGTTCCCACCATGCCCTCCTTTTGGCATCTCTGAGTATGTCCTTGCTTTATTTTCTTGGAACCTTTGGTTTCAACACTGAGGGCCTGGAGACGTCGGCTCCTCCTGCTCCATGAACCAGGAGCCTTCATCCGGGAGAGGAGGAGAGGTGTCCATGCCACACATGGGCTCAGGGCTGCCAGAATCGGCAGACGCGGGGCGGGCCTACAGACACAGCATTCACACACGCATGCTTCCTCCAGGAGGGAGCCAGGGGCCAGAACACAAGGCCAGACGTGACTGGTGTCTTATGGACGGATTGCTTCTTTTCTGTTTCTACATGTTAAGATGACTTCCAAATAATATTTAAAGTCATCTCTTTGTAAATTGTTTATATGATCTATAAATTTAAAAATATTTTTCAGTGAGTGCTTTTAACAAACGTAAGCTTCCACATTGCCAAGGGAATTGATGTTACCTTGTGACAAGGTGTTTGCTGTTTGAATTGATGAGAGCTGTAAGATGAGGACTCCCTAAGGGTATTTATAAACCGATGTGGTATACAGAATTAAAATGGAATGAGGTAAGAAGAAAGAGCTACAGAAAACAGTGCAGCCTATGGCAGAATAATCGCTGTAATTGGGTACTTTTGTGAATAGTTTTAAACCTTGCTTTTCAAAGATTACAGAATATGTATAAATGAATAAAGAAAAATAATTTAGCTGTGTTTTAGACAGCATTAGAATATATTGTTCAGCACAGTAAAATATATTTGAAATTTGATAAGCCAAACATGTGGTTTTGATTGAATATTTTGTGAATCTTTCTTAAAAGCTCAAATTTGTAGACTTCTAAGTATAATAAACACTTGCAGCAGAGGGTGTTGCCTACACTTTTTTCGGAAAGCTTTTGTAGCACATCATTGGGTGTCAGGGTTTGTGGTGTCACATTGATGGACATTTGAATTGCGAGCGGCTATGTGTGGGCGTGTATTTAATGCATGTTTGGGCTGATGTGCAGTTGTCATGAATTGGGATGTTGTTTGCAGCACAGGAGCAAGGTGGGAGGCGCTGGCTGAAAATGAGGACGTTGGGTCAGGTGCAGCGGCTCAACACCTGCAATCCTAGCACCTGGAGAGGCTTGGGCGGGAGGATTTCAACCCCACCTCTATCAAAAAAGAAAAAATTCAGCCAGGCGCAGTGGCCTGTGCCTGTAATCCCAGCCACTGGGGAAGCAGCAGGAGGATCCCTTCAGCCCAGGAGGTTAAGGCTGCAGTGAGCTGTGATTTTGACACTGCACTCCAGCCTGGGTGATAGAGCAAGACCCTGTCTCCACAAAAAAAAAAGAGGGGAGGCTGGGCGCGGTGGCTCACGCCTGTAATCCCAGCACTTTGGGAGGCCGAGGCGGGTGGATCACGAGGTCAAGAGATCGAGACCATCCTGGTCAACATGGTGAAACCCCGTCTCTACTAAAAATACCAAAAAAAAAAAAAAAAAGGTGGGGGGAGAGAGGCGGGCAGATCATGAGGTCAGGAGTTTGAGACCAGCCTGGCCAACAGAGTGAAACCCTGTTTCTACTAGAAATACAAAAATCAGCTGGATGTGGTGGTGGGCACCTGTAATCCCAGCTACTCGGGAGACTGAGGCAGGAGAATCATTTGAACCTGGCAGGTGGAGGTTGCAGTGACCTGAGATCAGGAGGTGGACAGCCTTCCTGAAGCCCTTATTGCCTGGTGGGAGGGAGCCTGGGGCAAGCCAAGCTGAACAGCTTCAGGAGAGAGTCATCCGTGGGATAATCCATTACCATCTATTTGTGCTGTAGCAAAAGCAGTCTCTTGAGAGAGGAGAACCTGGCCCAGGGAAATTTTGCTAGGGACAGGGACTTCAAATTCTGGGGACTTCCCAGTCCCAGATGACTTGCAGCTGTGGGTGAATCATGATGGCCACTGGTGTTGACTGCAGGTGCACTGAGCCTCCTGGCCACTGCGCTGCATAGATTAGCTCTAGAACTGCCGAAACCTACCAGGTAGGTACTTTTTCTCCCTTCTATATATAGATGGAGAACAGACACAGTGAAGTCATAGAGCCAACAAACAGGGGAGCTGGGAATCTTTTTACCTTATTTTACTTTTGAGACAGTCTCGCTCTTGTCCAGGATGGACACCCCGTTGGCATAATGACCAGCTGTTCTAAAGGTCGCTCCAACTCCTCAATTCTATGTGGCTAATAGTCTTCCCTTCCTCCTGGGCTCTCTCCTCTTCCTCTGTGCGGTCTCCTGTACCTTCCCCAGGGAGAGCCATGAGGCTCACCAGGGCCTGGAGCTGCTGGTTCTGCTGGTTGGCAGCTCCCAGGCGCTCCTAAGGGGCCAGGAAAGAGAGTGAGAAGGCAGAGAGGCTGCCGGGTCATCCCCTCAGGGCCCCGCCCTCAGCAACCCCCTCCCCTGGGTCTCCTGCAACTCTTGCCCGAGCATCCTGCTGCTGCAGCTGGCCCACGAGCTGGGCCTGCAGCAGTAACCGCCTCTGCCGCGCCTCCTTCTCGGGGCTCAGCTGCTGAGAGGCGGCCACGTGCTGCTGCAGGTGACCCGGGGACTGGTCTCGCTGCTGCTGTAGACTCTGAGCCCCCTGGCTCTTCAGCTTCACCTGCAGGAAGACCCTGGGCATGAGGGCAGGTGGTGGCTGGCTTCCAGACCCTGGGCCCATAAATAAGGTAGCGAAGGGTCTGCAGGGCTCTTTCGCCTGCCCAGACCCCTGGCCTCTTGCTCCAGACCTCAGTGACTGCCTCTCTTGCCTAGAGCCCTGTGCCTCCTTCCCCGGCCTCAAATCTCACACCCTTCTTCCCCCCATTTGCACCATGGGCCACAGATTAGTGGAAACACACAGGGAGCCACCCACCACCTGCTAAGTGGGCCATGTTCCTAATGCTTTCCACGTATTATCGCATTTCGTCCTCGGCCCCTCTGCAAGGAAGATGTTAACTTCCGTTTTTTCTCTTTAAAGGCAGAGTCTCGCCCTGCCGCCCAGGCTGGAGTACAATGGCACCATCTCGGTTCACTGCAACCTCCACCTCCCAGGTTTCAAGAGATTCCCCTGCCTCAGCCTCCCAGTTAGCTGGGATTACCAATTCGTGCCACCACACCTGGCTAATTTTTTGTATCTTTAATAGAGACAGGGTTTCACCGTGTTGGTCGGACTGGTCTCGAATTCCTGACCTTGTGACCAGACCACCGAGCCTCATACTAACTTCCTTTTTAAGTTAAAGAAACCGAGACTTAGAGGTGCCAAGTAGTTGAATGGCGACCCCACCTGCTGCTGGCAGGCAGGGCCTGAGCCCACGCCCAGATCCAGCTGAATCTAAGGAGCCTCTTCTACCACTTTCCCTGTGACTGAGCGGCTCTATGCCTCTAGTTGGGATGATGAGGTTCAGACCTGGGGGAAACCCAGGGCTACCCATCTCTCAAAGTCAGAGGGCAGGAAGCAAGAAACAGTCACAAGACTGCCCTGGAAGGTGCTGGAGTCACTATGTCCCACGCTGGAGCTGCCTCTGACCTGACGCCTCCCCTCGCCAGACACTGGTACCCGCCCCCCAGCCCTTCTTGGATGGGGCAGGGTCACCGTCTCCTTCAGGCCTCCCAGCTTCTGCAGCGCCTTCTTGCCATGCTGCTCCAACTGCAGTGACCTCCATGTTCTCCTTGTCCTGGACAGAGAGAAGCACTGGTGGCCACCCACTGCAGCAGGAGACCCCAGAACTGGGTGTCTGCCTTCTGCCTCCCGTAGCACCCGGAAGGGTAGAGGCAGGTTAGAAAAATCATCTCCCCTACCCCATGCCATCGGCCCAAGGCTCTGGCTCACAGGTGCCCTCAGAAATACCATTTCACCTGAGGGGTACAACTCCGCATTTCACAGGTGGGGAACAAAGACCCTGAGGGCTCCGCAGGTGGGGCCATGCACCAACCCCTTAAAACCGCCCTGCAGCTCAGCCAGCTGCCCAGGAGCCCGTGGTTCTGGGAGGGCGCGCAGCTGATGGTGGTGAGCGGGGCCCGCACGGCCTCCGGGATTTGCCAGCGCGCCTCTGCCCGCTCTGCTCAGAGCTCAGCCTTCCGCCGCAGCTCCTGCAGCCTCTGCTCCTCCTCCTGCATCTTCTCCTCCTGCTCCCAAAGCCTCTCCTCCTGAGGCATATGCAGAGAAGCAGAGGTGGAGGAGGACGGGGCGGGGGGGGAGAGGTAGAGAGAGCAGTCATTAGGGTTGGGGGTTGTATGGGCTGTCTCGGCTGGCAGAGGGGCCCTCAGCCCCGGCTGTGGGAGAAGGCTGGAGGGCTGGCCTGCAGGGACACTGGGTCACAGCCCAGGGCCTCTTACCTGGCACCGCTGCACTCCAGGAGAGAGAGCGGGAGACTCTGTCTCATAAACCAAAAACAGCAAGAAGGAAATCTGGGGAGCCACAGACCCCCAGTGGACTGGACGATTAGCAGAGCAAAAGCCGAATACACAGTCACAGCACTCCAGCCTGTGCCTGCACGGTACCACTAAGCGTCTCCTCAGAGCCGGCAAGGTGAGTCACAGCACCTGGGCAGACCCGACCGACTGGGCGACGGGGGGGTAACAGGTGTGATGACTGAAAAACTTTTTTTCTTTCCTTTTTTTTTTTTTTTTTTTTTTTGAGATGAAGTCTTGCTCTGTCGCCCAGGCTAGGGTGCGGTGGCGCTATCTCGGCTCACTGCAGCATGTGCCTCCGAGGCTCAAGTGATTCTCATGCCCCAGCCTCCTGAGTAGCTGAGATTACAGGCGCTCACCACCATTCCTGGCTAAATTTTGTATTTTTAGTAGAGACAGGGTTTCACTGTGTTAGGCAGGCTGGTTTCAAACTCCTGACCTCAGGTGATCTGAAGTGCTGGGATTATAGGCGTGAGCCACCACGCCCGACTGACTGAACAATTCTCTAACAGCAGCCGGGGGTGCTCTGTCTCAGTCCCTTCCCCATGCCCATCTCCCACAGGACCTGCCTCTATTCCTGCCCTGCTCCTCTGGCTTGGCAGGAGTCCCCCAGGCAAGTTAGAGGTGGAGGAAATGACAGATCACAGCCAGAGGGGGTCGGCTCCCAGCCGGAGTACCTCACGCCCTGCCCCGCACTCGGCCTGTGTTCCTGAAAGCTGCTCTGAGTTCCTAACGCTGGCCACGACCTCACTGCTCCCCTGCTCCCCTGTGGATGAATGCTGCCCACCTTGAATCTTCAAGCCAGCCTCAAATGCCACCTCCTCCAGCCTCAAGGTCGTTCAGAACTGACCTCTCCCGGACTGAGCCCTTGGAATGTTCTTTTAGACGGGGTTTCACCATGTTTGTCAGGCTGGTCTTGAACTCCCGACCTTCCTTGGCTTCCAAAGTGCTTGGATTACAGGCGTGAGCCACCATGCCCAGGCAGGAGTGTTCTAAGACTCTCTTGCCTCCTTCCGTTTGCAGCCTGCCTTGTTCATCTCTTCTCTCTACTCTTTATTTAGCAAAGGGCCTTTGTTGTCAGGAGCCCAGTGAATATGGTTAAGTGTCCTTTTGATTTTAGAGATTGAGGCAGAACGTGTTGGTCACACGTTAGTTTTGTCAGCCTCTCATCTTTTAAAATTAGTTCCTCTGGCCTGGTGCGGTGGCTCATGCCTGTAATCCCAGTACTTTGGGAGGCTGAGGCGTGTGGATCATGAGGTCAGGAGTTCAAGACTAGCCTGGCCAACACGGTGAAACTCGTCTCTACTAAAAATACAAAAATTAGCAGGGCTCTGTGGCAGACGCCTGTAATTCCAGCTACTTAGGAGGCTGAGGCAGGAGAATCGCTTCACCCCCGTCAGCAGAGGTTGCAGTGAGCCGAGATCGCACTACTGCACTCCAGCCAGGGTGA